ATAAATAAAGCTCCTACAACTTGTTCATACAGGTTTTTGTGTGAACGTAAGGTCAGCCTCAAGGATAAACAGTAGCTTCTGTGTTAGCTGTCTAGTAAGTGGAACTGTACCGTTATGCGTTCCCATCTGCGGTGTGGGAGAGCTCCAGCTGCAGGGCCCCTGGCTGGCTCAGTCCCTGCATTCTTGATCTTGAGGTTGTGAGTTTGAACCCCATGCTGGGTGTAGAAATTACTTAAAATCTTAAAAAAAAATGGGGTAACTGGGTGACGGGCACTGAGGAGGGCACTTGGTGGGGTGAGCACTGGGTGTTACACTCTACTTTGGCGAATTGAACTTCAATAAAAACAAATGAAAAAAAAATCTAAAAAAAAAAAAAAAAAGCTCTAGTGGCTCTGCATTCTCACCAGCACATGAGATGGTCAGTTTTATAGATTTCAGCCATTCTGGTGATGTTTAGTTTACTGTATGGTGGTATCTCGCTGTGGTTTGAATGGCATTTTCTTTCTTTTTTAAAAAAAAAATATTTTATTTATTTATTAATGAGAGACACACAGAGAGAGAGAGGCAGAGACACAGGCAGAGGGAGAAGTAGGCTCCATGCAGGGAGCCTGATTTAGGACTCGATCCTGGGACCCCAGGATCACACCCTGGGCTGAAGGCAGCGCTAAACTGCTGAGCCATCCAGGCCACCCTGAATGTGCATTTTCTAATGGCAGATGATATGTTGATCATTTTTCCAGGTGCTTGTGTGGGACCCAGGAAATTTAACAAAAATCCCCTACCCCTGGACAAGCAGAGCAGGACTGATTCCATTTTGTGCTACACCTGCCACCTCCCCTATGACCCCCACATGACCTGCTTATGGCTTGAGGCGCTGCCCCACCCTAGTCCAGCCGCTGGGCACACCCTAATCGGAAATCTGCTCATAACAATGTAACCCTGCTTTGTGCCCCCCAAAACTGGGCGCCGATTCTGACCACAGTACTAGGCCAGCTCAAGTGGATCCTATAGGCTAAGGTGTAATTCAATCGGCCACCTGCGTGTGGACCGACATGACTGTGCAACTTTCTGAGTATCTCATGGGCCACTGGACCCGATAAAGCTGCTTTGCCTCTTAGTCTCAGGGTCCAAGTCCCTGCTCCGCTGTGTGGGGTGCACTTGGACCCAAGCTCGAGCTTATAAATAAACCTGGCATGTTTGCATTGGTGTCGGCTCCTCAGTGGTTTCTCGGATTTGCAATCTTGGGCACAACATTTGTTTGCCATTTTTCCATCTTTTCAGGTCAAGTGTCCATTTGCATCTGTCTGGTTCTCTAACTGGGTCATTTTCTTATTGAGTATTTAGAGTTTATGTACTGTGGATGAAGCTCTTTGTTGGATGTGATTGCAAATATTTTCTTCCAGTTTGCGACTTTTCTTTCTCTTGACAATGTGCTTTCCATTGAGCAGAAGTTTTGAATTCGGAGTAAGTCCAGTTTATCAATTTTTGCTTCTACAAATTATACCTTTGGTGTTCTAGCTAAAGTCTTAACCCACAGTCTCAAAGATTTCCCCCATGTATTCTTTTAGAAATTTTATGGTTTTGTGTTTTACATTTAGATACAGGATCCATCAGAGTTATTTTTTTTTTTTTTAAGATTTTTATTTGAGAGAGCACGAGCAGAGGGGAGTGGCACAAGGAGAAGGAGAAGCAGACTCCTGGCTGAGCAGGGAGCCTGACACAGGGCTCCATCCCAGTACCCAGGATCATGACCTGAACCAAAGGCAGACACTTAATTGACTGAGCCACCCTGGAGCCCCTATTTGAGTTAATTTTTGTAGCTGATGCAAAGAATGGATCAAAGCTCATTTTTGTGCATATGGATAATATTGTTCCAGTACCATTTGTTAAAAAAACTACCCTTTCTCCACCGAATTGCTTTTGTGTCTTTATTGAGAATCAGTTGACGATGTATGTGTGGGTCTGTTTCTGTGCTGTTGGTTTATGTGTCTGTGCTTTCTCCAGTATCACACTGTTCAGTCTTCCAACTGTGTTGTTCTTTTTCAGAATTATTTGAGCCATTCTAGTTCCTTGCCTTTCCAATGAGAATTTCACAGTGAGTTCATTGATTTCTCAATTCCTGCTGGAATTGAGTTGCATTTGTAGATCATTGTGGGGAAAATTAACATCTCAACAATCCATGAACACAGTATATTGGCATAAAGGTCTTCCTTGATCTGTTTGATCAGTTTGTGTACCTGTGAACACACACAAATCTTGCATATGTTTTGTTGGATTCAGTCCTGAGTAAGCCTGTTTTTTAGTGCTGTTGAAAATGGTACTATTTTTTAAATTTAAATTTCCAGTTTTCATTGCTAAATATAGATGTGCAGTTGAATATATGACTTTGTACCCGGGAACCTTGTTAGAGCCGCTTACTAGTTCTAATATATTTTTTATAGATTCCTTAGGGTTTTCCATTGAGATAACTGTGGATAGAGACACTTTTCTTTCTTCATTTCTAGTCTTGCTGACCTTTTCTTTATCTTGTGATACCCACTAGGGCCTCCAGTACGATGTTGAATAGGAGTAGTGAGCACGCCACTACTAAAATTTTGTTTTGTTTGTTTTACTTTGGTAGTTCTGGAATTTTCTAAAGTTTTTTTTTTTTTTTTAAATTCTCCTCTTAAGTAATGAACTCACTCACTATAACTGTCTTATCCTTAAGTTGTTCCAATGTATTTCTAACAGTTGCTCTGAAGTCCTTGCCTGTTCATGTCAACTTCTGGGCAGCCTGGGGTTCCCTTGTACTGGCTGCTTTGGTCGTTGGCCACATATCCCATTTTCATCTCTTTATGTGTCTAGTAACTGCCACTCTGGATGTTGCAGGTATGGTCAAGAGTGTTGACTTGCACTTCAGTCACTTGCTCTGTCGCTCTGTCCACCCTCCGGGAGGCCCGGTTCATACTCTTCAAGCCGCCCTTGGCTTTTGCCCTTGGGGGTAGAGCACATTTTCTTTGCCCAGCAGCGTGGTCTTGAATTCTCAGGCTTGGCACGTCGGGTTTCTGCGGAGAGCCCTCGATGCTGGCTGAGCCTCCTTAACTTGGCAGGACTCCTGCTGCAAACTCTTTCCCAGTAATGGTGCCAGAGACCAACAAAGGCAGACACCAGTGAAAGGCTTAGCTGCAGGCAGTAGGGGCGGGAGCTGGGGCAGGACAGAGGTGGCCGAGCATTTTGGGGGGAGACTGAGGAAGAGGAAAGGAGGGGCTCTGCTAGCCAAGGAAGGAGGCCTCTGCTCCTGCCTCACTGGTGGTTACAGGTCCCAGCCAAGGCTGGCAGGTCCTTGAGACTTAATCCTGGGTACTGGAAGATGCACACCCGACTCAAAGGGACAGGGAGGATTGGCACCTGTAAGCCCTTGTGAGGAGGTGCTCACAGGAAGGGAGCCTGAGGGTCGGTCAGGAGCTGCCCAGGACGGGCAGCTCCCATCAGCCGTGAGCCTCCCCACGCAGGCATCTTAGAGGGGCCAGGGTGCAGAGGGGTGGGGACGGGACGTGCTGGGAGAGAGGTGGCACTTCTCACGGGCAGCACTAACACTCTGTAGTGTTTCTGTCCACCTCCTGGTGATTACTTTGCCCCAGGCTGCTGGGGCCTCCCCTGTGCCATGCAGGCTTGCCAGGGACTTGGCTCTCCCCATTGCGGCTCTTTCAGAACTTCTCCCCTAAACTTAAAGCTGCTTTTGTAGTCCCCAGACTCCCTTCTCTGGTTCCTCAAGTCACACACACTGTGGCTTTCTGGTGGAGTTACAGCCCTTCCTCCTCTACCAGGAGAAGTATCCTCCTGGCAAAGCGTCCAGTCCCTGTGGTTCTCTTTAGAGCCTTAATAGTTGTTTTGTATTTTTTCCTCTGTTTATCATAGTTACTTGCAGGTGGGTGAGTCCATGCAGAGGAAAAGGACTCTGTGACCTGGAATCAGCATGGTCCACTATTCCTTTTTTTCCAGCTATTTATTATTAAAAAAATACTCAAATATTTAGAAAAATAGAATACTAAAGTGAACACCTGTATCCCTGCCACCAGGTACCTAGGATCCAAAGTCTTGGGATGTCATTGCTTTTAGGCCCTTTCAGTAGGCAGAGTTAGGAAATAAATACACTTGGAAAGTCACGAATTCCTATTGATGCTTTCAAGTCAAATTTAACTTTTTATTTTACATCTGTGTCTTCTAACAATGAAAATCTTGGTTTCTAATGACACTGATCTACAAGGTGCATTCAAAGAAGTCTTTCATCCTTGTCCCTTCTATTCCTGGCTTCCTGTTGGCAATGACTTGTGTTTGTTTTGGTTTATCTGCCGTCATTTTTTTTAATATGAGCAGAATATATGTGTATTCATATTTCCTTCTCTCTTATAAAAGACATAGCATATTACAAAAATGGAACTTTGCTTTTGTATTTTGTTATGAATATTTAATTAATTTGCAAAAGAGCACAAACCGGGGCAGTGGCAGGCAGAGGGAAAGAGAGAAGCAGGCTCCCTGATGAGCAGGACTCAATCCCAGTACCCCAGGGTCATGACCTGAGCTGAAGGCAGATGCTTAACCCCCTGAGCCACCCAGGCACCCTGTTAACGGATATTTAAAAAATACAAGAGATGGAGGGCATTGAGGTCTGCTTTTTAAGTCACAGCACATAGTTAAAAATTACTGACATGTTGGTTATGTGTTTTTAAAAAAATTTTTTTACAAGTTCTAGAATTTTATCTTTGCATCTTTTACCTTTTTTCCAGCTTAATTGAAATGTAATTGGCATAAAACTTAGGAGTTTAAGGTGTACAGTGTGATGATTTGGTCTATATCAGAGGTCTTTTATCTTTTACCTTTGGTCTGTTTAGGACAGAGATACTCCTCTAGAATTTGTTAAATCACTTAAGTTAGTAACAGTTATCCATGCCTCTAAGGTTTATTATTTTATGGTTCTGCTTTTAAACCATGCATTGTTTTGTCTTTTAAAAATTTTACAGATTGAAGATCCAGGATGCTTCTGGGTTATTATAAAAGGATGTAGTCCCTTTTTAGATCATGAAGTTGATTATCAAAAACTGAATAGTGCCATGAATGACTTCTATAATAGCATGTGCCAAGATATAGAAACAAAACCGTTAATGTTGGAAGAAGGGCAGGTATGTATCTGAATGTACTTTAAAGCACTGTGTCTTTCACCGCTACTTAAAATGCACACTCTTTTGGCAATAAAAGCTTGTATAGTATTTTAATTATTTATAAGCGTTGCCTTGTGCGAGATTCAGGCTGGTTTTGGGAAGCAGAGATTATACAAGATTCATGTGGGGCAGCAGGAGGTGGAGTGTCCTCCAAGTTCAAGCATCCGGGCTGGGAACCAGAGGGTTATTCTAGAGCTATCACAGGTGTGGGGGCCTCAGCCAAGAGGGCTTGAGGGTTTTCAGGCTAGGGCCAGTACCTCCCTTGTGCTGCCTGAGACTTTGGCCAACTCATGCTTGTTTATTTTCCTTCTTGCATCATCGCCCTTTCTTCCTTTCTAGCAACCTTTGCTCCCGGGCCCATTGTCTGATTCTCTGCCCATCAGTCACTTTTCAGAAGAGTTTGAGTTTTTCTACTGGAAAGAGGTTTATAATTTTTAAGCTATGAGAAAAATGAGAAATTACTTGAATTCGGTCCCCCTTTTAAGAAAATCATCATTAATAACATTTCTTATTCTTTTCCATACCATTAACTTGTTGGCCAAAGTCATGAGCAGCAAAAAGGAGGCTTCGCTGGTGCAGTACGGTTCATACTGGAAAGGTAGAAGCATTGCTTGAGTGTTTCCCTTACTGACATAGAGGTTCGTGCCCAGCTGTCTACACGGGTGTCCAGGGGTCTGTGTTGTTTTTCTCTCTTCCTCTTTATTTTTTAATAAATATTTTGTTTATTTATGAGAGAGACACAGAGAGAGGCAGAGACACAGGCAGAGGGAGAAGCAGGCTCCCTGTGGGGAACCTGATGCGGGACTCGATCCCAGGACCCCAGGATCACGCCCTGAGCCAAAGGCAGATGTTCAACCACTGAGCCACCCAGGCGTCCCTCTTCCTCTTCATTTTTATTTTTTATTTTTTATTTTTTTTTAAATTTTTATTTATTTATGATAGTCACAGAGAGAGAGAGAGAGAGAGGCAGAGACACAGGCAGAGGGAGAAGCAGGCTCCATGCACCGGGAGCCGGACGTGGGATTCGATCCCGGGTCTCCAGGATCGCGCCCTGGGCCAAAGGCAGGCGCCAAACCGCTGCGCCACCCAGGGATCCCCCTCTTCATTTTTAAAGTACTGCGTTGAACTCATGGCTTTTAATATATCCATGCACTACAATCGTTGTTCTTGATACTTAAATGACCCCACGTTGGGTTGGTGGAAGCCCCATAAGCCCCCAGTTCAAGGCTGGCTGGCCGTGTGAACTATTTATTACCTGTTTGCACCATTCCTACAGGTTGCTTTGACTTAAGCGTTAAACAGAGACACCCTCCCTCCTTTGGCACGATTTCTCTCGAGTGCTGGACTTTGCGATTCTGTGCGGCCCCCAGGAGCCCACCCGTTGTGAAACGTGTCCAGCCTCGGTCCTGGAGCGCAGCCGGCTCACCTCCTCCTGCCGGACGCAGCTCTCTTCCGGGGGCCCCTCGCGAGCCTGCGGGCAGCATCTGGCTTGCCTGCCGGGGTCGCAGTCGAGTCCTCTGTGGCCTGGCCATCCGCCGGGACATCAGGACCCAGGCGGCTGTCCCTCCTGCAGGGCAGCGTCCCTGGAGCGGCGCCGCGGGCGGACGCTCATTTCTTGAGTCGCGGAGCGGCGGTTGCTGGAGACGGGGTGCAGCGCCTGGGACGCGGCGGGCAGCCACGTCGTCCCCCAGCTGGGGCTCAGCTGCGACAGCAGACCCACCGGCTGCAGTAACAGCCCTGCTGTGGGACTCGGGGGGTCGAGCCTGGGGCACGGGTTCGCAGGGGTCTGGCAACCTGCTTGGCGATTGTTTCTTTTTTTCTTTTCTTTTTAAGATTTTATTTATTTATTCACGAGAGACACAGAGAGAGAGAGATAGAGGCAGAGACCCAGGCAGAGGGAGAAGCGGGTTCCTCGCAGGGAGCCCGACACCGGACTCGATCCCGGGTCTCCAGGATCAGGGCCTGAGCCGAAGGCAGAGGCTCCACCGCCCAGCCACCCAGGCGTCCCATCGTTTCTAAGCTGTGTTTTCTGCTTGAAGAAGGCAAAGCAACACGTTTTCCTTCTTTTACTTTCAAAAACTTGTCCTTAGTTAAGGAGTCAGACCGACCATAGTGGGGGAGCCACCGGTGGGCCTAGGGGGCCCCGTGCCCCGTTTGCCGCCCAGCAGTGGGCAGCGTGGGCAGCCCGGCCTCCTGCCACGCCTTCCTCTTCCCGGAGGCGCAGTGTGGGCTGAGATGGTTTGGGGGTGCCTCTTGGTGCTCCCTGCGCCCGGAGGTCTTACCGCTGAGGGTTCTTCGTTGTAGGTCTGCGTGGTGTATTGCCAGGAGCTGAAGTGCTGGTGCAGGGCCATTATCAAGTCGATCGTGTCTTCGGCAGACCATTACCTGGCGGAGTGTTTCCTCGTGGATTTTGCCAAGTACATCCCGGTGAAATCTAAAAAGTACGTACGGGCTGCTTTTCCGTAGGCCCTTTACGGAGACGACGGTCAGTTTTAAAGGAGAGTGTCCGTTTACACAGTGAGAGGATAGAGGTCGTGGAACTGGAATGTTTTTAGTTTCCCGTGGGGAAGGCTTGCAGATTGCGGCTCTCCGTGCAGCCGGTGTGGGAGCAGGTGCTCACGGGGAGGACTCGGCCCTCCAGCTGGGCCCTCCCTCCACCTTCCTGCCTGGACGGGCCAGGTGCTCACCCCCCACTGGGGCTCCCCTCTCAGCGCATTCCTGGGATGCAGTGGGTCCTGCGGGAGGCTCAGCTGCGGGGAAGACGCCACTGGAGGCGGAAAGTCGTCTCATCTCCCCAGGAGGGGTGTGTGTGGGTGCAGCCTCAGGTAGCGGGGAGTGGAGCACCCTTGGGGCACTCCTGAGGGTGTGACCCGCAGCTCCAGAAGGTGGGGGACGGTTCAGGAGGAGCCCTCCTCGGCTCCAGGACCACCCTTTAACAGTTGATCACAAAACACTGGCCACGAGTCAGCCTTTGTGTTTGTGGTCAGTTTTTTCCTACTTTCCCATCCTAGTGTAAGAGGTTATCAACTTAATAGTTAACGTGAGGCTCCTCCTTCCAAAAGAGCGATACCAGACAGACCTGAGTTGCATTAAGAGTAAAGAATTTCATGGCAGAAAGGCTTCTCAGACGTCGGGAATTTGCAGATATTTAAGAAAAAAAAAAGGTAGAGGCCTATTCTAGCTTGTGATTCTGCACCTTTATAACTGTAATTGTTACAAAAGTAAAAGTTGTGTTTGGAAAGATTTTTAGTATTTGGAGTTTGAGGCAAGAGAAGCCCGTGATTAACTAGTGTGCAGGGAGGCCTCGAGGGGCAGGTAGGACGGCCACCGTTTTCTGAACGGTGGAGACGAGGCCGTGAGGCTGCCCGTACGGGGCATCCAGGACTGCTTCTGTCAAAACGGTGTGTCCAAGTGGTCCGTCGGCCTGAAGAAAGGAAATAAAGGTGCCGAGCAACGTATCTATCAAATCTCAGCCCCTCTTTTGTGCAGAATTGGTGAATACTAATTATTAAAACATATGCTCAAAAAACACAGCCAACAGCCGCTCATTTACAAAAACTGTGATTCAGGTTGTGTATTAAGATCGAAAGTTTATATTCCCCAAATGAATGAGACCATATAATGTTTGTCCTTCTCCGATTGACTCATTTCACTCAGCATAATACCCTCCAGTTCTATCCCCGTCGAAGCAAATGGTGGGTATTTGTCGTTTCTAATGGCTGAGGAATATTCCATTGCATACATAGACCAAGCTTCTTTATCCATCATCTGTCGATGGGCACCGAGGCTCCTTCCACAGTTTGGCTATTGTGGACGTGGCTGCTATAAACATCGGGGTGCAGGTGTCCTGGCATTTCATTGCATCTGTATCTTTGGGGCAAATCCCCAACAGTGCAATTGCTGGGTCGTAGGGCAGGTCTATTTTTAACTCTTTGAGGAACCTCCACACAGTTTTCCAGAGTGGCTGCACCAGGTCACATTCCCACCAACAGTGCAAGAGGCTTCCCCTTTATCCACATCCTCTCCAACATTTGTGGTTTCCTGCCTTGTTAATTTTCCCCATTCTCACTGGTGTGAGGTGGGATCTCATTGTGGTTTTGATTTGTATTTCCCTGATGGCAAGTGACGCGGAGCATTTTCTCATGTGCATGTTGGCCAGGTCTATGTCTTCCTCTGTGAGATTTCTCTTCATGTCTTTTGCCCATTTCATGATTGGATTGTTTGTTTCTTTGCTGTTGAGTTTAATAAGTTCTTTATAGATTTGGAAACTAGCCCTTTATCTGATATGTTATTTGCAAATATCTTCTCCCATTCTGTAGGTTGTCTTTGAGTTTTGTTGACTGTATCCTTTGCTGTGCAAAAGCTTCTGATCTTGATGAAGTCCCAATAGTTCATTTTTGCTTTTGTTTCTTTTGCCTTCGTGGATGTATCTTGCAAGAAGTTACTGTGGCCAAGTTCAAAAAGGGTGTTGCCTGTGTTCTCCTCTAGGATTTTGATGGAATCTTGTCTCACATTTAGATCTTTCATCCATTTTGAGTTTATCTTTGTGTATGGTGCAAGAGAGTGGTCTAGTTTCATTCTTCTGCATGTGGATGTCCAATTTTCCCAGCACCATTTATTGAAGAGACTGTCTTTCTTCCAGTGGATCGTCTTTCCTCCTTTGTCGAATATTAGTTGACCATAAAGTTCAGGGTCCATTTCTGGGTTCTCTATTCTGTTCCATTGATCTATGTGTCTGTTTTTGTGCCAGTACCACACTGTCTTGATGACCCCAGCTTTGTAGTACAACCTGAAATCTGGCATTGTGATGCTCCCAGCTATGGTTTTCTTTTTTAATATTCCCCTGGCTATTCGGGGTCTTTTCTGATTCCACACAAATCTTAAGATGATTTGTTCCAACTCTCTGAAGAAAGTCCATGGTATTTTGATAGGGATTGCATTAAACGTGTACGTTGCCCTGGGTAACATTGACATCATATGGTCTCATTCATTTGGGGAATATAAATAATAGTGAAAGGGAATAGAAAGGAAGGGAGAAGAAATGTGTGGGAAATATCAGAAAGGGAGACAGAACATAAAGACCCCTAACTCTGGGAAACGAACTAGGGGTGGTGGAAGGGGAGGAGGGCGGGGGGGTGGGGGTGACTGGGTGACGGGCACTGAGGGGGACACTTGATGGGATGAGCACTGGGTGTTATTCTGTATGTTGGCAAATTGAGCACCAATAAAAAATAAATTTATTATTAAAAAAAAAGATCGAAAGTTTAAAATATGAAGTAGAAGCGACTTGACAGGATTGTTCATTATTTCCTAGTGTTTCTTCGTCTGAGGAGCCTTGTTAGACATGACTTTCCTAACACTCCCTGCCCCCACAGCATGGAGCTTTAGCACCAAGGATGCACTGGATACTTGCGTATGTTCTGTTCTATTAAGAAGAGTAAGATTTTATTCCCTCCCCGCTCCGAGGACCAGCTCCCCACACATGCATGCACCTGGGCAAACGTCTCCAGCACCTGCTGCTGCTGGCAGCTATACGAGGAACAGAAAGAATTGGTTTGGGCATGTTTTAGGTCGATCACATGCGTGTACTTGAAAGAGATGTGTTCTGCGTAAGTTTTCTTTAATATAATACAACTGTTTCTGTTCTGCTGTTAAGCATCCGGGTTGCAGTAGAAACTTTCATGCAGCTTCCCTACCGAGCGAAAAAATTCAGGCTGTACTGCACGAAGCCTGTGACGTTACACATTGACTTCTGTGAAGATAGCGCCGAGATTGTGTAAGTGCCCTTGGTGACACGTGCTGAATCAGAGGAAACATCTGAAATTGAGTGTGTGCTGTTTATGTGGAACCTGCTCCCCTTGAGAAGCGCAAGGCCGTTCCAGAGGCCCCTTTGTGCTTCAGGAGATCTCTGGGCAGGTGTGTGTCTGTGTCACCTGGCCACGTGGAGCTCCCCGGGCAGCCCCCGCCCCCCAAGGCTGCAGTTGAGGGGGTTTGGAGCGGGCTTGAGCTCTGGGCTCTGCAACTTCTTTTAATTTACAAAGACTAATAAAGTAACTGTAAGGTGAAACCCTGGTACTAGGATCATGGAGCATCAAAAAAAAAAAAAACAACAACAATCCATTGCCTTTTTCCCCAGCCCTTCCCCCATCCCATCCCCGACCCCCTCCCACCAGGCCTCTTGTGACCTGTTCAGGCTCTGAGCTTACAGACCTTGTTCAGTGCTTTATTTGTGTTCATTTATGTGGAGCCTTTCACGAAAATTAGAACCTACTGCCTTATTTGCACATTTAACCCAAGAATGTGCGGAAGCTCTTTGCTAGTACGTGTGCTGCTTTCTCCTCTTGGACTTCCTGGGGTGAACATAACTGGCCACTGGCTGTGTTTAACCATTCCTCTCTTGAGAGCCAGCTGGACTGTCTCCAGGCCACCCTGTGCTGCACATCCCCGCAAGAATATGCATAAGTCCAAATAAAGCATATGGGGGTGCACATACCAGCCCACACCTCACCCCCATCGTTGCCCTGTTTTCCTAGTCTGGGCCACACTGCCAGGGATTGTGCAGGACTAACCAGGGGCCCTGCACTGGGCAGCACGGTGGCAGGGGTAGGGCTGCGATCTCTACTGTCGTGACCCGAGTGCTACCCGAGGCCCTGGGGCAGCCCTACCTTCCCACCTGCTACCCCCACCTGGGACCATGGCATTATGGGAAGAAAAACCAGGGCACAGCACAGTACCCGCTTAGCTTGTACGCCCTGGTGTTGTTGCATCTTGTTCCCTGGACTTGGAAGCCACCTTTCTAGTGGATGCTCTCACGGGATGTGTGGAGACCCTCCGTTCCTACTCCCCGCACCTCCAGCACCTGTAGTTCCCGTGAGATTGTAAGTGCATCCCCCCAGGGCTGGCCTCAGAAGCTGTACTAGTAGGTGCTGAACACCTTTGTCCCTGCTGACGCCAGTGTGCTCCGCCAGGCTCCCTGCGCCAGCCCAGGCCACCTCTGTCCTCAGAGACTCCAGGCCAGCGGGTCCCCTGCGAGCAGCACCCCTGCCTCCCACCTGTCCCCCAGCGCAGCCTCTCCCTTCCCGCCAGGGCTGACTCTGGTGCCCATCTGCCCCCGTCCAGCTCCCCCTCTGCGTGACCACCTTCGCCAGCCTTGGGCACACCCTCAGTGTTTGCAGCGCATCTAGGATGTCTGTCTCAATGCGTGAATTACGGTTTCTATAGATTTTGTCACATGGTCCTCCAGAAGGACTAGCAGCGTATCCTCATGTCACCAGGGTACAGAGAGGGTTGCTTTTCCCACACAGCGCTGACTATCATCAGGCTTTTTAAAGTTTTGCTTGTTTGTTGTATGAAAATGGTATCATTTTCCTTTGTATTTTTCTAACTTGTGAAGTTGGGTGTCTCTTCTGTGGTTATTCACGTGTGTGTGAGAGAGACACACAGACTGAAGGGCTGGTTTACCTGTTAATGGCCTAGATTGATTTTTCTCTTGGCCCATTTTCTTATTAGGAATCTACTACAGGTTTTTTTTTTTTTAACTTACTAGGTAATTTTTGAGTGTGTGTAGCAAGGTTTTTTTTTTCTTTTTTTTTTTTTGATTTTTTTTATTTATTTATGATAGTCACACACAGTGAGAGAGAGAGAGGCAGAGACACAGGCAGAGGGAGAAGCAGGCTCCATGCACCGGGAGCCCGACGTGGGACTCGATCCCGGGTCTCCAGGATCACGCCCCGGGCCAAAGGCAGGCGCCAAACCGCTGCGCCACCCAGGGATCCCCAAGGTTTTAAAATTACTGTCTTAATTTTTTTTTTTTTTTTTACTTTTAGGAACACTTTGTGATTTTCTTGGAGTAATGTGCTCAATATCTTTTTTAGTAGAAATAAAATAGAGTAACACCTTTGCCTCAGCGTGGGGTTGGGTGCTTTGTTACCTCTTTTGAGCCTTAAGCAGGATGATGAGGGCATCTTTGGAAAATCAAACCAGCAGAGAAACATCAACATATCACTCTACCCTTACTTAGTTGTTTTTGTTCCATGCATCAAAATACTGGTTCCTCCTCATCTTCTGCTGTCTACGGCTCTTAGGATTTCCTTTCCACAGCACAGGGAAGGGCAAGATCATCAGAGGAAAGTGGGAGACAGAGGAGAGGTGTGGGAACACCATGAGAGCCTGGCTGGTGGCTTTCCCCCGGCCACTCTAGCGCGGCGGTCCAACTGGCACACACAGAGCCCTCGCTCTGTGCCAGCCTGTGTGGTGGGACACCGCATGTGCAGCATCCCTGTCCCGGGAGCTCGTGATCTGGCTGCGGACACAGGTGGGTCCCTGGTCCCTGGGCGGCAGGCGTGGCCTGTTCTCAGAGAGTGTGTGCACTGGGTTACAGGCGGCAGTGGGGAGAGGAGCCTGTGGCAGTGTGCAGCTGAGGTCCTCACCACCAGAGCAGAGCCAGGCATCACACATTCAACACGTAATCTCAGAAACATCCAGCATGTGGCTTAACAAAGTGACGTTGGTGTCCTAGCCTCAGAGTGTTACTTGGTAAGCTTGCATCTGTTTACTGTTCCAGACCAGCCAAGAAGTGGGACAGTGCAGCTGTGCAGTACTTCCAGAACATCCTAAAAGGTAGGGCAGGTGCAATCACCACCGCGACCTGCTTTGAACTGGTGCCCCAGCTGGTGTGCTTCCCATTGACAAGGGGGTTCGAGATGGCCACGTGCAGCTGTGTGCCCCTCCTCACAGGGGCACATCTGTTACCTGGGACTCCTTCTGCCCCATGTCACAGCAACTCTGCACCCCTGAAAGTTTGGGGGTGGAGGTGGACATTAGCAATTGAGAGTTGAAATTAGAAGGGGCTGTTTGGGTGAGGGGCCCTTCGTCTACATGGAAGCTGCGCACTGCAAGATAGTTGTCCGTGCATTTCACTGAACCGGCTATTGATGGAAAGCTCGACTTTTTTCCTGGGTATTGATCGTGTAATGATCCCCATTGCCGATTTAAAGTGTGTGGTCTGTCTCAGAGCAGCTGTACAGCGTGTTCTCTCTGTAAAGTACAGCTTCCTGGGCCAAACCCCTGGCAGGCAGGTGCCAAGTCGCTGTGTTCCGAGAAGTAGGTATGAAACGCCTGAGGTGCTGGCCCTTCTCCACTGCCCCCTGTCTGGGCAGAGGAACAGCCAGATGCTGGACCCAGTGGAAATGGGAGGCCGGGAGGGTCTCTGGCTTTGGAGTCGGGGCCGTTGCGAGCCCACTGGGAGACACGGGTGTGGAAGAGCCAGAGCACCCAGGATTGCATCCTGCCCGCGGCTTCCCTGCAGCCTCCTCTGGGCCAGGTCCCTCACCTGTAAGTGACAGGGACAGGTGGGCCATGAAACATGTTTGCGAAGGACTTAGCGTGGTGCCTGAGGGTCCCCGGGCCTGGGGCTGCGGTTTGGGTTCTTGGGTCTGAGTGGCTGAGGGCTCTGACTTGCGGGGTGTGCGCAGGGTGGAACGGACTCAGGTATCAGACTGGCAAGTAGACTTGGGAAGAGGGCCAAGAACCGCGGACTCCTCGCCACGAGAGCCTTCGCCTCCACTCGCTCACCCAGCAGGGGGAAACCGTTAGATACAGTGATGCTGGGCGATCCTGAGTGGTTGGTGCAGATTAACAGGTGGAATAGGATTGTTCCAATATCAACTGATGTATGTATTGTTTTTCATTTATGCTATTTAGCAACCACCCAGGTGGAAGCCAAATTATGTGCTGTGGAACAAGACACTTTTGAGGTCTACCTCTATGCAACCATAGAAAATGAAAAAGTGAGTGAAAGAATCGTGTTTTAAAAATGTTTTATCCTTACTTAAATTTTCTGTGTTAACGAGAGTAAACACCAAGGAAAAAAGAGTGTCCATTCACACAGCGTGGAAAAAAATTTTTCTTTTGGAGAAAGGGCAGGGGAGGGGCAGAGGGGGAGAGAGAGAATCTCAGGCAGGCTTCACGTGGAGTGCAGAGCCCAGCACAAGGCTCCTTCTCACAACCCTGAGATCGTGACCTGAGCCAAGAGGAGAGTCAGACGCTCAGCCCACTGCGCCACCCCGGCGCCCCAGCACGGAAGTGCTCGTAATCTTTTAAGGTCTGGCGTAGATCAGAAGTCAGCCAGAACTGTGTTTTCTTTTTTTTGATTGTTCTTCAAAATCAGCTCAGTGTTTTATTTAGGCAACATTTTATTTAGTTAACAGACAGATTATTCTTACAGTGATGAGTATAAAATGTCATTTTCTTGTAACAGGAGGTAATTTTTATAAAGAGACGTTATTTGATGTGGTTTGAGTTCACTGCTTTTTTTCCTCCCCGTGATTGTCTCGCTGTGTGTAATACATGCTCATCGTAGAGAGCGGAGGTAACACGAGTAGGAAGGGAGTGGGCGTCCCAGGTGAACTCCCTGCCCCCGGTGTCAGCTGTTACCATTAGGGAGGCTGCCCCTTATGGAGGGTGGCTCAGGGCGCAAAAGGTGTGCACCGAGTGTGGATGTGGATGGAGGTGCAGATGCACGGCTACTCAGGCCCACGGAAGGCATCTTCCCCACGGATTTATGTTAAAACTTCCTTTTGAAATAGTTTCACACTTATCGGAGAGGTGCAGAAATAGGACAGAGGCTTTTATGTGTGCTTGACCTGGGTTCTCCTTACGTTAACCATGCAGACTAATGGCACAGCAATTAAAACCGGAAAATTAATGCTGATAAAGTGCTATTTTAATAAATCCACAGACCTAATTTGAATTTTGCCCATGTTCCCACTGATTTTCTTTTTGTGCTCGAGGACCCAGTCCAGGATCCCACACTGTCTCCTTAGTATCCTCCAGCCTCTCCTCATCTTTTAAGACCTTGACGCTTATTTTGTAGTTATATGACGGTTATTGTGTTGTTGCTCAGGTTGGATTTGTGTGAGTGATGGGATTAGATTGAGGTTGTACATTTTCGATGTCTCCAGGCGTCCTGGGGGAGGGGGGCGGGGAGCGGGTTCTGGTGTTGAAATGGCTCATCACTGGTCAGGCTGACCTTCAATCACCTGGTTACGGTGGTGTTTGCTGGTGATGGTGGTGTCCGCGGGTGTGTCCTATAGAGTTACTGCTTTTTCCTTTTGAAATTAAGTATCTAATGGAGAGATGGTCTGAGTCTGCACATTACCCTCAGTGATTCTTGCCTGCAAAGCTTCTTTCTTTTTTATTTTTTTGAGCAAAGAAGCAGTAACTTATTTTTTCATTTTTAAAAAATTTAAATTTGATTAACATTTGTGTATTAAGAGTTTCAGAGGTAGAACTCAGTGATTCATCGCTCACATACAACATCACGTGCCCTCCTTAATGCCCATCACCCAATTTCCCCATCTCCCCAACTCCCTTCCCCTCCAGCAACCCTCAGTTTATTTCCTATGATTAAGGGTCTCTTACGGGTTGTCTCCCTCTCTGATTTCATCTTACTTTATTTTTCCTTCACTTCCCCTATGTTCATCTGTTTTGTTTCTTAAATTCCACAGGAGTGAGATTATTTGATAATTGTCTTTCTCTGGTTGACTTACTTCACTTAGCATAATACCCTCCAGTTCCATCCACGTCATTGCAAATGGCAAGATTTCATTTTTTTGATGGTTGACTAATACTCTGTTGTGTGCAGAAGATAGACATCTTCTTTATTTGTTGATGGGCATCTGGGCTCTTTCCACAGTTTGGCTATTATGGACATTGCTGCTATCAACACTGGGGTGCAGGTGCCCCTTCTGATCACTACATTTGTATCCTCGGGGTAGTTACCTAGTAGTGCAATTACTGGGTCATAGGGTAGCTCTGTTTTCATCTTTTTGATGAACCTCACATTGTTTTCCAGAGTGGCTGCACCAGCTTGCATTCCCACCAGCAGTGTACGGGGGTTCTCCTTTCTCCACGTCCTCTCCAACATTGTCATTTCCTAACCCTGCAAAGCTTATCTGTCAGGCATTCTACCTTTTTTTTTTTTTTAAGATTTATTTATTTTGAGAGAGAGAGAGAGAGCAAGTGTGTGCATTGGAGGCAGAGGGAGAGGGAGAGACGATCTTAAGCAGACTTTCCGCTGAGCCAGGAGCCTGATGCAGGGTTCAACATCACGACCTGAGAGCATGACCTGAACTGAAACCGAGTCAGACACTCAACAGACTACACCACCCAGGAGCCCCAGGCCTTCTACATTTTTAATTGGAATTCTATAAGAAAGAACTGGCCCTTTCCCCTCATTTATGAATTGATTCAGTAGTATCTTAGTGTGGACTCTCGGGTGTTTGTTTTACTCTAGGTTGATATAATCCATTACCGTCATTATTTTCTTGCTCAAATTGTCTCAGATTTGGCCATTAGCAGCTGCTTCGAAGTGGCTTTATATGTCCTTTCAGTGTGCCCCATCATTGTTGAAAACTTCCTACTTTTTGGTGCCACGAGATGCTCTAGGCTAATTTTGTCATTTTCCAGCTCAGCCACTTCTCAAAGAAGAGTGGTATTCAGATAGCAGGAAAGGGCACAAGAAGTGCTCCTTGCTACTGGGGTGTCTGTGATTGTAGGCCCGCTCTGCAGTTAGGAAGCACGTGTGTGTGCACCAGTCTACGCGCACGCGGATTGATGCCTGGATCCATCCGTATGTGTCTTCAGAGCTCTGGTACTGGGGCGCCTGAGTTCAGGGCTCGGGGTCGTGAGATCGAGCCACAGTTGGGCTCCGTGCTGGGCTTGTAGCCTGCCTAAGATTGCCTCTCTCCTCCCTCTCTGTCCCTCCCCCACTCACACGTGTGCACGCTCATTCTCTCTCTCAAAAAAAAAAAAAAGCGCTCTGGCACTCTCACTCAGTCCAGCCTGACAGCATTCCTGTGGCCTCCCCCTTCTTTATCTTGACACCTGTTTCTAACAGCGAGAAACCTGCCCTTGGGAGCTACAGTTACACTACATTTGATTAATTCTAATATTCACATAAAGTAATCCTGGAATTGCTCACCCACATTCCTGTGAAAAAGACGTTTGTCTAAAAACAAACAGCGTGCAGCAGCCCAAACACTGTATTCGGGAGTTACTTCGAACAGTTCTTTTCTTGCTTCATCTTGATGATGCTACTGGTTTGCAAATAAGGCTCCTTTGTTATTCCTTGTGGTGCATTTTGGGCTCCCCACGTCCTTGTCAGTTTCCCCTGTGGCTTTTCATTGCTTATTTTCCAGTTTGGTAAGAATAACACGATGTTGGCTTTTGGACTAGTCTAGTGAAACATCTTTAAACTTCTCTACTGACCTGTTTCTCTTCTTGCTTTTCCAAGTAGATCTCTTTCCCTTTGTGGCCGTGTGCAGACGAGGACTTGTTCCTACTTCCCAGGGAGTGACTGCAGAGGGTCCGCTTTTTAGCAGAGAGGACTTACAGCAGATGCGTGAGGTCAAAAATTTGCCAGAAAAAGAAAAACAGGGCCCACCATCCTCTTCCAGCTCCCCGAGGAAGCACAAGGATACCCGAGGGTGGTCTGTTTTTGGCCTGGCTTCTTTCCCCGCGAGAAAATTATTTCAGGATATATCCACATTGTTTCTTTTATTGTCAAATGCTCTTCCATTGTCCAGTATATTTTAGTGTATTTATCTGTTCACTTCTTTTGGACATTTGAGTTGTTAGGGCTGTTAGAGAAAAAGCTGCTCTGAATATTCATGTTCGGTGCTTCCTGTGAACTGTGCATTCATTTCTCTTGGGTAGATACCTAGGAGTCAAATTTCTAGATGGTGCTGTAGGTATCAAGAGACTGCCAAACTGTTTTCCAAAGTGGTTGACTATTTTTCAGTCCCATCAGCAGTGGGTGAGAGTTCCAGTCCCTTCTGTCCTCTTCAGTGCTTGTATGGCCGCCTTGATAGTGTAGTGGTTTCTCATTGTGATTTAACTTTGCTTTTCCGCAATGACTTATGACGATGAGGAGCTCTTCACATGCTGTTTGCAATCCGTGTACCTTCTTTGATGAAGTGTGTATTCATATCTTTTGCCCACTTTTTGGATAACTTTTTAACTTAAAGTATAGTTGATAACACAATGTTTCAGGTGTACAACAGGGTGATTTGGCAAGTGTAGACCTCACGCTAGGCTCACCACAAGTCAGCTTCCACCTGTCACCGCACGACACCATTACAGTACCATTGACTGTGTTCCCTATGAACCCTTTATTCCCATGACTTATTCCTCCCATACCTGGAAGCCTGCACCTCTGACTTCACTCTTTTGCCCGCCCCCCTGCCCTTCCGTCAGTTCTCTGTATTGATGGGTCTGTTTCTGCTATTTGTCTAAACATTATTCATTTGTTTTTTCACTGCACGTATAGGTAAAATCATGTGGTATTTGTCTTTCTCTGTCTTATTTCACTAAACATAATACCCTTTAGGTCCATTCATGTTACAAATAACCAAAATCTCGTCTCTTTATGGCAGAGTAATATTCAATTGTATTTTGCCCATTTTTAATTGAGTTGTTTTGTCATCTTTTAATTGAGTTTTCAGAGTTGCTTTATGTATCCTGGGTATATGTCCATCCGGATACAAGATTTTAAAAATATTTCTTCCTATCTGTGGATTGTCTTTTATCTCTTAACCAATGTCTTCTGAAGAGCAAAAATTTTAAATTTTGATATAGTCTGATTTATCAGTTTTTCCTTTTATGATTTATCCTTTGTAAACCCTCCTCAGATTCTTGACTAGCAGTCATGTTAGCTCCCCAGTGCTTTCAAGAAGATATTTCATATTTTGCAGAGTCTTAGTTTTTCTGATAAGGAGGGTTGACCAGAAGTAACTACTACACCATTACTAGAGCAGAAGTCAAGAGATGGGTTTCTCTCAAATTATGTTCTGTAAAATAATTTTTTCTCAAGATTGAATTTTGGGATTAACTTTGGGATATTTTCTGAACAAGTCACTTGATTCCATTTGTCTTATTCATGAAATGTTGAAAATTATGCAGGTCTGTGTTAACGATGATCTGGTTGCGAAGAACTTTGCTCGTTATGTATCACCCAAGGAGAATAAAAATGTTGATTCTGTAGAGAAACCACGACTGAATATAAAGTCAACATCCTTTTCCAGTAAACTCAATCCTGCACTTACTCTTTGGCCAATGTTTTTGCAAGGAAAAGATTCTCAAGGAGTGGAAAGTGAGTGGATTCTCACCGATACAGGTTTCTTTTAAACTGTCTTATTTATATGAATCTTATTGTACTGACATAAGTTTGTACGAACTTTTCCCCATATGGAGGCAGAGTCTTGGACTCTGAGTTTAATATTTTACTCTTAATCCTAGTGGATCAGTGACAGGTTTTGAAGTTCTAAGCTGCTACAGTTTGCTTTTATGAGACTAGGAAAAAAACTATTCTCAATTTTTTTAAAGATTTTATTCATTTATTCATGAGAGATACAGAGAGAGATGCAGAGCACAGAGCACAGGCAGAGGGAGAAGCAGGCTTCACGCAGGGAGCCCAGGACTCCGAGATCATGCCCTGGGCTGAAGGCAGGCGCTCAACCGCTGAGCCACCCAGGGATCCCTGTTCTCAATTTCTTATTAACATGGAGTTATCTTTTCAGAAGTCCATACGTAAGTTTATAATTTAAAGATGTCACCAAAACAAGGTCAAATACTTAACATTTTAGACACTATTAAAAAGAATTATTTATTAATAGGGAAATAGACTGTCATGGACAGTGGAAACAATTTTAAATGTTTCTCTCTGAATTCAGTTTTCCTTAATTCATTCATACTGCTTTCCTGCCTGGAGTTAGGTCTCTCCCGACCTTCCAGCAAGAGCAGGAGCTGAAGTGGTGTGCCGGTGCATTTTGCATTTGTTGTTGGAGCTTTATTGCATGTTTTAATCCTGAATTGTGTTCTTTCTGTCAGATTCACATGGCTTAACTTTTCTGGCTCAGTCTCTCCAGCATCCGTGGCCCAAGGGTGTTGTTGGTGACCTTGGCCCAAGTGCTGTGATCCTGGGTAAGTTCACTCACTTGCCTTATTTCGTAGCATCAAAGGATGCTCTCAACTGTCTAAAGATAATAAGGGTTGTTTAGAAGGGCTGTGGTAATTCTCTTTCTCTCTTTCTCAATCTCGTGGAACCAACAATTTATGGGGCAGATGCTGAGAGAATTTGCATTGCAGTCCTTAGAGGATTTTTAAAAAGGATGTGTTTGTGTAGTAGAGTGTGTACATGTGCAAGCATGGGGGCGAGGGGTACGGAGGGAGAGAATCCCAAGCCGACCCCCGCTGAGCACGGAGCCCCATGGTTTCTGTAGCCCCAGATTGCTGGACCCTAAGCATTTCCTGCTCTCCCTTAGTGGGGTCAGTGTCGGGATGCACCTGTGTGCCTTGATGGTGAAGTAAAGGAAAGCTGATGTGAGATGTAACTGGTTGTGGTGTGTCACAGATCCATTAGGTGTTACTTGGAATCCAGGCAAAGATCTTTTCCTTGTACACAGGGAGAGAAGTTATTTTCAACTGTATTTTAATTTTTGGCACTTCTCCTTGAAGTTGTCTTGCGCTTTTCTAAATCAGAGTATCATGCTTTGTTATTACTTGGTGAAACAATCAACTAGCAGAGAAGAACTGAAAAGTGATGAAAAGCAACTTTCTCTTCCCGGCCTCTCCGCACCCCAGGCTGTTCCCCGGAGGTAAACCTTGATCGTTCCCCTTACCTATTTGTTTTGGCCGAGGTTTCCAGATTTTGAAGCCCTTAATGATTAATTTTCGATCCCGAGGCTTATCAGTCCTGTTGTGCCCAAGATTGCGAATCCGAGAAACCACCGAGGAGCCGACACCGATGCAAACACACGAGGGTTTATTTACAAGCTCGGGCTTGGGTCCAAGTGCACCCGACACAGCGGAGCAGGGACTTGGGCCCCAAGACTAAGAGGCGAAGCAGCTTTCTAGGGGCCAGTGGCCCATGCGATACGCAGAAAGTTGCACAGTCATGTCGGGCCACACGCAGGTGGCCGATTGAATTACACCTTAGCCTATAGGATCCATCTGAGCTGGCCTAGTACTGTGGTCAGAATCGGCGCCCAGTTTTGGGGGGCACAAAGCAGGGTTACATTGTTATGAGCCGATTTCCGATTAGGGTGTGCCCAGCGGCTGGACTAGGGTGGGGCAGCGCCTCAAGCCATAAGCAGGTCATGTGGGGGTCACAGGGGAGGTGGCAGGTGTAGCACAAAATGGAATCAGTCCTGCTCTGCTCGTCCAGGGGTAGGGGATTTTTGTTACATTTCCTGGGTCCCACAAGTCCTAGACGCTGTCTTGACTCCTCGGACAGCCTGCTCACACAGCCCCGGAGCCCTGGGCCGTCAGGACCACCGTCAGGGCTCAGCAGGGAAGGAAACAAGTGTCTGCTTTCGTGGCGCCTGCATCCACTTTCTCAGGGAGATTTTTATTTTAGGATCATCACAGATGTAATTACGGAAGAGTCGGAGAACTTTACGCAGAACTTTTTCTGAAGCCTGTGAGGATAAATTGCTGCCTGGATCTCTCCCCATTACTGGAGTGTGTTTTTCCCAGAAGGAAGGTTATTCTCAAAAATATTCACAATCGAGCCAGACAACTCAGAAGACCAGCACGGACGCATGGCGATCGCCGAAGCCTCAGGTGCCAGGCAGGTTGGGCCACTTGTCTCCGCGACTCCTTATGGCACAGGGACGCAGCTCAGCATCACCTTGACCCTTGTGAAGACTCTAGACTGGCTGTTGAGCAGAATATCCCTCAGCTGTCGCAGATGTTTTGTCATGACAAGATTCAGCTTATGCGCCTGTGGCTGGGATCCCTCCAGGGAGGCGCTGTGCCCCCCCATTCCCCCTTGCCAGCGGACGCAGAGCTGTGGTTTGTCCCATTGCTGGTGAAGGTCCTTTTGATGGCTTCGTGAAGGTGTCACCCGGCAGGCTTCTCCACGGAAAGTTGTTCTTCACCTTGTAAATATTTTATAGGCTGCTACCACGGAACTTAAATATCTGATTCCTTTTCATTTGCTCATTAGTCCACATTAGTATGGGTTCCTCTCTGAGACCCTGAAATAAACCATTTCTCCAAGTTGCCCTGGCTCCTTTTTTTTTTTTAAAGATTTTTTATTTATTTATGACAGAGAGAGGCCGAGACACAGGCAGAAGGAGAAGCAGGCTCCATGCAGGGAGCCCGTCGTGGGACTCGATCCCGGGACTCCAGGATCACACCCTGAGCTGAAGGGGGCACTAAACTGCTGGGCCACCTGGGCTGCCCTACCCTGGCTCCCTTTAACGGAGCATTTCAGAGCCGAGATGTGGGATTGAGGTGTGCCTGTTTCTGTGGTGGTGGTGGTGCTCCCACGCCCTTCAGTGGACAGAGCTGGGGGCTCTGCGTGTATGTGCGCCTGTGCACACACACGTTTACGTCCGTGTCTGTTTGCATCGGTGTATGACCCATGTACTGAAAACCAGGAGTTCACACCAGTACTGCCAGTTGGCGGGATTGATCCCGCTGCTGCTGGGTTTCTTCTGGCTTTCTGCCTTCCCAAATTCTCATGCCCCTCTGTGAGTGCGAGATTCCTGTCTGCCTTTATCCCTACTGCAGTTACTTATGGGGTCAGTCCTCCAGAGAAGCAACCACTCTGGTTTATAAATAACCGGTTCACTGCCGTTACTACCCTTTCTGCACAGATGTGCTCCTCACTGTGTCAGCTGACAGCACCGCCACCCCTCAGACCTCACCTGCCTCCATCACTCACCTGGTTCTGGCTGAGACCCACCCCCTGCCATCCACAGCCACCCTGTGGACGCTGTCTTCATTTCACTTCCCCAGAGATCCACTTCTGCTTGGGTTCTGCATTCCCACTTAGTTGCCTCTCACCCCACCCTTGGGAAGGCACCCTCCTCACCCAACCTGACACCAAGCCTCTCCCCTCTTCCACCCCCCCTGGGCACTCACCTCACTCTGCTTGGGCTCCGATGTCTTACTCTCGGTGGAGCAAGGGTTCCTTCCTCTGCTGGCACAGATCAGATGCCCTTCTCTCTGCCCCCATCTACCAGTTTTAGGACTGAATTGTGTGAGTTTTTGCAAACTGTGTCTTTTGAGGAATTGACCCAGTTCATCTGGGTTATCAATTGTGTGAACGTAGAGTTGTTGATAGTACTCCTTAGTTATCCTTTTAATGTCCATAGGGTCTGTAGTGATGTTTATTCTTTCGTTTCTGATATTTGTAATTTGTGTCATCTGGGTTTTTCTTAGTTAACTTTGCTAGAGGCTTATTGTTTTTGTTTTGTTTTTTTTTTTAATTTTATTTATTTATTTATGATAGTCACAGAGAGAGAGAGAGAGAGAGAGAGAGGCAGAGACACAGGCAGGCTCCATGCACCGGGAGCCCGACGTGGGATTCGATCCCGGGTCTCCAGGATCGCGCCCTGGGCCAAAGGCAGGCGCCAAACCGCTGCGCCACCCAGGGATCCCCAAGGCTTACTGTTTTTATTGTTTTTTTTCCCCCAAAGAAAATCATGCTGTGGACTGAGTTGTGTGCCTTGGAAATTCATATATTGAAGCCCCAACCACCCCCAGCATGACTGTATTTAGAGATAGAGTCTTTAAGAGGTTAAATGATGTAATAAGAATAGAGCTCTAGTCCAGCAGGGCTCATACTCATACCCTTGCCTGAAGAGGAAAAGACACCAGAGTGCTCCCTCTCTTTCATGTGAGGATACATAAGAAGGCAGCTGTCTCCAAGCTAGGAGGATAGCCCTCACCAATTACTGATTTCAGATCCGTCTTCTTTTCTGATACATACATTTAATGCTGTAAGTTGCTTCCTGAAGTACTATTATCACTACATCCTACAGATTTTGATGAGCTCTATTTTAATTCTCATTTAGTTTGAGGTATTTTAAAATTTCTCGACATTTCTTCTAGATCCAGGGATTATTTAGAAGTGCGCTGTTTTAATCTCTAACTATATTGGGATTTTTCCAGCTATCTTTATTACTGAGTTGGTCTAATTCCATTATGGTCTGAGAGTATACATTGTATAGTTTCTATTCTTTTAAACTTTCCATGTGTTTTTATGGCCCATGGTGTTTTGTGGCTCAGAGTGTGTTCTGTTTAGGTGTATGTTCCACATGAGTTTGAGAAGAAGGGGTGTTCTGCTGTTGAGGGAGGTACGCTGTAGACAGACGTCAGTCATATCCAGTCGACTGATGGTAGTGTGGAAATCAGCCGTATCCTTGTGATTTTCTGCTTGTTTGCTCTGTGCATTTCTGATAGTGGAGTGTTCAGGTCTCCAACTATTATGGATTCATCTGTTTCTCCTTGCAGTTTAATCAGTTTTTGTCTCACGTAGTTTGAGGCTGTCTACTTAGGCATATACACATTAAGGACTGTAATGTCTTCTCGGAGAATTGACTCCTTTATCATTGCAGAATGCCTCTGCCTTCATAATTTTCCTTGTTCTCCAGTCTACTTTGTCTGAAGTTAATAGAGGTACTTTACCTTTCTTTGCCCAGTGTTAGCGTGGTGTATCTTTCCCATAATCTCTCTGTCTTTATATTTAAAGTGGGTTTCCTGTAGACAGTGTATAGTTGGGTCTTGTATTTGTTCACTCTGACAACCTCTTTGCTTGGTGTATTCAGACCATTGCCATTTAAGGTGATTGTTGAGGGGTACCTGGGATGCTCAGTCGGTTAAGTGTCCATCTTCAGCTCAAGTCATGAACCCAGGGTCCCGGGATTGAGCCCCGCATGGGGCTCCCTGCTCGTTGGGGAGCCTCCTTCTCCCTATCTGTCCCTCCCCCACACACTCATGCTTTTACTTGCTCTCCTCTCTGTCTCAAATAAATGAAAAAAGTCTTAAAAAATAAAGGGATTATTTGATAGAGTTGGATTAATACTGACCATATTTGTTACTGTTTTCTATTCATTCCCTTGTTCTTTGTTCCTATTTTTGTCTTCCACTCTTTGTCTACCATCTGAGTTTTAATTAAGCATTTTATAAGATTCTGTGTTCTTTTCTTTCTTAGCTTATCAGTTATACCTCTTTTTCACTTACTTTAGTGGTTGCCTTAGGGCTTGCCATGTATGTTTACAACCAGTCCAAGTCCACTTTCAGATGACACTGTACCACTTCACAGGTAGTACAAGTACGATAACAAAATATTCCTAATCCCTCCCTGTTGTCTCTTGCGTTGTCATTCATTTGACTTATACATCAGCATAAATGGGTATATATACCGTTGACTTTGGAAGTAAAACACGCAGTTATTTTACCAGCCCTTGGGTTTCTTCGGGGATAGTAGAGAGTTACGATTCAGGTCCGGAAAGGGACAGCAGACCCACATAGGAATCCAGAGTACAAAGGGGAGGAGCACTCTTCTACAGAAAGTCCACAGGAGTAAACTGGGACTCCAGAGTGTAGAGGCTTCTCATTGGCTGAGTAGTGACAATTTCTCATTGGCTGAGCTGTTGCTGGGCGGGGAGAAAATCTTCCTTCCCCTGCAGGGATAGTCAGGTAGGCTTCTACCTGTCAGAAGATGCAAGGTGTGTCTCCTTCAGTTGGGTCTGCAAGGGGCTGTGAGGAATGTCACAGTCTGAGAGCTCCCCCTTCTGGCCTCCCGACTCCATTTTAAATTAGGTCATTAATACTGTTACGGTTATTATTGCTCTACTGGTTTATTTTTCTTCTTTCTCAAGTACATATTTTAGTACTTTCAGAAGAGGGTTGTGGGTAGTAGATGTTAACATCTGGCAATATATTTAAACTGGATACGATATTCTAGGTTCTTAGTAATTTTCCTTCAACATTGGAGATGTTCATTTTCTTCTAATCTGTCAATCTGTTATTCCTTGGTAAGTAATTAGTATGTTCTGTTGATTTCTTAGATTTTTCTCTTTATCCTTGATAGTCTGCAGTTTCTTTACAATATGTCCAAGAATGGATGGTTTAGGTTTATTCTTTTAACACGTGGAATTTTTTAATTACAGAATTCATATCTAACTTGAATTCACGAAAAGTATTAGATGTTAATGTTTTTTATTTTATTTTATCCCCCCCTCCTCTTGAATCTATTAGACATAGATTGGTGTATCTTAATTTATCATGTATTTTTCATAGCTTTTTCTTTCCATTTTCTTTTTATTTCTCTGAACTGTTTTTGGAAGCTTTTCTTAATTCTTTGAATTACCACTTTTCGCTTCCAGTTTACTTTATCTTTTGAGTTTTCAATTCGATAACTATTTCCTGCTGCTTAGAATTCTAACTTCTTTTTTACGTCTGCAAATCTTTTTATATGCACCTGCTTTGTTTCATGAATATGAGTCCTTTTTATCTCTTGGCTATCTTAAGTATGTTTATTTTAGAGCTCTTTTCAAATGTTCTTTCTCCATTTCCTCAGATGTGAATCTCTGCCCCTTGACAAAACCTTTTTGAGTTTATTTCTTTTAACATTTATGATGGCATTGATTTGTGGACTTTGGTTTTGTTTGAAAGCTTGTGTTGTATGGACATTTTCTCTCATAAAATTTCATCAACCACCTTACCTTCACTCCTGCTCCATAGATCAGAGTTTTTATTTTTGGCTGTAAGGTCACACCCTGAAGAGAGAATGTATTTCCAGACCCAAGATCCCATGACAGGCAGGCTTGGCTCCAAATTACCTTAAAGATAGGTTAGACCAGTTTACAATATCATCTCACATCTCCAGCATTACTAAAATAATTATTTATCTTACTTAATAGTGAAAGTTGTACCTTGTCATTTCAGTTGTGTTTCTCTTATTTATGCTTAGAGTGAACACTTTTCCGGAATTACCTCTGTAGTACCCTGAAAAATGATTGCTAGGTTGATTTTCTTTTCCTTTTCTTTTTCTTCCCATCACATGTCAGTTTTTACCCTAGCATAATTACCTAACTTGATTATTCATATTCACTGCACAGTGTTTATCACTTTTCCAAAGTCAGATCTAGGCCTAAGGAATAAAGATATTTGAGAGTCTGCTTTAGGATTTTGCTCCCTGCTGGCTATTCAAATTCAGCCTGTTTTCTAATGCTTTCTGTACCTCCGTGCTATTAAGAAGTAAGTGAGATGCACCGTTGTGATCCTGGATCATTGCTGAAACTGAGTACAGGTGATATTCTGGTCTTGATCGCTTTGCTAACATCTGGTAACATTTAGTGGTGTAAAACAACCATTTTATAGCGCGTATGGATTGGTCAGGAATTCAGAATGGGCACAGGGCAAAAGGTTTGTCTTGGTTCCACAGTGTCTGGGGCCTCAGCTGGAAGCCCTGAGGGCTGAGTGGTGACGAAACAGTTGGGTTCATTTGAATCTTTGTTGCATGTGCGGCAGCTGATTCTAACCTTTGACTGGGACCTTGATTGGGATGCTTATCTGAAATACCTGTAGTGACCTTTCCATGGGGTTGCTTGAGCTTCTTCTCAGCATACTGGCTGGGTTTGGAAAGTGAGCACTCAGGAGGACAGGTCCTAAGTACATGGCATTTTTGCCATTGAGCTTTGAAGTCACATAACACCACTTCATGTTGTTTATAAGCCCCACCCTGACTCACAAGAAGGGAATACAGAGCCCGTCTCTCAGTGGGACACGTGTCAGTGACACATTGTAAGAAGAGCACGTGTGTTGGGAGACATGTTGTGGCCCTCTTTGAAAATTATAGTCTGCCAAGTTGGGAAAATAAATTATTTTAATTGTTAGTAAGCCAGTAAAGGAATTACTTAAACATCTTTTCACATGATGAGGGTTGAAACAAGATTTTTAAATGTAATCTCTTCAAGTAAAGTTTAATATCAAACGTATTCCACAATAATTTCTTGTTAAGATTTTTATGAAAGTACTTTTAAATGTATCATCTTTTTGTTATATTTTCTATTAATAGCCCTAAGATAGCTTTTTATCATCTCTTATTTTGCAGATAAAAATAAAAAATGTAATATGGATTCATTAAGAGATTCACCCAAAAAGAAATCTGAAAAGAAACAACAGCACATCTGTTTGAAAGATGTAAATAAGGTTGTATTTTAAAATGTTTATTAGGTGTAAAGCTCATGCAATGTTAATTTTAGAATATTCTCATTTGAAATCTAGGAACCAAAAATATGTTTTCTGTTAAATCCTTGGCTATCATAGTGTTTTTTTTTTTCAGGAAGAAATATAGTTTGTGTGTTTGCTCTCTAATTCAAAAGAACAAGATAACTCCAGCTTCCCTCTTAGTTCCTGGCCTAGGGGCTTCTCTGCAGGATTGGCCATTTATGTTCATTTATTATTTCTTTTAAAGACCTTATTATTTGAGAAAGCATAAGTGAGAGAGGGTATAAGCAGGGGGAGCAGCAGAAGCAGTCAGCCCGAAGGGCAGGGAGCCCAACGTGGGGCTTGATCCCAGGACCCCAAGATCGTGACTAGAACTGAAGGCAGATGCTTAACTGGCTGAGCCACTCAGGCACCCCTATTTATGCTCATTTATTTACTTATTTTAAGATTTTATTTATTTATTCATGCAAGATACAGAAAGAGAAGCAGAGACACAGGCACAGGGAGAAGCAGTCTCTCTGTGGGGGCCCTGATGCCGGGACTCGATCCTGGGACCCCGGGATCACAATCTGAGCCAAAGGCAGATGCTCAACCGCTGAGCCACCCAGGTGCCGTATTTATGCTCATTTAACAAGGATGTGAAAACCTGAGATTATGGGACATTTAAACAGTTCAAGCCTAATGTGTCTTTCCAGTCCTTCAACAAGACAAGTGAAATCATTAGAGGACATTTGAAATACTGATTATCTGAAGTGCCAACTGCTTGCTACTTGGACACTTTAATCTAGTGATTGTAGCAATGGCATAATCACATCAGTTCTTTGTCTCTCCGTGTCTGTTTTGCCTGAAAATAATCTGGTATGGTTGTTTATGAGAATAACGTCCATGGAATTTTAGTTCCATAAGAATACATATTCTTGCTAAAAGAGATTTTTTTTTTTTACAGTGTGTTGAATCCTCAGTGTACTGGCCGACAAAGAGGGGGATAACCATATATGCTGAGCCAGATATACCAGCAGCAAGGTATGATTTGAAAATTCATTGTAATGGACTAGATGCATAAGTGTATTATTGTCTTTCACAGTATTCTGTGTGGTTGATGATAGGAAAGGATTCAGTTTCAATAGAGTAGCCCCAGATATTTTGATTAAACGTATATTAATTTAAAAGAAAAACCTGGGGCAGCCGGTGGCGCAGCGGTTTGGCGCCACCTGCAGCCTGTGGTGTGATCCTGGGGACCCTGGATAGAGTCCCGCATCGGGCTCCCTGCATGGAGCCTGCTTCGGCCTGTGCCTCTGCCCCCCTCTCTCTCTGTCTCTATGAATAAATAAATAAAATCTTTAAAAAAAAAGAAAAGAAAAGAAAAACCGGTAACAACTGGTCAACAGCAAAATTGACCAAAAATTGGCAGTGGCCCTAGAGTCTCCTTGTTACCTTGTTGGACAAAGCTGTTCCTGTAAGGCAGGTCCAGTGAAATGGTAAAGGCTGGGTGAGCGTGGGCCAGCCGGCAGGGCCAGGACCAGTTGTTGGAGAGGAGAATCAGAGGCTTTGACTGTAACGCTGGCCATGTCAGGATGCAGCTTAATGTTTGTGAAATCACGGAAAAGCTGTGCTGTTACACGTGTCACAAGTAGTGTAAGATCTTCGAGTCGTGTGTTCCATTCTTCTTCTGGGCTTTACATTAGCGTCGCACATTTCACTTATACATTCTTGATAAATCGTAGACTTTAGTATCATTTCTATTTAAACTGGGATCTTTTCAAGAGATTTAAATAAACAGAAAGAAAAAATACCTCCTGTGTTTACCTGTGTAGTTACCATCAGTTCTTTTCACGGTTTGTGTGGGCCCAGATCTCCATCTGGTATCGCTGGTCTTGTCCCTGAAGGGCTTCCTTTACTGTTGATTGTATGGTGGGTCTGCCGGTGATGAATTCTTCCAGTTTTTGTCTGTCTGGAAAAATTATTTCAGCTTCATTTTTGAAAAAAAGAAAAAAAAAAGGTATTTGTTGCTAGGTAAAGAATTCGAGATTGACAGTTCCTTTTTTCCTGTATTTTAAAGATACTGATGTACTGTCTGCTGGCTGCTTCACTCTCAAAGGAAAAGCTATGTCATCTTTTACTTTGTTCCTTTGTTTGCAACATTATCTTTTTTCCTCTGAATGCTTTTGAGATTTTTCTCTTTGTTTCTGGTGTGAACAATTTAATTACGATACACATGCCTGGGTCTAGTTTCTCATGCTTAACACTCATTAAGGCTCTTCACGTGTAGGGTTCCATCTGGCATCAGTTTGGAGACTATTCGGCTGCTGTTGTAGAGATGCTTGTACCCATCTCTTTCTCTTCTCCTTTTTGAGACTCTGGTGAGTCAAGTTTTATTCCTTTTGATAGTGTCCAGAAGGTCATTGACTTGGCTTATTTTTTTCAACCTTTTTTCCACATCAGTAATGCTGCTGGTGTCTCTCACTCGAGCCTTTTATTTATTTATATTTATTTATTTATTTATTTATTTATTATAGTCACAACACACACAGAGAGAGAGAGAGAGAGGCAGAGACATAGGCAGAGAGAGAAGCAGGCTCCATGCACCGGGAGCCCAACGTGGGATTCGATCCCGGGTCTCCAGGATCGCGCCCTGGGCCAAAGGCAGGCGCCAAACCGCTGCGCCACCCAGGAATCCCCTCATTCGAGCCTTCTATCATCTCCATCCTGCTATTTAGCACATCTGGTGAATTTTTTTATTTGACGTAGTCTATTTTTTCAGTTCCAAAATTTTCACACGATACTTTGTATAGTTTGTATATCTTTGCAGAGAACTTGTTCCACTCAAGAGCACGTACTCCGTCCTCTCTGAGGGATCTCGCTGAAGACAGCTCCTTGAGGGTACACGACGATTCCCACTCGCCTGCCATCTTGGGGTTCACACCTGCTGATCGTCTTTTCCCTTGACAGTTGATCTGGTTTTCCTGGTTCTTTGCATGTTGTGTTCTGGATGTTTGGAATATTATGGTGTGAGACCCTGGTTTCTGTTCAGATCCTCTGGACGATGTTGGCCTTTGGTGTTTTTGTTGTGTATTTAGCAGCAAGTCCGTAACTCCATTCAGACCCCGGATAGTGTCTCAGTTTGTGTGGGTGGTGGCTGTAGCTGTGCTTTGGGTTTGTTCTGAACATGCTCAATGAGGGGCAAGCCTGGGACTTGTGTTGGGTCATAAGGAGGAATGAGGGACCCCCTCCCCCAGGACCATCTCTTCTTTTCCAGAATTTTCCTCACATTGACCATTTTCTAGCTGCTCCCTGTCCTTGGGCCTCTGTCCAGGTCGGTGGCTTTTCAGGGAGAAACAGGTGTGCAGTTGTGTGCGATTGGGGCCACTTGTGGAGCAAAACAGCAGCAGAAATAAGAGGAAACAGATGGAGGTTTCCCCATGCCTCTTTAGACCCGGGCGCCCATTTCCCAGATCCTCTAGAGAGAGGGAGAGGTTTCCTCCCAGGGTTATGGGTGACAGACCTGCTGTCACCACTGCAGCTGTGTGACTGGAGCTGGCCTCAGGACGGGGCCAGGAGAGAAAAAAAGTGAAAAGAGAACATCAGTCAGGGTCAAGCTGGCTGGCTTACGGCTCTGGAGGGTTCTCTCAGTGCTTGGTGTCAACATTCACGATTCGGTTCTGTGTCTGGGCCAGCCTCGGGTCAACGTTGGGAGACAGGAAGGTAAAAGCCCAGGGAACATGGTTTTCATCCTTAAAGAGCAGAGTGTTCTCACAGAAATAAATCCACGCATGTAGAGCAACTCACTCCTCAGTGCTACTTACTGAGTTTCCTTCCAGAAAATAAAGGCATTTTCAGGATTGAGGTAAATGGACTCAGACAATCTAACGAATGTTTTTTGGTTCCTAGCGTTTTATGTCAGAAGCCAAACGAGAAACCACTCAGGTTGGCCGAGAAGAAAGAACACAATGAGAAAAATGGCTGTGTGAAGTACGAAGTTTTTCCTTGGTCTAAATTTTTTATTGAGATAATTATAACAAAATTATAAGCAGGGGAAGAATTTACGTTTGATTTTATTATTTATTTCAAACTTACGTTTCCATTTGGAAAATATGCCTCTAGTGTCTGCTGTAGGCTTTGAAGTTAATTTTTTTTCCCTGTTCACTAGGGTAGATTTTTCTTTTAAAATCTTTATTACACTGAAAATACTCATTTTCTGTCTCCCTTTCCTGATTCTCTTGGTGAAGTGAACAGTATTATGAAGCAAATTAGATATGGTTGGTCTTTGGGGCTGTTGATCTTCTGTGGGTTGGCGTCTGCTGTCTTCCTGGTTTTCTGATGGTAAAGGGGTCTTCCACCTGCTGGAGGAACTATTTAGTTACTTACAGTGTGGAATTGGGTTTTGGTGGGGGTTTTCTGTTTTTTTGTTTTTGTTTTTTTGTCCTGTCAGATTTACAAGGTAATCATGGACGAGTTGTTGACAATAGAGTAGTAGCTTTATTTCATACTTGTTTAATCCATGAAACATTTTCATACCCATTTTTATGACTTCTTACCCAGCCAGCCTTATCCTCCCAAGCAACCGTAGCTGCTCTGAAGTCACCAGAGTGACAAGGAATTTGCGACAGTTCACAACTGGGTTGGTCGCACTGTATCGCTTGATGGGCCTAGGTGGCTGGGGAGAGGGTGTTGACTGCAAGGCCATTTGGGCTGCCTGCCTCCCGGAGCCCGCCCTTTGGCCCTGTAACATCCTCTCACCCGGTAGGAGCTCCTCACAGGGCCCCGGGGCCAGGGGCTGGGAGGGCTGCCCTGTGTGGACATCCTCCCCCTAGGCATCCCTCCACCCTATCTGGAAGCCGTGGGGCTGCGTGTGGTTGTTTCCCTGGAACAAGAGACCTTGCATTATCGCATTATCCACGTGGCTCATTTCTTACTTTTATCATATTTAATTCTAACGTGATAAATTAACCCTGAGCTACTTGATTGCCTTTTATTTTCATATTAAAAGGTTGTATCTCTTCTCTTGGGCTCCGTGCCTTTTACTTAGAACCCGTTGATTAAACTGTGGCAGTTATTCGGTCAGTCCCTGGGAGCCACAGGGAAACTTGAAGTGGTTCAAGATGACAACACAGAAGGGAGGAGGCAACGTGAGATGACCTGGTAATCCTGCAGGTTTCCATCTCCTTCAGAACAGGTGTCCCTGGGCTTGGCAGCACTGTGTCCACAGCCTGGGAGCCAGCGTGCAGGGGCAAGCACTCTACTGATGTGACCCCTGTGGCCTTTGTATCAGTAAACAGGACAAAACAAGACAAGCAGGAATTACACAGCTGTGCCCTGGGATATGCAGTTGACCCTTGAACAACATGAGTGTTGGGAGACTGACCTTCCACACAGTTAAGTCTGTGTGTAACTTTTGCCTCCCCCCCCCCGCCAGCCTACTGCTGACCAGAAGCCTTAGCATCACATAGTCGATTAACACGTATGTGTGTGTTAAATGTATTATGTACTGTATTCTCACAATACAGTCAGCTGGAGAAAAGGAAAGGTTATTAGGAAGATCACGAGGAAGAGAGTACACTTTCAGTGTAAACAATCCACATGTAAGTGAATGCGCTTGGTTCAAACCTATGTTGCTCAAGGGCCAACTGCGTATTTCGTTCTATCTCTGTCAAGGAAGAATTAGAATTCAACTGAAGGAAGTATTAGCACTTTTTCCTTCAAATGGTCCTTTTCACCGTTTTATAGGTTATTGCAGTTCTTAAATCCTGATCCTTTGAGAACTGATGGGCTCTCTGATCTGCGGCAGGTATTATAACCCTAAAGAAATATAAAAATCCAAGACAGCTCTTTGCTTTTTAAATCCTCCTCCTTCCTTGTCTGAATTGGAGATTAGAAGAGAAACCAAACACCCTTAGGTGGGGACTCTCCCTGAAGACACCCTTTTAGAGATAGATCTTCCAGTGAATTATTGCATTAGAGAAATTATTATTATTCTGGGGAGGGGGTAGTAGATGCTCTTCCTTTCATTTTGGTGGGGTTGGTGGGTTTTGATGAGCATCTGTACCGAGGCTGTCCTCCCTTTGCATTAAGTGGTTGACTTCCTGCTCTCTCAGCTGCAGAAGCTGCGGTCCAGCTGCCAGCAGCCCTCGGCCGTGCTCCGGAACAAGATCGAGCCTTGCTTATCCATTGACACGTCGCCACTGTCAGCAGACCTGAGAAAGGTAACAGTGCGCCTGACGCCTGACCCCGTTCTGAGTAAACCATTCCAAGGCTGCATTTGTATAGTTTCTTTGCTTTTGACTCATTTCTCATTTATTCTTTAGGTCAACTTCCTGTAAGTGGATAATTTCTTTGTAGTGAAACCATTGTAGAACTCTTTTTTTTAATTACAAATTTATTTTTTATTGGTGTTCAATTTGCCAACATCTAGCATATCACCCAGTGCTCATCCCGTCAAGTGCCCACCTCGGTGCCTGTCACCCAGTCACCCCCGCCCCCCGCCCACCTCCCCTTCCACCACCCCTAGTTCGTTTCCCAGAGTTAGGAGTCTCTCATGTTCTGTCTCCCTTTCTGATATTTCCCACTCATTTTTTTCTCCTTTCCCCTTTATTCCCTTTCACTATTTTTTATATTCCCCAAATGAATGAGACCATATAATGTTTGTCCTTCTCCAATTGACTTATTCCACTCAGCATAATATCCTCCAGTTCCATTCACAAATACCCAAATAATGGGTATTTGTCGTTTCTAATGGCTGAGGAATATTCCACTGTAGAACTCTTACTGCTTTTCTGAAATAAGTTTTCAAATGCGTCTCTGGAAAGGGGTCCCGAGAAGGAGCAGCAAGTGGCCAGGGCAATTAAGACGTACCTGTGAGTGTTCTTCTCAAAACTGCTTTAGAGACCTGCCCTTTCAGTTAGTGAATTGACCACACGTATTTATTTCCTTCTTGATTCAAAAAAAAGAAAAAAGAGAAGAAAATAAGCTAAAACCACAAGGATGAATTGAATGACAGTGAAGTCTTTAGTGGCTTAGAAACTTCCTCAGGCTTTCGAAAGATGGAAAAGAGGCAGCAGAGTGTGGCTGGGAAAGGAAGGAGGGAAGTCAGAGGTTCTAAACTGAGCATCCACAGCCTCTCGGGAAGGACAGTCTTTTGGAAGGAACTGAAGGGGCCTAGAAATGCCCCTCAGATGAATTCTTTCAGTAAAAACACCTGCTCACTGTCCTGGCTTCCAGCAGGGGTATGGCACTCAACGGTGCCAAGTGCCGCCCTCCACACATCTCCCAGCCAGCTTTAGGGGGCCTCCTCCCTGCACACACACATCAGGGATCCTTAGATACTTTTGATGAAAGCTGCCACCTAAAAAGAAAATAAAATCATTATTTATTTTTTAAAAAGATTTTATTTATCTGAGGGAGAGAGAGAAAGAGAGCACAAGCAGGGGGAGCAGCAGGTAGAGAGAGGGGGAGAAGCAGGCTCCCCACCAGCAGAGAGCTCAGCATGGGGCTCGATCCCAGGACCCAGGGATCATGACCTGAGCCCAAGGCAGATGCTTAGCTGGCTGAGCCACCCAGGCAGCTCTAGGAGCGTATTTTAAGAAGTAGACCAAAACAAACTCCGAAGGAAACAGTGTAGGCAGTAGAAGTGCTGCAAAATTAATACCGTCAGAGATAGTATTAACAGTATTTATTAAACAATAAGAATAAAAGGTTTTTGGAAATTCAGAATGCTATAAAATAGAAACCAAGGGGTGCCTGGGTGGCTCAGTGGTTGAGCGTCTGCCTTCGGCTCAGGGTGTGACCCCAGGGTCCCTGGATCAAGTCCCACATCGGGATCCCTGCAGGAAGCCTGCTTCTCCCTCTGCCTGTGTCTCTGCCTCTCTCTCTCTATGTCTCTCATGAATAAATAAATACAACCTTAAAAATAAAAAGAAAATGAAACCAAGCAGCAGATTGGAGAGAAAAAATGAGAGGGGAGCTAATAGAGCAAAAAGACGAAGAGATGAAAAGAGGGGGAAAACAGAATTTGAGGGTTGTTTGGAGGTTTAGTCTCTAAAGTGGGATTTAAAAAAAAAAAAAAGAATGAAGGAAGCAGGCAGAGAATTCTGAGAAGAGCAACGCACAAGTGATTTCCAGACCTAGCGGAAGGGACTGTCCAAATAGGAGAGGCCCCGCCATGCCCCCACGAGCCCAGCACATGAGGGGGCAGGATCGTGGGTGCTCGGCTGTGAGGTGTCCATCCTGGGGTGGGGTTTGGGGGCTTCCCAGATCACAAATGGCTTCATATTTGGCTTCGGTAACACCCAAGGGGTGCTGATTCCGAGATTTGGGTGAAAAGTGATTTCCGGCCTCAAGGTCCACCTGTAGCTAGCAAAGAGACATTTTCAGACATGCAGAGTCTCGTAGGAATTGACTTCCTGAAGAAGGACACTGCTGAGGTATCCTCTCCACCAGAGCAGGAAGGTCAGCCAAGGACGACCGGCGTCGCAGCAGGGACAGCGCAGGGGGGCTGCAGGGGGACGGCTGCACGTGGGAGCACAGCCGGTGCTCATGGGCTGGGGACGAGGACCTCACCCACACGGTGTGCTCAGGAGTTCAGCGTGGCTGGAGACCTGTGTCTGTTGCCACACTTGGGAGGTGCGAGTGACTGTCACATAGAAAAACAAGCAAATAAAGGCATGGGGTTTTTTAAGTATTATTTAAGTAATCTCTGTACCCAGTGTGGGGCTCAGACTCACAACCCTGAGATGAAGAGCCTCTGACTGAGCCAGCCCAGTGCCCCAATAAAGTCGTATTTGAAAAACAACAACAACAACAAAAAACTTTGTAAGTAAAGCTGATGTGCTCCCAGACTGTTGGGAGGAGGAGCCATGTCCTTGCTCTAGAACGCTCTAAGCACCTGGTTTTTATTTGGAGCCTAGAAAAGCAAGTGTCTTATGGCAGAAGTTTGGTGCTGGGAAGAGACTCAGGGACTTGTCAAGTTAGGACTTAGAAAATACCAGATTGAGCACCGTGTAGTGGCTGTGGTGGCGGGCGGGGGTGCGGGAGTGAGCCGAGAGAGGAGTTTTTGTTGGTTTTCTACGCTTCATCGGTGGTGTTTGGTTGCTGGTGTCTTACAGGCCCTTCAGAGGAACAAGTTCCCGGGACCTAGCCACGCCGAGTCCTACTCTTGGCCTCCCATAGCGCGGGGCTGTGACGTGGTGGTCATCTCTCACTGTGGGAATGATCCTCTGCTGTACCTCCCGCCAGTGCTTACGATTCTGCAAACGGGGGGCTGCTACAAGTCTTTACCAAGTAGAAATGGAGTAAGTTGGAGACCGTTTTGTTTCAACAACGAAATGGCTTCAGTATGTCTTTTTCAGTTTTACGCCTGACCTGTGGGGAAGCGTGGGTCACGTTACTCATTTGGTTTCCGTGACAGGACAGGAACTTGCCAGAGTCATTGATGCTCTGACACTGATTCTCCCCTCGAGCCCCCGTTGTGGCCAGCGGCTGAGCCAAGAGATTTCTGGCGTTTGGAGATGAATATATAACTTACAAACTCACTCCACTGATTTAACTCCTCTGTCCCGGTCCCCCGGGGGATGATCAGGCCGGGTACAGTTCACACCATTTCATAGATGAGAAAATTAGCCTCCTCCGACAAGTGAGACCAGAGGTGGGATGGGAATGTAGATTTTTTGTCACCTTGCCCCACATTCTTCTGATCATTTCCCAGCACCCACCCTGTTGTGTGATCCTACATTATTCTTCCCATGCGTGGGAATCCGCAAGTAGCGGTGAAGGATCCTGGAAAGGAGAGAAGTGGGGTGTGGGGTCAGCTGATAGTGAGGCGGTGACCCCTGCTCTGCTGGGTCCGGGCGGTCAGGCGACCCGTGCAGAAGACGCGTGTCTCAGGATGCGCTACGAACAGTTGCATACTCATCATCACAAGGTGAAAGGTTGTAGTAAGAAAAGACCGTTGCATTCAGGAGAGGTCCTCATTTTTCTAATCCTGCTGTGTGGCTTTAATGGTTTCCCTTTGGGAATCCGCAGTGGCTGGGTTATTACGTATTGATTTCCCGTCTCCGTCCCTCGGTTCGCAGCTGACCTCTGCGGACCAGATCCAGCTTGTGTTGAGCTAGAGCCGAGGCGTGGCCTCTCGCGTCCTCTGCTGTCTCCACGTCCCTGGGGTCAGCTTGCTTTGGGGCCTGGCGCCTGGAAGCTGACACCCACCTGGATCTGCACAAAGGAAAGGGGAGACTCGTTCTCGTCTTCCGTTCATTGAGGGCGTGTGTCCGGGAGGGCGTTTGGCAGGCAGTGCACCTTCAGGAGATGCCTTTGGGTTGGGGGAGGTCAGGGTTCACATGGAGCCGTAGCAAACTTAATCCCCCTAAGGAAGAGATGCTCACCTTTTCTCAAGCCCCTTTCGGGAGGTGGTTCGTTCACCGGGTGCCTGGAGCCAGACTGCCTGGATTCAGATCCTGTCGCTCCCGTGTCTTAGCTGTGTGGCTTGGGCAACTGACCTTACCTCTCTGTGCCTCACACCCATCTGTGAAATGAGGAAATAATAGGTCCGAGCCTGTAGGAGTGATCTAAAAACAAAAGGAATTAATATTTGTGAAATGCTTGGTGTAAGCCCTAGAAAAATCTGAGTCCTTGTGTCTAAATCCATTCTAATCAAATTATACCTTTTCTGATCTACAGGACAATGACGGGAGCAAAAAAAAAAAAATGTCATGCAGTGCTTACTCTGTGCAAGGAGACGTTCTGCATGCCACAGACACTATGTTCAATTCCTAAGTTTTGCCCCAAATTATGTGAATTTGTCTTTGCAGCCTCTGGCAGTCGTCGTGTGCCCTGGGTGGAAAAAGGCCCAATTTATTTTCGAGTTACTGGAAGACTATAGCATGTCCTCCAAGCCTCTTCATCCTGTGTTGTTAACAATCGGACTCCACAAAGATGAAGCCAAAAACATGAAGCTTCCGAAGGGGTGTAAGCATCCTTCCCAAGCCGTTTGCTTCTCCCTGTGGAACGCAGTGGAGCCCTGCCAGGCAGGCGCAGCTGCACAGGACACGGGCACCAGCCCAGTGACGGGTGGGACCTCGCCGCGGGTTCCAGGCGGGCGTAGAAGGGCGAAGGTTCCATCTTGGCTGACAGCCGTTGCACTGAGAAGACAGCATGATTCCTTCACTCACCAACTACTTATCAAATACCTTTGTTAGATGTCGACTGCACCTCCAGCCCTGCCCTTCAGGAGCACAAAACCTGGTGGGAGCCCAGGCACTAGTCAGATAAGGACAGGTGTTGTCCTGGACAGGCAGGCCTCACCTGCCTGAGCAGGAAAAACCGTGTGTTTGTTTGTTTGTTTGTTTGTTTGTTTGTTTTTCATCATTAGACAGAAGTTCTAGAAAGCATGTGGCATCTTAGCAAAGGAAATGTGAGAAAAACCTTTGGGAAATCTGAATGTTAATTGTCTTCTCTTCTGAAATGTAGGTGACATCATTGTGACGACACCCCACAGCCTCCTGAGACTTCTCAAATACCAAAGCTTGCTATTTCTCAGACTTTGTCACCTCATTTTGGATGAGGTGGAAGTATTATTCTCTGAAGCTCATGAAGAAGTAAGTATGGCTCCATCGAGATGTCATCATCACTCGGAACTAAACGGATGTGTGATTGAAGTCTTACCTGCTTCTAGGAGTCAGGGGATGTGTCTCTGGGGAAAGAGCTGGTTAATCTTGAGAAGCTTTCCCTTTAACTTTTATAATTAGGAAGAGAGTTGATCTGAAATTTCCTTTCCGAATTCTAAAGTTCTCCTTGAAGGGCAAAGAGGGATGTTTTCTAAAATACCGATATGTGTGGCTAAAGAAAACATACAATTTTTTTGCATGTTTCCGGTAGGATCAATTCCTAGGAAGGGGATTAATGGAGTAAAGGCTGGGAATTCTTATACGAAGGCATTTCTTGGGTCCAGTGTAACAAGCTGACCAGAGGCATTTCATTTGGGAGCAGTGATGTCCCCAGGTTCAAGTCCAGGCTCTGTTGCTTACTGACTGTGTGGGCCTGGGCAGGGTGCTTGAACGCCTCGACTTGCAAAACTGATACCCGGGATACTGCATTGTACAGTTCCCTCTCTGGGGATTGGAAGCGGGGACTGGGTTAGGCTCCCATGGACAGTGTGCACCTGTGCCCCATCCCCTGCACCCCTGGCAGGAGGAGGCCCTAGGCCAGCGGGTTAAATGTGGCATCCCATTAGCATAATCTGATTTCCAAGCATTCATATGGGCTACTCCTGTTCTTTGTGCTGCTGCTTCCTTTTCTTTGCTTATTTTCCATTTGTAGAACTTTTTTTTAAACTTTTTTATAATGTGCATTTTCTTTTATTTAAAGTATAATTGTGAATCTTTTTCCATATCTTTATGTTCTTTAAAAATATGGCTGCATGTCATTCCATTATATGGACATCCATAAAGCTTTAACTATGCCTCTATCATTGGACATTTAATGATATTAATTTCTTTTTTTTTAATGTAGAACTTTTTAACATAAGGAAGTTAATTCTTCATTACCTATGTTATATGTTTACCCAGATATTGTTTGTGTTTTGTTCTGTTTATATTTAACATTCTCTCCTCTTATGTTTTTTTCTTTTGTTTGGAAAGGCCTTCCCCCACTCTGGGGACAGAACATGTATAGTTCTTTACTTTTTGTGGTCTGTCAAGCAGATTTTACTCCCTTTTGAAATAAACATGAAATTAATTACACTAATTTTTTTAGATGTTTGCCATATTAGATAACTTAAAAAAAAATATTGATGTTGAAGAAAGGGAATCCGCACCTCATCAGATTGTTGCCGTTGGAGTTCATTGGAGCAGACACATAGAACAGCTGGTCAAAGAGTTCATGAATGACCCCTACGTTGTGGTCACGGCCATGGAAGAGGCAGCTCTCTATGGCGGCGTCCAGCAGGTGCGGGCTCGTGGGCACGTGTGGGGATGGGGGCTGAGCAAGCAGCCCCGTACTGAAATATTACAGCTTTAGTCTCATCCACAAATCTGTAATCATGTATTTAGATTTATATTGACTTCCTGTGCATTCTTTTCTGTTAAAACCCTGACTCAGCGATGAAAAGTAAAACCAGGGCACCTTGAATCTGTTTAAAGCCACATTGTTGCTGTATTTCATTACCAGGTAGTGCACCTTTGCCTAGAATGTGAAAAAACCTCTACTCTACTCCAGACTCTCGATTTCACTCCAAGTCAAGCACAGAAGACCTTGATCTTTACTGGTTCTGTAGCTGAAACAGAAATAGTGTGTAAGGTGAGGCCTTCCACGCATAAAACATCCTTACTGTTTGTTTGAACCGTGATCGAATCTCGAAATCATCAGAGAATTATACCAGGTAGTTAAATAGTCGACTGGGGATAAAGTTTCTGAGTTTATCGTTAGTCAGAAGAGTCAAAAGAGGAGGTGGCTATTGCTGCAGAGTGTGGCTGGCAGTGAGGAGGGACGGCGGGAGGCCTGACCTTGAGGGAGGAGCCAGGGAGGTGGGACCAGCCTTTCCACCGAAGCACGTGCTCCCCTAAGGAGGCCGGTGCTTTGCGTTTTGTCGTTAAAAGGATCCCATTCATAAAGACATGCCAGTGAGGTCTATATCCTCCATTTTAAAAAGATAGAGCCTGGGCAGCCCCGGTGGCTCAGCGGTTTAGTGCCCCCTTCAGCCCAGGGCCTGATCCTGGAGACCTGGGATCGAGTCCTACGTCAGGCTCCTGCATGGAGCCTGCTTCTCTCTCTGCCTGTGTCTCTGCCTCTCTCTCTCTCTGTGTGTGTCTCTCATGAATAAATAAATTTAAAAAAAAAAAAAGATCCGGTAACACCAAGAGATCACGTGGCCAGAAAAGCCAACTAAATTGGGTACAGATTTATTTAATATAACCTAAATCTGTATTCTATATCTAAACATAGAAATGAAGCCAAATACAAATTATAAGAATCAGGCTCCTGGATGGCAGAGTCGGTTAGGCTTCCAACTCTTGGTTTTGGCTCAGGTCATGATCTTGGGGTCCTGAGATCAAGCCCCACGTCAGGCTCCACACTCAGTGGGGAATCTGTTTGAGAGTCACTCTCTCCCTCTTCACCTCCCTTCCCCGCATACTCTCTATCTCAAGTAAATAAATCTTAAAAAAAGACTTATATAAAAATAATTTAAAAATATAAGGATCAGTAGTACATCCACCTTTCAGCCATGATGAACTAGAGGTGTCACGGAAAATAATGTGACACATATTTGCACATAAATTTGATGTGTGTGTATAGCTATACACATGTATGTGTATAAATAAATACATCTGTATGTATGCACTATACAAAAGGAAGGAAAATAGTTTCAGCAAAATGTTTCACTTGAGCAAGTTTTTAGATACAAACTATAGGATTTTAGAATATATCTGTTTAAACTTAAGATCATCTTGTTCTTAAAATTTGTGGATCAGTGACGTAATATCCTCACAGATAATTTTTAAATGTTTTATACTGGTAATCATTGATGGAACAATTAACTTCAAGCTTATGTTCCTGACTGTGAACTGGCCTATTTGGTTTCATCTCTAGGTAGTAGAAAGCAGTTCAATATTTTGCTTGAAAATGCATAAAGAAATGGTTTTAAATTTAAAACGTATTTTAGAACAGTGGAAGAAGAAGTTAAGTTGTGGCTCTCACCTTGTATTAGGTAAGTGTTTTAATTTCTACTTATATTTACAGAAGGCTGAGCTAATAGGAATCCTATCTTCAGTTTATTTGTATAGCTCGTCTCCACATTTCTCATCATTTCCCAGATTCACTGAGAATTCATTAGTAATGTTAATTTCAAAATGGAGATTAAGCTCCACTAAGATTTTGGTGTTGAGGCGAATGCAGGGGCCTGTGGAGCCCTAAGTGTAGCAGCCCGAAGTGTAGACCTTCCCCCGGGGGTTCCAGCTGGAGGGCCACCATCTCGTTTATATATACGTGTCTGTGCCCACAGTGAAATCTGTCACAAGTGGTAGTGAAATACAGTGGTAGAGCTCAAAAAAGTCAAAACGTGTAAAATAAGTGAAAACTGGACAGGCAACCTAGATTTGTAATAGAAGCAGTTTCCAAGCTAAAATTAGGAAGACTACTTTTCTCTGGAACGTGTCACTGGGCTGTGACATTTTGGGGGAAAAAATGGGGAAGAACTTTCTTGGCATCTAAGAAGTACGATGCAGTAGAGAGATGCATTCGAGGACGGTTCCCGGAATTGCTCTGTAGGGTAAGTGCAGTGAAGCCACAGCCTCGTTTGTGATTGTCGGACCCTTTCCTCCAGCCCTGACTGATGATTGCATACCACTCTTGGCCATCACCGACGCCACGTGTGTGATTCACTTCAGCTTTCCTTCCTCACCGAAAGTTTTTGGTGGACGCCTCTACTGCATGTCTGATCACTTCCAGAGTTCCACCGAGCAGGTTCGATGGATTTTCATTATCTTGTAATATCCTGCTGGCATTTTCTGTGCTATGACAACTTCAGAGTCCACAGAGTTTTATCACTTAGACGGGATGGATGACCTGTTTGCTTTGTTCACCCCCCCTCAATTTTAAGGGTTCTCCCGCAGAGCAGGGAGATAAGAAAACCAAATCTGTCTTGCTGCTGACGGAGAGAAACGCGTGCCACACGGTTGGTGTCCTGCGCTACCTGGAGCGAGCAGATGCTAAGATTCCCTCGGAGCTCTATGAGTTTACCGCAGGGGTTCTGGAAGCCAAAGAAGATAAAAAAGCCAGGAGGCCTCTTTGTCTGTATCTTAAGGCGTTTGGTTTTTGCAAGTAAGCCATTTTTTAAATAAAAAAAAATTATTTTTTAAATAAAAAATTGAAAAGTACGGCAAAGCGCAGTGTGATAGGTTTACTGCTGGATGACCTTCACGTATACATGCGTGATGTAAAGCACCGCCCACCTCTGGGGGACACCTGCGGCTGCCCCCATGCTCCTTCACAATCTTTCCTCTCCCTAGAAGAGGCCACCCCCCCCCAATATCTGTCAACACTGATTAATTTGGCTTGTTTTCCAGTTTTATGTAAATGGAATTGTACAGGACTTTCATCTCACATTCATCTGTGTTCGTGCTTGTATCCGGTGGATTTCTTTATTAATTTAGTGCTCAGCATTCTGTTGCATAAGTATATCACAGTGTATATATCTGTTTTCCTATTGATGAACCTGCCAACTATTTCCAGCTCTTGACTATTGTCTATGAAGCTGTTGTGAACACTCTTGCATGTGTTTTTTTGTGGAAATATGCACCCAGTTTCCTTGGGGTATAGACTTCAGAGTGAGATTGCTGGGTCGTGGGGTACACATACATTTGACCTTTCGAAGGTGTGTGACTGCCTCTCCCATCAGCAGCATATGAGAGCGCTGAGCGGCTCCATAGCCTCACCTGCACACCGTGTTCGTGAGGGTGCAGTGGCACACCGTGGCCTCCATTGGTGTTTCCCTAGCAATTAATGATGAGTGTCTTGTGACATGCTTGAGGGACATTGGACCATCCTCTTCTGGTGAAGTGCCTGTTCAGTGCTTTTGCCCATTTTTTATATTGGGTGTTAACTCTTTTTCTTAGTGGTTTGGAGGAATACTTTATTCATTTGAGATACTACTGCTTTGTCAGATGTGTACCTTGAGAAGATCTCTTCCCAGTCCATGGCTTGCCTTTTGGCTCTTGCAGGAGTCTTTGATCAGTGGAGCTTTTTAATTTTGATGAAGTATTTCATGGTTGCAATTGTTTCGTGCCCTTATGTAAGGAATATTTGCTGAGGGACGCCTGGGTGGCTCAGCGGTTGAGCACCTGCCTTCAGCCCAGGGCGTGATCCTGGAGTCCTGGGATCCAGTCCCACGTCAGGCTCCCTGCATGGAGCCTGCTCCTCCCTCTGCCTGTGTCTCTGCCTCTCTCTCTCTTTCTGTGTGTCTCATGAATAAATAAATAAAATCTTTTTTTAAAAAAAGAAATATTTGCTGATCTCTAGGTCATGGGGACATTCTTCTGTATTTTATTCTAGAAGCTTTACAGACTGTTTCACATGTAGGTGTGTAATCTAGGGGGAGTTAATGTTTGTGTATAGAGTGAGATATGGGGCAAGGATTTTTTTTCCTGTGTGATAATCGCTTGCTCCTGTATCCTTTACTTAAAACATCACTGTGTTCTCACTTAACTGGTGCCTTTGACATAAACCAGATGGTAGAGTGTGTGGCCCACTTGTAGACTCTCTGTATTGTTTCAGTGTCTGTGTCCTTACACTGGTACCACATTTTCTGACTGTAGCCTGTATTTGAGTGAGTCCTGGAACCTGGTATGCAAGTTCTCCAACTAGTCTTCATCAGGGTTGTTTTGGCTATTTTAAGTCAACTGCATCTCCCCATACATTTTTGAATAGGCTTATCAGTTTCTTCAGAAACATTGCCTGACTTCTGATACTACGTGCAGGGATGCTGGATGTCAGCTTAGAGAGCATGAGAATCTCAGCAGTCATGGGGAGGGTTTCTCATTGATCCAGACATGATGTCAGTACTTGATCAGCGCTCGCTGGGACTGGGTCGTAGATGTCTGATAGGTACCTGTTGGATCGAGTTTACTTTTAAGATAACTGTTTACGTTTATTTCTTTGAATTACGGTACCTGAAATAGATTATTAGTGGAGATTTCCATATGCCTTTAAACAGAATATGGAGTTTTGAAACTGAAGCTTTAATGGTTTCTCAGCTCAGGTTACAGAATGACTTCTGGTTTAGCAGTTAATTATTAGTCTTTGTTTTGGGTTGTGGTCATTTCTAATTCAGAGTATTTTGGAAGTACATTTTGTTCAATGACAATGTCTAGAGAAATAATGGAGGAACTCTTTAAGTTTGTTCAGTGTTAATTAAATTTTAGGACCCCTTTCACTACTGTGCATGTTGTGTCACCTGGATTATTTAATATGGCTACTTAACTTTAAAGTATTAGAATAAAAGCCTCTGATTTCAATTATAGATTAATTTTCATTAATTAAATTAAATTTCATTAATTTCAAACCAAGAATGGTTTGAAATTCATGTTAAAAATTATTGTTCGAGGGATCCCTGGGTGGCGCAGCGGTTTGGCGCCTGCCTTTGGCCCGGGGCGCAATCCTGGAGACCCGGGATCGAATCCCACATCGGGCTCCCGGTGCATGGAGCCTGCTTCTCCCTCTGCCTGTGTCTCTGCCTCTCTCTGTCTGTGACTATCATAAATAAATAAAAAAATTAAAAAAAAAATTATTGTTCGAAGGGGTGGTGGAAAGGGAGGTGGGCGGGGGCTGGGGGGTGACTGGGTGACAGGCACTGAGGGGGGCACTTGATGGGATGAGCATTGGGTGTTATGCTATACGTTGGCAAATTGAACTCCAATAAAAAAAAAGGAAAATTATTGTTCGGTTTTTGTTTTTAAAATCCAGTTACTGTTTTTCAGAGACAAAAGGATCTGTCCTAATCGACACCATGTTAATCCAGAAATGGACACACCAAGGAAATTATCCAACCAAGCTCTACCGACGTTTGGATACATCAAAGTAAGTTCTGCTGAAGATCCTTTGTTCAGTGATTAATGATCAGCTTAACGAACATACTTCATTCCTTTTTTTAAGATTTATTTATTTGAGAAAGAGCACATGAGCATGAGGTGGAGGAGCAGAGGGAGAGGCAGAGAGAATCCTCAGGCAGACCGCCCGCTGAGCAAGGACCCTGTCACAGGGCTCAGTCCCAGAACCCTGAGATCATGACCTGAGCCGAAACCAAGAGTCAGCAGCTCAGCTCGCTGAGCACCGAGGCGCCCCTGAACATACTTCATTCTGAAGCAGCAGAATCATTATGACGCTCTTAACGTACCACCATTAATCTGACGGCAGGCATGGGTCCTTAAAGGTGCCTTATTTCAAGACCGCAGTTCATTGAGAAAAGCAAGGTTAAATTAGGAAAATAGATAAACCACTTCAACAGTTAAGAGGTATTTTAGTTATATTTTCAGAAAGTTGTTTCCTTAAAAATAGTGTGATGTGGGCAGCCTGGGTGGCTCAGCGGTTTAGGGCTGCCTTAAGCTCGGGGCATGATCCTGGGGACCTGGGATCGAGTCCTGCATCGGGCTCCCCGTGTGGAGCCTGCTTCTCCCTCTGCCTGTGTCTCTGCCTCTCCCTCTCTCTCTCTTTCTCTGTCTCTCATGAATAAATAGATAAAATCTTTTTAAAAAAAATAGTGTGATAGCACACACATCTTTTCAGAACATTCATGATAATTCTGAAATGTAGATAAAATTGCTGAGTTAAGAGTGTGTCACTTTCTTTTGAATACTTTCTAATACTTGAGTTCAAGATTGCTCTTACCTTCCCTTCTTCTAAGGCAGATTTCTTCAGCTCATTTGTACCATTCTTCCTGGCTCAGTCACCTCATTCCTAATTTTTTTTGATATATGTTGTTCTTTTGTACATATCCTTTATCATGTACGTATCTTTTCTTGTATTTTGGGTTTTTTTTTCCCCATTTTTTTAAAAGATTTTATTGATTCATGAGAGACACACAGAGAGAGAGGCAGAGACACAGACAGAGGGAGAAGCAGGCTCCCTGCAGGGAGCCCGACATGGGACTCAATCCTGGGACCCCAGGATCATGCCCTGGGCCGAAGGCGGCGCTAAACTGCTGAGCCACCCAGGCGTCCCTGTCCATTTTTCCTATTGAAGAACATCCTAGTTGCTTCCAAGTTTTGGCAATTATGAATAAGACTGTGATAAATATTTGTGCAGAGGTTTTTGTGGATACGTGGGTTTTCAACTCATTTGGGTAATACCAAGGAGTGTGATTGTTTGATTGTTTAATAAGACTCTTTTGCTCTGTAAGAAATTGCCAGACTGTTCTCTGAAGTGGCTGCACCATTTGCATTCCAACCAGCAGAGAATGAGAGTTCCTGTTCCTCTAGTCCTTGCCAGTATTTGACGTTGTCAGTGTTTTTAACTCTAACTGTTCTAGTAGGGGTATAGTGGTACCTCATTGTTTATTTTGCAATTCCCCGATAATGTTGAGCATCTTTTCATGTGTTTATTCATCAGCTGTACATCTTCTTTGGTGAGCTATCTGTTCAGGATTTTTTGCCCATTTTTTTCATTGGGTTGTCTGTTTTTTTCTTGTTAAGTTTTAAGAGTTCTTTGTAGATTTTGTATACCAGTCCTTTATCAGAAACAGGTTTTCAAAAATTTTCTCCCAGTTGTGGCTTACCTTTTCATTCTCCTTATAGTCTTCTGCAGAGCACAAGCTTTCAATTTTAATGAAGCCCAACTTTCTAGTTGTTTCCATATCCACAAGGTCATCATGAAACCCAAGGTCACTTAGATTTTCTCCTTTTTATCTTCCTCATCAGCTTTTATTTTGGTGTCTGGGGTGGGGGGTATTTTGTTAATTAGTTTTGTTGCAAAGTATATCCCTGGTGTTTGGTTTTGCCATCTCATTGCTCTCTTTATGTGGAGATTCAGAGTCAGGACATATGCCCCTTTACCACTGCTACCCTTCTAGAACCCGTTCAACCAGACCCCTGCTTTTAATTGGCTCTATTGAGGTACAGTTTACATGCAATAAAAATCACTGTTTAGAAGTGTATAGGTTGTTGAATTTTGAGAAATACATACAATTGCGTAACCACTACCACAGTGAAGACAGGAACATTTTCATCACCCCAAAAAGGCCTCTGCTGGCCCCATGCTGACAGTCCTGAGCCTCAACCCCAATTCCTGGTGGCTGCTGGACCTGCTTTCTGCCACTATAGCTTTGTCTTTCCTGGGATTTCATATTGATGGAATCCTACAGTCTGGACTTTGAGTCGGATAGTTGTTTTTAGTGTAAGGTTTATGAGATTCACCTATGTTGTTCTATTTTTTTTATTTTTTTATTTTTTTTTATTTATTTATGATAGTCACACAGAGAGAGAGAGAGGCAGAGACACAGGCAGAGGGAGAAGCAGGCTCCATGCACTGGGAGCCCGACGTGGGATTCGATCCCAGGTCTCCAGGATCGCGCCCTGGGCCACAGGCAGGCGCTAAACCGCTGCGCCACCCAGGGATCACTGTTGTTCTATTTCATCGCTGAACAGGATTGCATTACATGGATGTGCCTTTGTTTGCCCACAAGCTGATGGATGTTTGGCTTGTGTGCAGTTTCTGGCTGCTGTGAACTTGTGTGTTACAAGTCTTTCTAGACCTACACCTTCATTTCTCTCCGGTGACTTGCTGCGGCGTCATAGTGTCTGTGTGCACGTGCGCCTGTGTGTGTGCACCCACACGTGTAAGGATCTGCCAAACCACGTGTACCATTTTACATTCTCATTGCACCATATTTGAGAGTTCCAATAGGTCCACATTCTCAATACGTAGTGTTCTCAGTCTTTTAATTTTTGCCACTCTGTTGCATTTGCATGAATGTTTATTTGCCTTTCTCTGGTGGTAAAGAATCTTGGACCTCTTCTCACTGCTTACCTGGGCCTGTGTATCTCCTTTATGAATTAGTGTTTGCTAGTATCACAGTGTTTGCCCATTTTTTAGTTTGGGTTGTCTTGTTGAGTCTTAAGAATTCTTTGTAGATTATGGATGTGCTTTGTCAGATATATTACAAATATTTTCCCTCAGCTGAAAAGCAGAGATTTTTAATTTTGATGAAGTCTTCTTTTACCACTTTTTTATTTTACGTTTTGTGCTTTTCTTGCCATAAGAAATCTTTGCCTACCCTAAGGTTGCGAAGATTCCTTTCTTTTTTTTTTATTCTAGAATTTTTATTTTAGAATTTTAGGTTTTACATTTAGGTCTGTGATCCATCTCAAATTAATTTGTGTGCATATAGTGTGGATAAGGGGACCTGGAATCGAGTCCCACGTTGGGCTCCCTGCATGGAGCCTGCTTCTCCCTCTGCCTCTCTGTGTCTCTCATGAATAAATAAAATCTTAAAAAAAAAAAAAAGAGGAGGACAACTCTTCACAGGCAAGTGTACAAAGGGTGGTTGTTGTGCATTGGTGGTTCCTGGTTGCTCCAGCATCATCTGTTTTTTTTTTTAATATTTTATTTATTCATGAGAGACCCAGATTGAGAGAGAGAGAGAGGCAGAGACACAGGCAAAGGGAGAAATAGGCTCCATGCAGGGAGCCCAATGTGGGACTCGATCCCGGGACTCCAGGATCACGCCCTGGGCCGAAGGCAGATGCTCAACCGCTGAGCCACCCAGGGATCCCGCATCTTCTGTTCTAAAGACCTTCCTTTCCTCCTCAATTACATTGGCACCTTTGACATAAATTAAAAGATCGTATCTGTGAATGCTGAGTTCTTCCTTCTGTTCCTTGGTCTCTTTGTCTGCCCTTACGCAGTACCACATTGGCTTGAATGCTGTAGCTTTATAAGTAATCCTGGAGACTGGTAGAGAAGTCTTCCAATTTGCCAGTCTTCTTATCCTTCTGGCTGTTCCTTTGCATATCTACAGAAAATTTTAGAATCAGCTTGCTAGTTTCTACCTAGAAGCCTGATGAGACTTTGGGTGGCACTGTGTTGAATTTATAGGTTAATATGGGAAGAGTCAACATTTAACAATACTGGGTCTTGTCCATTAACATGGTATATCTGTCACTCCATTTATCTAAGCCGTCTTTAATTTCTCTAAGCAATGTGTATACTTTTCAGTATCTTGTATTTATTGTGTTAACTTTATTCCTAGCATTTCATGCTTTTGGATGCTAATCTTATTTTTCTTTGAACTTCATGTTCTGATTGTTTAGAAATGCAGTTGACTTTCATGTCCTTACCTTGTATCCTGTGACTGTAACAAAGTGAATTATTTATGTGCGGTTCTGCACAAAGAGGCAGGGGGCAGGGGAGGTGGCTGGAAAAGGACCCTCCTGGTGTGCCCAGGACTGGGGGTTTTCTGGTCACATGGAATGTCTAGTGCTGAAAGCAGGAGAGCCCCCAGACAAACCAGGACCAGCTGGTCACCCTCTCTACAAGGGAGAGTCCAGTCCACAAGCTTCATTTTGTCACATCCGTTCTGCCAACTTAATGTGTCTGCAGATGTGCTAATGCCATGCAGAGATGACAGCCATAGACTGTCACAGCTGGAGCCTGGATTTTGTTCTCTGTGTGTGCTGAGGCTTAGCACAGAGTCTTCTAATTGGGAAATAAGGGGGGGAAGAAACTCTCCCTTTACTCCCATCACCTTTAAACAATCACCACTTGCATCCTAGTACATATTTAGCCTGCCATTTTTCTTTGTGCCTTTTTTTTTAAGACTTTATTTATTTACTCATGAGAGACAGAGAGAGAGAGAGAGAGAGAGAGAGGCAGAGACACAGGCAGAGGGAGAAGCAGGCACCCTGCAGGGAGCCTGATGTGGAACTCGAATCCAGGTCTCCAGAATCAGGCCCTGGGCTGAAGGCGGCGCTAAACCGCTGAGCCACGAGGGCTGCCCTTTTGTGCATTTTTAAGAAGGTTTATTTGTCATTGGCATATATATTATGCCCTGCTTGTCCCTCAGAACGTTGTAGCAGGTGTATCTCTCCTCCATACCACTATGTGGTCCCTGACCGCCATCATGCAGTGAGCTGATGTCTAGAATGTTGGACTGTTGGGGCCTCTAAACCATAGCGGCAAGGACTTCCCCAGAAGAGGCCATCTGCCATGCAGGAAGGGATGTTGAACTTCCTGCCTGAGACAGTGGATAAGCACTGAGGGTTTGTTCGGGCAGCTTCCTCCACCGTGCTGCAGAAAGGTGACAGACATGTTACCTGTCTTCCTCTGGGGAGGGTCTGCAGAGGATCAGTGAATGGGAGAGACTGTGACGTGTGCTGTGGAAAAGGGGAACTGCAGGGCCTTTGGGAATATGGGCAGAGCAGGGCTCTCTGAGGGGTCAGCTGCACTGAGGGCCAAATGATAAGAAGGATCCAGCCATGGGAAGGCCTGGAGGAGACTGTTCCTGGGAGAGGAACCAGTGAGTCCCCGGAGTAGGAGTTAACGTCGAGTTTTTGTGGTTCAGGGTAGGGCTGGTGGACAGTGAGAGTGGGGAAAACAGCAAGCAGGGGAGCTTGGGGACGCCACAGAGGAGAGCCAGGGGCTTCAGTCCTGTGAGATTGATCACGAGGGGTGACCTCACCCCTTCCTCTTGCCTCCCAAGCAGCACTGTCCTCTCCGTCCTCCCAGCAGGGGACTCCTCTGTCCTGGCCTCTGCTGGGGTAGCTCACCACCTCATGCCTTCATGCAGGCTGTTTATTCTGTGTCTGGAGTGCCTTCTCTGTACTCTTGCTAAGATACATGCAACCCGACGTTGCCCCTTGCACACCACTTGCCTGTGAAGAGTTGTCCTTTTTTTTTTTATTATTTTTAAAGATTTTATTTGTTCTTGAGAGACACTATAAGAGGCAGAGGGAGAAGCAGGCTCCATCCAGGTTGCCCGACGTGGGACTCGATCCGGGTCTCCAGGATCAGGCCCTGAGCCGAAGGCGGCGCTAGACTGCTGAGCCACCCGGGCTGCCCAAGAGTTGTCTTCCTTGACCACACGCTAGCTGTGGCCCATCTGTTGGCGTGTGGATTGTGGGGGGTGGGAGTCCCTGTAGGACGTGGCCTATCTCCTATCCCTAGCGCCTCCTGCTTAGTGAGCTCTTGATAAAATACTGCATGTTACAGGAACAAAGATCAGAAAGAGCTCAAGAGAGGGATGCTAGTTAAGAACGATTTCTATAAAGTGCAGTTAGGGAATAAACAAAGGAACACTTGTAATGAAGCTTTAGAATGCTAAGATTGGGGCCGGGTGGCTCAGCCGGTTAAGCATCTGCCTTGGGCTCAGGTCATGACCCCTGTCATGACCCCTGTGTCAGACTCCCTGCTCAGCGGGGGCCCTGCCTCTCCCCCTGCTCATGATCTCTCTCTCACTTTCTCTCTCAAATAAAGTCTTTAGAAATGAAAAATTTAAAAATGCCAAGATTAACAAAAAGTCTTCCCTTAGATTTAAAGGGAAACCACAGTTCTCTGTGGTGAGTACGGGAAGGTTTTTGCTGTGTTTATTGGCCAGTTTCCTCGTTCAGGTTTCCATCCCTGCTTTGGGCGCTTAGGTCAGATGCGGATTTCTGCAGAGACCTTTTTGGGTTAGATTGAGTTTTTTTTCTGAATTTGGTTGTCGATTATTTTTCAGATAATACCCTTTTATATTTCGAATGCAACGCATTACTTTGGTCGTATAGTTGATAAACAAGTGGATCTTTATTCAACTCTTAATGCTGAAATGAATGAGTATTTTAAGGGTAACAGCAATAAAACAAGTGTCGAAAAGGTGGAGAAATTTGGATTATATGGATTAGCAGAAAAAACACTTTTCCACAGGTAAAAGTTCTCTGTATTTCATCTCTTAAGAGTTGTGAAGCATGCGGCAACTTTAAGTGGTATCGAATCCCTGTTTCCCCCTGTGTCCCTCTGACCCGGTGTGCACGTATGAAGCCTGGCTGCCCCCAGGAGGGTAGGGGCGGCATGTCCACCCCCGCCCCTCAACCCCCAGTGCAGTTCTGCACCTGACTCGTCCAATCCTGGGCATCTGCACACAGGGCACAGAAGACAGGGTCACATTTGCACACCGACGGTTCTGGGGCCACCACTGTGTGTGCCACCTCCATACACGCCTTCACCTCACTTAGCCCTACGTAATTCCCGTAAAACAGGTCCCCTCTTACAGGTGAGCAGGCTGGGCCTTGGTGAGATCACGTAGGCTATGCAGCGTCAGCTCAGTGAATGGCACGATCGGGGCTCTGACCCCGGCTGTGTGCCCCAGGGGCCTGCTCACACCCTCGAAGGGCACTTCTGGCTCTCTTGGGGTAGCCTAGGTTGGGAAACTTTGAAACTTCACTATTTACTGTGTTGATTTTCATCATTATTGTCCGGTAAAGGGATTTGCTCTATTCAGGAGTGCTCTGTGTTTTTTATACTTCTGTGCACTTGAATTACATAAGCCACTCTGAGTGGTGTTGACGCTCTAGCTGGTTTTTATTTCTTGCATGGAATAAAACCTTGCAGCTAGAGCCTTCTTGGATTTACTGGGTAGGTTGAGGCAAAGATTGTTTTCCTTTGGGGTCTCTGTGTTACACTGAAGCCGCGGTGGTTCTCCAGGGTTGAGGTGCTGGAGATGAGCCAGAAGGAAGACGCCTGGGGTCCAGACCGTGTCCTTGTGAAGTTCATAGACGAAGGCCGGACGGGACTCATCACCAGAGACCAGCTGCTGCGTCTCCCCGAAAAGTTCCACGCTCTGCCCCCCCAGGCGGTGGAGTTTATTGTTTGCAGAGTGAAGCCTGCCGACAACGAAGTTGAGTGGAATCCAAAGGTAAGTTTTTTTGGCTTTTTATGCCCTGTTGCCTTTTAGGATATACACGGAATTGAGGTTTATTTGAGTGTAGAGTCTAGAGTTTGGGTGAAATGCCTCCTGTTCCTGGACAGTTAAAGACCCTCGTACAATTCAGTTTTCTGGGGGAAAAAAATAAAAAAATAAAGACCCTCGGACAGGCGGCCGTCGTCACCATTCATGCTCACAGTCTCAGAATCGGGGTGAGGGACGCATCAGGGCCAAATAAAGTGGCCGTGAGCCTGGGAAGCAGCAGTGTAAGCACCAGGTGGATGCCCGTGTCACAGGCAGGCAGGGGCGATGGACACTCCCTGGCGAGGCCGGGTGCCTCCCCTGGCGTTGGGAGGCCGGGCCGGGAGAGGGAGTGACAGGGGACACCTCCTGTGGGCCTCCAGGCTGAGGCGCTGGGGCGTCACCACGCAGGCCAGGTGCGGCAGGGAGGAGAGCGCGTGGTGCACGGTGCGGCCGCCCGGGGCGCTCCCGGCTGTTGGCGTGGGGCGGGCCGTCTGCCCGTCACCGGGGCCGTGAGTCCCCTACTGAGACGCTCCTGGCTCTTCAGAGGAAGGTTAAATTTCATATCATCCGGCTAATAGGACGTGGAATAAACCATCGCAAAGTAAAACCACTTTGGATCATAAGCAAGTTCAGACGCGGTCCAGGAAATAACCGGGTGAGCGACCTCACGAAGCAGACGAACCCACGACCTCGCTGTGCAGGCTCACCGAGACGCTGCCCGCCGCGTGGCCGCCGCCTGCCTTCCGCCAAGCGCTGGCTCAGTGTGCTCCAGCACGTGCCGCGCAAGGTTCTTCTCTGCGTAGTCTTTCAAATTAATGTGCAAGCTTCAAGGGCGATGGAAGAGTCTGATCTTGGGCAGCCCCGGGGGCTCAGCGGGTTAGCGCCGCCTTCCACCCCAGGGCGTGATCCTGGAGACCCGGGATCGAGGCCCACGTCGGGCTCCCGGCGTGGAGCCTGCTCCTCCCTCTGCCTGTGTCTCTGCCCCTCTCTCTCTCTCTCCCTCTCTCTCTCTCTCTCTCTCGCTCTCTCTTTCTGTGTGTCTCTAATAAATAAAAAATCTTTAAAAAAAAAAAAGTCTGATCTTGGGAGCTGGCTCCCTCCTGTCTCTGTCAGAGTGAGAATGAGACACGCCGTGCCTGCCAGGGGCATCCTTGAGAGAAGAGCAGCCCCGTGCTCGGGACAGGGTGCTCGGACCCGGGGCCCCTCAGCTCCCGGGGTGCTTCAGGCTCTGAGCTTCCAGAGATGGACTGGGTGACTGTTCACAGAGGGGGGCGAGGACGCATGGCTACATTTTGGGGGGTCCACAGGTGCTGTTTGCTCTGTCCTTATTAAGTTCCCCTGTTACTATCCTTGTCCGCGCAGGGACACGATGGCCTCTGTCACCTGCCTCACGGGGTGGTGGTGAGACTCAGGTGAAATTCAATGGAAACGTTTTTTTGTGAGACTATACAGCCTACACCGAGTAAGATATTTTCCTAAACCTTCAGAGAAGTTACATAAGTGCTTCTTTTCCTAGGTTACCAGGTACATTCATCATAAAATCATTGGAAAATTGCACGATGCCAAAGTGATACTGGCTTTGGGAAATACAGTGTGGGTCGATCCAATGGTGAGTATGCAGTTTTCTTTCCTTTTTTTAAGATTTCATTTACTTAGAGATTGTGCACGTGCACGCACGATCAGGGGAAGGAGCAGAGGGAGAAGCCCAGCCTGAGGCTCAGTCCAAGGGCCCTGAGATCATGACCTGAGCCGAAGGCCATCACTTAACCGACAGAGCCACCCAGGTGCCCCAAGTATATGGTTTTCTTAAAAGAAGTCTGTTTTGGGATGGACTCCTAAAATTATTCCTGGTATTCTAATTTGTTGCTTGAATAATGGTTTGTCTCAAATAAATGGAGGCTTTGGGGGTTCTGTTTAGGGAGAGCCGGGGGTTTTCCCATGTTATTTGGGTCATGAATTTGGTTTTTTGTTTAAGGGAATCCTTTATGTTACAACTCAGCGCGCCCACACAGGGAGACAAGCTTATGAAACTCTCCTTGTGACAGTCTCTGATATTATGATTCTATCCCATTGTTTTTTCAAGCATTGGTTGTACGCTGTGAATCAGCGTCACACTGTCCACACGGATGGGGAAGCCCCATGTCAGGAGGGAGGTGCCCACATGGGATCGGTCACGTGGAGGATTCTAGTCCTTGGGTTTTCAGAGATAGGTTTTATTATGTTTGCAGTTTCCATCTCATTCCTTCACCAAATATTTATTGAGCACCTACTCTGCGTGCTGGGTCCTGTGCGGGACACTTGGCTTCTGTCCGTGAACATAAACTCCTACCCTGTGGAGCTGACATAGGGGTGAGCAGGACTGAGTGTCAGACCAGGGGCCTGTACGTGGGGCCTCTGGGCATCCCCTCCCATGCCAGCATCGCCCCCTCTATCTGCCTGCACCCCAAGAACTCTGCTTTTCAATTTGAGGTTTTGCTCCATTGGACTTAAATCTTACCTGGTATGTTTATAACACAAGAATTCAGTTCATAAGAATTGTTCTGCTGAAAGTTATGTTTATGAGACAGGAGAAGCCTTAACACCTACAAGGAAGAGTTTGGGTGTAAGATTAAGGGTTCAGAGGAGAAAATGATTTTTAGTACAGAAGGTAAAGATTACCGGTACAGGTCAGATGAAGATTGGGGGTCTTGGTTTACATAATAGTCGATATTTTGGTTCTCGATTGGGAGAAAAAATGGAATCTTTTTAGAGATTTTTAAAACTATAGCTAAGGAAATGAAGAAGCAAAAAAGAAATCTACCCGTCAGCTTCCACAGCTCGTGTAGCGGTGTCCACGGCACCGTGGGGGGGCAGCCCCCACACCTGCTTCCTTCTCCACTCACACCTCTCGGCCCCCAGTTTGAGTGGAGAGAGGCTCTCCTGCCATGCGCAGGTGGGAACCTGTTCCCAGTGTTCAGTTAGGAAGGTCTCCAGCTGGTCTCAGCCTGGCCCCCCTCCCCCACCGTGAAAGGGACGCCCAGTCCTGGGTCTGCACCTCCCATTGACAGGAGGGGAGGAGCACAATGTTGCAGAACCTCATCTTTTGTATAAATTAAGATGGATGAGAGTATTTGGGTTGCAGAAGAAAACCAGTGGAGGAATCTGTCCAGAACACAGGGTATAGGGCCCTGGCGTAGGCCCTTTCTGGGCACTGGCACCTCTGAGCCTTAGGGTCCTCCTTGTCCAGGAAGATCTAAGAGTTTTGTGTGTGGTCCCAGCATCCCAGGGGCCCCCCGGCCCCTGACCCCATCATGCTTCTGCAGGGTGGGAGTGGGCTCTGGAAGAACCTGACCTGTATGCTCAGTTATGAAATCACCTGGGAGCTGCGAAGGGAGCCCACGTTCGCCCAGCATGGCGCACGGTGAGAGCGCTGGGTCGCGCAAGAGCCTTTTCCATTGATTTGAGAGTTCAAAGAGCGGTTCCCACAAATACACTTTTTCTTTGATTCAAGGTGCACATTACAAAACTTTCAAACTTGAAAACATCTGTCATCGATTATAACGTGCGTGCTGAAATTTTGTCGATGGGAATGGGCGTTGACAACTCAGGGCATACAGAACAGCTGAAGACATTATACGAAGGAGCTAAAATGCCAGCTGGTGAAGGAAGCCTGAGCCAGGCCCTGTGAGTTTTAATCTTCCCTTTGGAGGTGCCGTTTGGTGGGACTAGGACCAGGAGTTTAGAGGGGCCTTTTTTTTTAAAGTTGGGTAGGTTTCTGAATCCCCATTTCCATCACTCACCTCCAATAATTTCTCAGCTTTGGGGAATCTAATTTTATCCATACCTCAACGTGCAGTTTTATTTTTTGGTGGAATATCATAAAACAAATCCCCAGCGTATTGTTTCACCCGCATGTCTCACAGAGTAAGTTTTGGTTAGTGTTTATTGACATGCAGGAAAGCACACACCCGCGGTAAGTGTCGTCAGGTGGATTTTCTGAGCACAGAAGCCAGCCCCCAGGTCAGAGAGGGTGTGCGCAGTCGTGTCCTCCTCCTCCTCCTCCACCTCCTGCTTCACTCCCTCCACCACCTCCTTCTCCTCCACCACCTCCTCCTCCTTCTCTTCCTCCTCCTCCACCACCACCTCCTCCTCCTCCTCCTCTTCCACCTCCTCCTCCACCACTCCTCGTCCTTCTCTTCCTCCTTCTCCTCCTTCACCACCTCCTCCTCCTCCTCCTCCTCCACATCGTCCACCTTCTCCTCCACCTCTTACACATCCCTCCTCCACTTTCTCCTCTTCCTCCTCCACCACCACCACCTTCTCCTCCACCTCTTGCACGTCCTCCTCACCTTCTCCACCTCCTCCTCCTCTTCCACCTCCTCCTCTCCTCTGGGAATAGGAGGAAGGGCCGTGAATGGGTCACGGAGCTGCGCAGAGACCCGCGGTGTCAGGGGCCCCTGGGAGAGGCAAGACCCAGGCCATCCCAGGGGGCCTGTCGCCCCGACCCTGGGAACAGGGGGAAGGTGCTGTGACTAGAGCAGAAGGGCAGGAGAGCAGCCCAGGGCCAGATCTTGTTGGGCCCTTGGCCATTTGCGAGGACCAGGCCCTGCTCCGAGGAGGTAGAGCCATGAGAAGGTTTGGAGCAGAGCAGCGACCCCATCCAAAGGGGCTCAGCTTCGGTGCGGAGAAGGTGGGGTGGGGCCAAGGCCGTGCCAAGGGGGCTCGGCCCGGGCGGCCCCTGGAGGTGGCGCGAAGCAGCTGGTGTCCGAGTGTTGGTGGTGACCTGTGCTCCGCGGAGCCCCGTGGGCAGGCCCGGGCCTGGGTGCGAGCCCAGGGGAGCGAGTGCCAGAGTCTGAGGGCTGAGCCCGGCAGAGGCGGGGGGCCGTGGGTACCCGGAGGGGGGCCCGAGGAGGAGCAGCAGCGAAGGAGGCCTGGGGACAGACCCCCAGACGGCAGGGGAGGGCTTCCCGGTGCAGGGAGCCGAGAGGAGGCCCGACGGGCAAGCACGGCCAGCGGCCCTGGCGGCCCTGGCGTCTGCCGCGAGGCCCCTGGCGACAGACAAGCACGGGAGAGTTTTTCAAAGAGCACGCCGAGGTTCAAGTTCTCCAGTCTGAAGTCGTTAGTTTTTACCTTAATGCGTTTGGGCCTGGGGGATTAGGAGACCGTCCGTTCTACAGGCTTGGAGGAAACAAAAATCGCTCCACACTCGCTTGTAAGATATTCTTTTAAAAACACGTCTTGAGAGTTGAGTGGACTCGATGGAAACGAGGCTCGGTCACCTCTGTGAAACCCAGCAGCTGCACCTGAGCCCCGGCTCTGTTCTGCCCTCGGCACCTCGGTTCTGTGTGCGCGGGAGTCCTGCACACCTGTGGGCTCACACACGAGGTGGACGTGCAGAGGACTGCGAACGAGGGTGGAGCCCGCCCCGGGGAGCCTCCGTGTCAGGAGCTGGATTGGGAAGCCGTGGTGGCGATCGGGATCGGAACGAGGAGAGTGGTGCCGTCCTCACAGCAGGTTGGGAAAGAGGACAGACCCTGGGGACGTGAAAGATCTGGAAGCCAGGGGGCTTGGTGACTGACAGGCATCGGGGGTGTGATTGTCTAATTCTAAGCCCTGGGCCGGTGAGGGTATTGGCCAGGTGGACAGTTTCGGGGTGCTCACTGGGGAGGAGGAGATACTGAGTTGGTTTGGGACACGTCGGGTTTAAGGATTATGGGGAGCGTAAGCCCGGGGCTCGGGAAAGCGGGGGAAGGCTAGCTGGCCGGTTGTGGAGAAGAGTCACAGCTTGGTGGCTGTGCGACGACGGGTAGAACCCCAGCCGGTGAGGGTCTGGTGAAGGAGTGAGAGCGATGGAGTAGAGTGTGCGACGGGGGGTCTGGTGCTGCAAGTGGGGAGGACGAGGCCCGGGGAGGGGTCCCTGCCTGGGTGGTTGGAACACAAGGTGCTGCCTTCGCCACCTGTGGGGTGCCGCGCACGGGCTCCGTGTGTGTCACCCAGCAGTCCCCTTGGAGGCACACGCACCCCCGCTCACCATGGGCGTGTGTGTATGGGCTTGCTCGTTGAGGCTTGACCTCTCTCTAACAGGCTGCGCAGAAAGTAGGAATTACGTTGTCACCCATGAGGAAGGCAGCTGGGCAGCTGGGGAACGGGCGAGAGGGAGATGTTCCGCTGTGTACGACCTTTTCATTGTATTTCAAAACATTGAACCACGTAAAAGTGGTGGTTTCCTCCTCAAAAGAAAAAAAAAACTTAAAATTTTCTAAAGGACAAGGCAGCCCTTTCTGTACTAATGTGGCGTGACCTATCTCTAGTTATTGACTATGATCAAAGGGGCAGAGAAGTGACTGGAGTAGGGTCCGTGTGCTTAAGGGATGCGCACGTGTGTTCTACATAGTTGGCGTGATGCTTGCTTGTTGCTTGTGCAGAGGTTTGTGGATGGGACCCAACCGGGGAGGGGGTGTCTCGGGGAGGAGGTGCTGGGGAGCTAGGGCAGGGGAGCACAGGTGGCTTTTACTTCCTCCCCTTTTATCCATTTTGAAGAGGGGAGCAGAGCTGGTTATTCTCAAAGGTAAATGGTTTGAAAGGGAACCTTTTTGGCAAATGGGTTCATGCCTGTATGTGCCCGTGTGTTTCCGTGATCGGCCCTGGGCTCGCCACTGGGGCACAGCAGTGAGCGGAGCTGGGGCCCTGACCGTCCTCCGTGAAGGAGTCGCAGGCCCCACGCAGGTCTGGCCGTGTGGTTGGCACCTCGTGGTCAGTTGCTGCCTGCCTCCCCCTTCGAGCTGGGAGGGCCCCGTAGAGAGCCCGAGCTTGCGGTCTCTTCGACTCGGAGCTAACCTGCACCTCTTCCACCTAGCGTGCCTTCTCCAGCAGAGGATGCTGCTCGTCCGCAGAGCCCACGGCAGGACGACTCAGAAGGACGTGCCGATGCCCAGGCAAACCCAGAAATCCAAAAGCATGGTTGGTGATTTAATACGTGGCTCACTGAGGGGCGCCTGGGGGGCTCAGTGGGCTACGCTCTGCCTTCGGCTCAGGTCACGATCCCGGGGTGGTGGGATGGAGCCCCACGTCGGGCTCCCCACTCAGCGGGGAGCCTGCCTCTGCCTCTGCCCCTGCCCTGCTCGTGCACATACACACACACACTCGCGCACTCTCTCTCAAATGAATTTTTAAAAAATCTTTAGAAACCATGGCTCCCAGGATCCCTGGGTGGCTCAGCAGTTTAGTGCCTGCCTTCGGCCCGAGATGTGTCCTGGAGACCCGGGATCGAGTCCCACGTTGGGCTCCCGGCATGGGGCCTGCTTCTCCCTCTGCCTGTCTCTTTCTCTCTGTGTGTGTCTCTCATGAATAAATAAAATCTTTAAGAAAAAAAACAAAAACATGGCTCCCTTAAAATCATGAAAGCTTGGGAGTTTTCCAGCATCGACGCTTCCCACTTCTGGATGAAGTCTATAGAAGGTGACATAGACTGGTCTATAGAAGGTGACATAGACTGGTCTTACCTAACTTCCTACTCTTAACATTTCAGTTTCCGATATATTTTTTAGAAACTTTTCCTTTTTGTTAAGTGAGGTATAATGCTCGTCCAGAAAAGTACACACATCCTGAGCGTACGCTCATCAGAGCCGTTGACACGTGTGTACGTGTCCACTGATGCGCTCGAACATTTCCAGAGCCCCAGGAACCCCCTTCATGCACCTTCCCCGCCTGAAACCCATCCCAGGAACCGCTGTCCTGACTCCATCACCATCAGTTTTGCTGATTAGGAGCACACAGTCTACCCTCTTGTGGCTTCTCTCACTTGGCGTTCTCTCTCCGTGAAACTCACGCAGATGATCGCAAGGAGCGGTGGGGACTTTCTTACCGCTGAGTGGTGTTTCGTGACGCAAATACACCACAAGTTGCACATCCGTCCACCTGTTGGTAGACACGGAGGCTGCTTTCAGTCTTTGACTATGATTAAGGCGGCCACATTCTTGCTCACGTCTTCAGATGGAAGATTCAGGGGTGTTAGACTGAGTTCAGATGCTGTTTTAGGACGTGTCGGCACTGGTTCCTCGCGTACAGTGGCGACCAGATGACTTCCCCTCTGGCAGGCGCCTCTGCTGCTCTCAGGTGAAGGTGGCCGGGGGCCACCGCAGAGAAGCCTGTGGCTGCTGGTGGTAACACTGCCCCGTTTCGGGTCGTGCATTTTTAATTTTTGCTAATTATTCCTTGCGAGTGGACGCTTGGAAATTGAGGCTGTCAGTACTTCCTCAGCTAAAAGTCACATGGACAGAGTGAGTACACGTAGGTACGTAGAGTGTATGGTTACGGATAAATAACTTACTGGAACATTTGACTTTCTGCCCAGAAACGTTACCAGAAAACACGAGTGATTGTTCCCTTAGCAGAACCACAGAGCCTCCGAAAAGGTACGTCCACCTGCTGCCGGGGCCCCTTCCCCACCCGCCCCGCGAACGAGCGGACGGTGGTGCCCACGTAAGTCACCGTCTTCTCTCCTAGCTTCCACCCACAAATCAAGTGGTTCCAAAAAGACGATGTGGTCATACTGAAGATAAAAATAAGGAATGTAAAAGATTACAAATGTAAATATTTCAGGGATAGAGTCGTTTTCAGGTACGTTCATGTGTGTCTCGCCACAGTCAGATCGGAGTCGCTTCTAACACGTTAAGGGCCCGGCCTTCTTTCTGTGCACCTAGTGCCTGGGCCGGAGAGAAATTCTACTTGGCCGACCTGGAGCTGCGGGCCAACATCGTGAAAGATGCCTGCGAGTGCACGGTTACGAACGAGGAGCCTGTGATCACCCTTGCAAAGGAGACGAGGGCGTCGTGGGGCAGCCTCCTCAGACAGAGGGTGAGTGGGGAGGAGCCGGCAGGTCTCGGCGCCCCAGCGAGCCTGACCTAGCCTGTCACTCAGCCTCACCCGTTCCGTTGAACAGAATCCTAATGTGGCTTTTGATTTCGATCACTGGGAAGAATGTGAAGAGGACAGCCACTTCCCCCAGGGTAAGGTGGGCGCGCCCTCGGCCACTGGCCATGGCCCTGGGGGTGGGCGTCAACAGGAAGCCCTCGTGTGACCCTGGTGGCACCTGCTCCGGGTTGAGGAGGTAGCCACTCGTAATTAGAAGCGTACCTTCTTGTGACACTTCGACAGATCTTTTTCCCAAGAGAATAACTTCTCTCTAAGCAGGCAGATTTTCCCTGCTCATTTCTTGCCTAAAATAATGAAAATATCAGGATGGGTAGAGCTCTAGGCCCTAACGGACTTTTCCTGCACTGGCCAGAATAACGGCGGCGGGGGGGGGGGTGCTAACTAGTCTGTAATTAACAGATTTTTCATTAATACCGAACTCTTCTAGTTGCGAATTCTAAAAAAAACCTGCCCTGCAAAGTGGCAGAGGCGACCGAGAGCGGGGAGGAGCCGTCGGAGGAAGACAGGAGTGACAGCGAATGAGTGGGAGCCCCGGCGGCGCACAGACGCGGGGCGCACCGTGTGGCTCGGAGCTCAGAAACGCGGACACGCACACGCGGCTTGGCCTCCAGGGTCCACGCTGACCTGCGTCCCGCCGTGGCCCCAGGTGGGCCTTGTGAGAGGCGGGTGGAGGGGCGGGGGGCCGCTGGGACTCGGCCCCCGCCCCCCCCCCGCCCCCACAGCCGCCTGCCTCTCACGGAGCCCGTCCCAGCACACTCCCCTGGGGCGGCGGGGGGCACCGTGTGCCCCTGCATGGGTGGTTGGCCCCCCGCCCAGACCTGGTTGGTGGCCTGCCCTAAACCGGGGTGTGCGTGTGGTTGAGGGTCCCCGGCGCAGACGTCAAGCAGCACCGCCTCTCTTCTCGGGGGGCTGCCGGCTGCCCACAGACGGAGCACGGGGGAAAGTGGGGTTACCTCTGCGGTCCCCAGCCAGGCCCGGGCTCCTGGAGGTGCGGCCCCCGCTTCTGCAGAACCGCCCGCACCTGCTCAGCCCCTGGGCCCAGGCTCCTGCTCAGTGGAAATGGAAAAGGACGTGTGGGTCCCCGGAGGGGACTCGGGACACCTGGGCAGGTGGGGGGGTGCTGGCAGCAGCCCGACGCCATCTGGCGGCCAGGCCGGGGGCTACCGCGGAGTCCGAGTCCTCGGGGGAGGCCTGCAGCTGTCGCCACCTAACTGCGGGAGCCCCCGAGCCGGACTTGCCAAGTGACCAGCGTTGCAAAGGGGAGCGAGATACCAACCCTGTGCCCGTCGTCAGCAGGGGCCCCACGGCTTTGCCTGGACGCAGGAAGGATCGGTGACCGCACGTGACCACAGGGACCGCCGGCAAGACTTTTATTCTTACGACCCATCAGAAAGCACACACGTCCCGATAGATAAGCCGCCGCTTGCACAAAAGGTCACCTGTCCCCAGGCTGTGCCCAGAGCAGGTCGGGATCGCTCTGGCTCTCAGTTTCCTCATCTGTAAAATAGGACCTTGTCGCATGGCCTCGCCCTGCTCCGTGCCCGGGGACGCGGCCGGGTGGGGCCCCGCGAGGGAGGTCGGCCCACGGCCGCGGGTGGGAGGGCGCGCCGGGCAGCCGGGACTCCCGTGGGGGCTCGGCAGGAGTCGCGGGCGCCTGAAGTACGGGGGTGCTCGGCCTCTCTCTCGCTAACTCGGGCAGCTCTTGAGGTAGGAAGTGCCACGGTCTTCGCTGGCAAAGGTTTGGACCTTGCGGAGCTCTTGCAGGGGCCCCAGCAGGTGTCGGCTTATGTTCCCCGAGCTCCTGCTCCCACTCGGGGAGGCCGCCTAGCTGCGGCCGGGCTGCCGAGCCGCGCCGGTTTCCCGTGGCTGTTGGCCACCTGCCGCCGACGCCCGCTTATGTTCACTCTCTTGTAAAACGGCAAATAACAAGAGCAAGTAATAGAGCTGCAGAAATCGGGGCGGGGTGGGCGGGGGCGCAGGTTCTCCTGGGCCAGGAGTGGCGGAGCAGGGCCAGGTGTTTAAATCTTGATTTCTTTTTTTTCAGTGATTTAAATGTACCGTTTGAAGTTCTGAATAGCATTTATGGGACATACACACTGACTTGTGACATGTAAGCAATTAACAGGGTTTTTTGGTTCTGTTAATACATACTGATTTCACGTTTGGGGAAAATTTCTGAAATGCAAAGTAAAAGTAGTTTTGTGTCTCTGCTTCTAAAATTGCTCACATAGTCAATCGTGGTGTGAATGTCTTGCCGGTGTATCAATAAAATTTCAGTGTTTTCACAGAAATGCCATTTCACATATTTTATCGACCCTGTTTTCCCTGAGTGAGTGCCAAGTGCAAAATAGAATTTTATTCACTACTGCCCTTTCTGGTTTGACCAGAGTGCCGGGAGGGGCTGGGGCTGGGGGCGCTGCGAGGCTGGCCACTGATCGTGGTGCCGGCCGTGGGCAGCAGGCCGCAGGTGGCTCTGGGTGCTCAGCTTTGCAGTTGGCCCTTGACACCAGCCTGGGGCAGACCCACCTCCTACGTCCTGGGTAAAATACAGGGGTTCAGTACTTCGGTGGGGGTGGTGGGTGAGGCAGTAAAACATTTGCACTTAGTATGTTAAAAATCTATTTCAACCAAAGCAAAAGTGTCACCTATTTTATATAAAAAAAAAATATATATATATGTATCTTCTTGATCACAGAGTTAAAAGAACACCCTTTATTGAAGTAGGTGTGATGTGCCTGCCCCCGTTAAAGAGTCTCGGCCTAGGTGGCAGCCTCTGAGCCTGGCCGCCAGCCGTCCATCAGGTGAGGTCTTCACCCGCTAACTTCAGCAGACACCTGTCACTTCTCTCTAGAACCCCTGCCCAGAGAACCGAGGGTATCTAAAAACAACAGTATCATGAACATCCGAATACAGTTCTTTTTTTCTTACGGAAAACATCAGGAAGAAATAACCACAAATATTGCTTACAAAAATAAATTTATCACAGCTTGGACTTGGCTCCAGGAGGCCGAGCTTGTTACTCCAGGGCTTCCTCCGGCGGCACGACCTCCATCAGCATCTGCAGGTGCATGGTGATGGGCTCTGGAGGAAAAGCCGATCAGAGTGCGGTTAGGGAACTGGAATGAGAAGCTGGCTTCGCTTGCTTCCCGGGGAGCAGTAATACCATCCCTGCCCTGCGCACGGGGCTGTGTCCCGAGAGCCCAGCCAGGACGACTCCCAACCCGAAGCTACAAGGCAGGTGGTACTGCTCGGCTTTAGAAAACCCAGCCAAGCTGCTCCCTACGAAAACTGGTTGGAAGCTGGAACTAAGAAGGTGAACAAACGATCTAGATTTTAAGCAGGATGCAGGCCCGGTGACCGTGGACTAAATATGCAGCTCTCGGTGAGTGGTCATTGCACACGGACAGAGAAGGGAGTCGTGCGTCTTCCCCAGAGGACGTGGTTTGGTGGCAGTAAAGATAGCTAGCAGGTTCCTACGGCTTTACTGGGGAGTGGCCCCCAGGGTGGCTCTCCCTTCAGCCCACGTCCCCGGAGTGTGGCTAGATTCCCTATCGGTGGGATCAAACCTCAGCTCATGCTCAGACATGTCGGTTCTCACAGCGACACACGTACTTTCCTTTCTGCCGTCGTGTGCCTGCAACCGTCTCTCCACTTAGGGCTTCCATCAGAGTCAAGAGATTAGGCGGTGGGGATTGCTCTTCCAGGAAAGGAAAAATCCCCAGTAGAAGTAATAAAGCCCTATTTTGGGTTTGGCTTCACTTTGCTGGTCAACATGGAACAGATTGCGTGTCGCCCGTGGTACCAGTGAGGCAGGCCTGCAGGCCGAGCCAGGGGCCGAGCCAGGGGCCGAGCCAGGGGCCGAGCCGCCCCGGCCGGAGAAGGGCATTCCCGGTGCAAAGTGTCAGGGTCAGCCGCACCCCCACCCAGTTGGGTTTTGCTCCCTGGAACCTTGTAGGTCTCTCTGGGTTGCATTTGTGTAAGTAAACCCCAGAGAGGTGCCCGAGGGCCTGGTTGTGCTTCCCTGCTTCCCTGTTTGGAGAAGCTGAAGGAGCAGAGGCAGATTTCCAACCACATTGACTCAGTAAGCATTAGGTGACTACACCCGCAGTGAAGCTGCGCAGCCCAATTCGGGCCCTCGTCCCCACTGTCCTGGTTTGGGTGTGTCTGGGCTCCTGCTGGGCCTCACATGTTGTCTGTGGGGCGGGAAAAGGAAGTGGTTGGATGGAAAGTCCTCTGGAGGCTGCACGCGCAACGATGTGGACGTACTTATCGGTACCGAACTGTACACTTAAAAATGGTCAGGACGGTCGATGTTACGCGTATTTTACAATGAGAAAAAAAAAAAAAAAGAAAAGCAGATGGTGGTTCCCCTTCCTACTCGTTACAGTAATTGATGGGAGCAAAGGCAGAGGCCGCAGGTGGCCCCCAGAGGTGTCACACGGAGGAGAAGGGGACTCGGCTCGCTGCGTGAGCTCCTGGGATAAGACAGTCTTGGTGGCATCGGGGCGGGGCGGGGGTTGCGGGCCGCTGCGCCTGTCCGTGCTTCGCTAACACGGCAGCCCCTCGGCTGGTACTTACTTGAGATTTTCTGAGCCCATCCAAACTTATAGTGGACGAAAAGGAAGTAAAAGATAAGGCCGCTCAGTATAAATAGGACACAGTAGAGGTACTCCCACGCGGGTTTGCTGATGATCGGGGCCACGACCAGGAACACGGAGATGAGGGTCACCAAGATGGGGATGAAAATGGGCACCTGCCGGCAGAACCACAGGGTGTCAGGATGCGGCCACGGGCATTCACTTACATCCTGAGGATTTTCGTCCAAGACCAAACACGGACACAGGAAGTCTACGAACTCCATGTGCCGGTCCTCCAATTTCTGTGCTTTCGAGATAATTTTGCCAATCTTATTTCATCCCATCTACCCCCCCTTTCCTGAGAATATTAAAGTAAATGTCGGATATGGTGTCATCTTACCTGTGAAACATTTGGGACATGTCCTCCCCCAAGTCCTGAGGAGGACTTTTTATTTTTAACATGTTCATTCCCTCTGCCTCCCTTTTCCCCCCTTTCCCCTGTCACTGGCTTATTGTAGGAATTGGATGATTCATCCTTTACAGGGTCTTAATTCTAGCTTTGCCTGAGAACTCGCTCCTCTGTCTCTCAGATTCCCTGCACAAGGGAGTGGATCTGGGGGCAAGGATGCTTCGTCGTTGGAGCAGTGTGCTTCCTCTGGTAGCACGTCGCGGGGCCCTGAATGCCCCGCCGTCCCACGTCCGCTCGCCAAGGTGACGATCCTTCCAGCCGGTGGGCTCAGGGGCCGGGGAGGAAGCCAGAGCCACCAGATCTGGACTCCCCCCGCTTCTCCAGGGAGCTGTTTACTCTTAGCTGGAAATGGCACTTAGAAACCATAATCTGGGGGGCTGGGGTACTCACGGTTCTTAGGGACAGCTAGAAAAAATTTTTTTTTCCAAGAAGGGAAAAAATTGGCAAGTTCATACTGATATTTCCAATTCATTGCATTTTTCTCCCCCTTAGACTTAGGTCTTTTTTTTTCCTTATGCTTCTGAAAACCTTATTTCTTAACGGCTTTGGCAAAATTCCTTACCTGCTTTATCCTATAACATGCCCATAATAAATAGACAAAATAACTGTGCCAGTACGACCACTACTGGAAGTGTGGTATGAAGAGTAAGATTTCTTGTAGCTCTTGTTAACCTCCGGAAGTAACCCACAACGGAGGTTCATTCAAAAACCTGCACTTGACTTTTTCTCTGTGTGGTGTTGGCCTTTCCTCATCGCAGAGTAAGGTTTCTTCTATTTGTTTTCAGTTTTTGCGGATTTTTTCCCCCTTTTATCTTAAATTTTAAACTACTATAATTTTAAACTTCTGATTGATCTTGCTTTATCCTTCCATCATTTATTTCTGAGAATAAACACACACATAAAAGCTCAACCATCAGGCACACACTCCTCTTTCACCGCCCCCATATAAAAGCTGGCAAATACACAATTGATGGTTTTACATTTTGCTTTTTCCTATGAATATATGCCAGAGATCGTGCCCCCGCCACACAGAGTATCCCCCTCCATCTTTTACAGCTGCATCCCACTCGACTCTGTGGACGGCTCAAAATGTACTCCACCAGCCTCCCATGGATTGACTTTTGGGTTGGGCGGAGCCTTTCTCGAATACAGTTACTGCTGCAGTAAATACCCTTGTGTGTATTTCATACTTTTGCCAGTATCAACTTGGGGGTAGATTACCCCAAAAGGGGGTGGCTGGGACAAAAGATAAGTGCGAGTGTAATTTTGCTAGACGTTGAGCAGTCCCCCTGCCTTCACAGCAGCTATTCCATTTGTATTCAGATGCCATGTGGGAGGAAGTGGGCTGCCACCCTCCCCCCCCAACCCCCCCCCCCCCCGTGGCCTCTCCAAGATGGGGAGTGACCGGAGCGTGGGATCTCTGCCCGTCGGATGGGCAAGCAGCGGCACCTCATCAGAATTGTGGCCTGCATTCTCCTATGGGGGGGGGGGCTTGCTGGGTTTCATTTGCTTCATTTTTAAGAGTCATTGCAGTTTCTGAGCTGTCTCTCCATATTTTTTGTTTGTTTATATGTTCTGTCCATTTTAGGTGTCGATAATTCCCGTCGGCATTTTAGGAACTCTTTAAATTAAGGATAGTAGCCCCCGTTTTGTGACATTAGTGCAAGGATTATTTCCCCATCTGGTATGCATGTGCATTTTTAACTTTCTTCTCTTTTTCTCAATGCCTAAATTTTTATTTTGTTGGGGTTTTATGTTTGTCACCATTTTCCCCTTATTGCTTATGGATTTTGAGTCCTAGGAAAGATCCCTTCCCCATTTCTGGACTACAAAGCAATTTATATAATTTATATTTTCTTTATGCATCAGCATCATAATATTTACATTTCAGAACCTTCATGTTTTAATATCCTCTTTTCTGAAAAAAAAAATCCTCTTTTGTTTTGCTGGCTACTCTTGCATCGGACTGAACTTTGTAATCAACTCCTGCAACTCTAGAAAAAAAAAAAATCAGATGTATCATGATCTCATTAAACGTCTAAATTAGGGCAGCCCGGGTGGCTCAGCAGTTTAGCGCCACCTTCAGCCCAGGGCATGATCCTGAAGACCTGGGATCGAGTCCCACATCAGGCTCCCTACATGGAGCCTGCTTCTCCCTCTGCCTGTCTCTCTCTCTCTCTCTCTGTCTCTCTGTCTCTCATGAATAAATAAATAAAATATTTTTTAAATGTCTAAATTAAAAAACAGTGACATCTTGGGGCACCTGATGGCTCAGACAGTTGTGTCTGACTCTTGATTTTGGCTCAGGTCATAATCTCGGGATTATGACATAGAGCTGCAGGTTGGGCTCCACACTATGCATGGAGTCTGCTTAAGACCTCCCGGTACCCCGTCTCCCCCCCCACACCTCCCCCTCTAAATAAACAAAACAAAAAACCAGTAAAATCTTTATGATGCTATTTTTCCTAAGAACATGTATGGATTTTCACTTGTTCAACTGACCCGTTTCTATGTTTCAAAAGATTTCCACTGCTACAACTCAAGAGGCCTCACTTCTTATAAAGTTTATGGCTAGGCACTTGTTTATTATTCGTTTTGGGGAATAAGGTGCTCTCTTTGTTATCTCTTAATTGGGTGTCATTTTTATAAATAAAGGCTATTGATTTCAGTATGTTTCTTTTCTTTTTTTTTTAAGTAGGCTCCATGCTGGAGCCTAGTGTGAGGCCCGATCTCACAACCCTGAGATCGAGCCCTGAGCTGAAATCGGGAGTCGGATCCTTAACCAACTGAGCCATCCAGGTGTGTTTATGTCTCATTATTTTACCGTATTTCCATGTAGTTTTTTTCTTTGATTCTTTTGGATGTTACAGAGGCACAATGTATCTTTGAAAGGAGGAAGTTTTAGACTTTAAAAAGCCTTTTCTAATTGCTTTCTCTTATCTAATTGCCTTGCCACGGTCTCCAAAATGCTGCTACATGAGAGCTGAAACGGAAGGCATTCTTGTTACCTGTGAGGACATCCCTCTAGTGCCACCTTCTCAATTACAACAGCCGTTAGCTTTTTGCTGAAGGGGTATGTGTGTGTGTGTTCATGCTAAGGAAACAGTTATCAATTCCTATCTGTGTTTTTATCAGTAGTGTATGTTGAATTGTATCTGGCGAATTTTGTAATCTGTAGGAGGTGATTATAGGGTTTTCCTCCATAGATATATTAATATAGTGAAATATATCCATCCATGAATTAAATCCGTAATTAATAGGTTTTGAGATCCTAGCCCCCCTTGCAGACGTGACTTAGTCATGGGATATTATCTTTTTAATGTAATTGGGTTCTGTTTGTTAAACAATTTAAGTTTTTTTTTAACAATTTAAGATTTTTATATCAATATTCAAAAATGAGATTAGTCTGTGATTTTTTCTTTTTCCCTTTTCTGTGCTTTCTAAGGTTTGGTATCAATATTATAGTTGATAGAAAATAACCCTGAGATCAAGACCTGAGCTGAGATCAAGAGTCAGATGCTTAACTGACTGAGCCACCCAGACACCCTGTTGCTAGAAATAACTTGAAAAACTAGTAAAGCAACCTATACCTAACCTTTTATTTTAATTTCCTTAAAGATTTTAAGTAATCTCTATAGCCAACATGGGGCTTGAACTCACAAGCCTGAGATTAAGAGTCACATGCTCTACCAACCAAGCCAGCTGGGCACCCTTGTAGCTAACCTTTAAAAATATGAGAGGAAGCACAAACACACAAATAAAAATGATGAAGTTGGGCAGCCCCAGTAGCGCAGAGGTTTAGCACTGCCTGCAGCCCGGGGTGTGATCCTGGAGATTCGGGATCGAGTCCCACGTCGGGCTCCCTGCATGGAGCCTGCTTCTCCCTCTGCCTGTGTCTCTCTCTGCCTCTCTCTCTCTCTGTGTGTCTCAATGAATAAATAAATAAAAATCTTATAAAAAATAAATGAATGAATGAATAAATAAATAAATAAAATGGTGAAATCATCTCCAGAACATAAGAATTTTTTTAAAAAATCATAAAACTAATTTGTACAACTCTATATAGATAAATTTGATGAAATGGACAATTTTCTGGGAAGATGAAAAGTTACTAAAACTAACCCTGTCAGAATCCGAATTCTCAGGGAAATTCCAAAAACCAGATAATCTGACTAGCAATCTTAAATTCTTTTTTGTTTATTAATTCCTTATGCACTCTTTTGATTTTCTTTGTTGTTCTTTCTCCTGCTTTTTGGGTTGCCTATTTGTTTTCATTTTGATTGCTGTATTTAATGCAGTAAAACTTCCTCAAAGCACTGATCATAGATCATGTCTTACTGCTATTTTTAGGAATTTATGTACCTTCATTTCCTATTTGTTGGACTGAAAAGTTTGATTTAAAAAAAATAATTTCCTGTTTCATTGCATTATAGACAGAGAATGTGGTTGGTCTTTATTCCTAATTTTTTTTTAGTCAAGATTTTCTTTGTGGCATTTGTCAATTTTCAGACATGTCCCATATGCGCCTGAAAAAGTGTGTTGGCTATTTTGGGGACTCAGAGCCTGGACAGGTGTCTAAGATCTGCCGTGGTCTGTTCAGGGCTTGTCACTTGTACTAGTGAGATGTCTGGATCTGTCTTGGACTGAGGGAGACACTTTAAAGTCTGTATGTGTGTCTCCTTGTACTTCCTACAGTTTCTGCTTCATAAAAATGACTTCTGTGTGATCCGGTGAATAGGTTTTCATGCCTGCCATCTCTTTACTGTGAATTTTAGCCATTAGCATCACTAAAGACACTGAAGTGAGTGTCTTGGGCCTGAGTACTCCTCTGATAGGATCACAACCCCTGTTTTCTGAGTATTATTTTCCTTTGCTTGGTCTGTCTTTGCTTATCCTCCTTTGCTTATCCCTTTGCTTATCCTTTCTGTCTTTGCTTATCCTTTTCTACATATTGTCTATCCTTTGTAAACCTGCCTGAAAAATCTTTTCCCTTTAATGGTTGATTTAGGCTCATTTAAACTCTATAACCCAGGGCATCTGGGAGGCTCAGCGGTTTAGCACCTGCCTTCCACCCAGGCGTGTTCTTGGAGTCCTGGGATCAAGTCCCACATCGGGCTCCCTGCATGGAGCCTGCTTCTCCCCCCGACTGTGTCTCTGCGTCTCTCATGAATAAATAAATCAAATCTTTAAAACAATTTTAAAAAATAAACTGAATAAACCAGTTTATCAGTGTAACTGACCAGAATTTGCTCCACATTGTTTTACAGTCCTCTATGCAGGCTTCTACTTATTGTTAGTTTTCTACCCTTAACGAGTGACATTCTGTGGGAAAACTCTCACCTGAGGCCCATTTCTCTTATTTTAAATGGGGAGAAAAGATCATGTATCACAGTCCCAACCAGTGTCCTCAAATACAGCTTAAACACAGTAAATGCATGTAAATACCCAACATGCATCATACCAAGAAGTAGTAACTGCTTTAAAAGTGATTTTCCCCTGACCAGTTAGTACGGTTGTGAACAAGTGGTTACCTTGAATGCGGTGACACGGCCCCCCAACGTGAGAGTGACACGTGACTCTCACTTGTCAGCGTGCCTACGCACGATTCTGACTCGTGTTGGATTTGGAGCGCAACTTGAAACATTTCTCTATTATATTTGAGGATTTAAATACTGATTTAATAAATATTAAATAGGACCGATAATTTAATGATTATAATTAAATAACTAATAATTATAAACTAAAACCATAATTAAAAGTTAAATGTAATTGAGTAATTATTATTAATTTCCCCACATAGCTAGCAGGTAGAAATAGGAATATAAAGAGGTTTATAGATTTATAGAGTCTAGAAAGTTTTGGGATGTTAAAAACTAATAAGCAAAAACAAACAAAAAACCCTAATATGCACTCTACCAAGAAAATGTTAACCAGGAAGATATTCTGATTGTTTCCCTATTGGAGTCTTTATATAGAGGGTCTTTTATGATACGGTGTCTTATACGCATGCGCACGTGTTTGTCTTTATTTATTTTGGATCTATCTTTTGGGGTCTATAAATGCTGTTTTTGTTCTCAGAGTTGCCATTATAAATAGTAAATATCACAGCTCACTCTCCTCTTTTCTACACGTTGTCTATAATAAGCAGTAATAGTATTAGCTAGGGAGTCTTCTCTTTCCTCCTCCTAATTTTAGATGGTAGCCTGGGGCAGTTTCCTCCTTGGCATGCTTTCCTTAACTGGCACGCTTTCATACGCTTTCCCTTCCATTTTTGTCATATGATATTGTCAGTGCTTGATGTTTGCATCCTTGTGTCCTCTTTATCTCGCATCATTTAGTCCAGTTCTGTAGTTAAGTGTATTCACCTTGTGCCACTGACTTTTTGGTTTCTGAAGCTTGTTCTCTAGGTGATTCCTCCTGAGGGTCTCATGTAACAATCCATGCCTTGAGGTGTTTCATATTAGTAACTTTATTCTTTTTTTAAAGATTTGCTTATTTGAGAGAGAGAGTGAGAGCGCGCACCTGTTGGAGAGTGTGGGGGGAGGAGGGGCAGAGGGAGAGAGAGAATCCACAAGCCGACTCTCTGCTGAGCACGGAGCCCAACACGGGCCTTGATCTCACAACCATGAGCCCATCATTTGAGCCGAAACCAAGAGTTGGCTGCTCAACCAACTGAGCCACCCAGACGCCCCTTGGTAGCTTTATTCTTCGAGGTCAATTTGGATATAAAATCTTTGGCTTATATTTTCTCTCTTTGAATACCCTAAATATGTGTCCCATTGGTATGAAGTGTTGCTGATGAGAATCCTAATACCTACGTTAACTTTATAAGCGAATTGGGGTGGAGGGAGGGCATGACAGGGGCAGTGGACACCCAAAGCATGATCTTTCAAAGCTCCGTAATTTAATCAGAACATATTTCCCTCTTGCTCCTTCTAGCTGATTCTCCAGTGATGTCATATGCCTTCCAGAATGTTGGTTCTGGTCCCCTCCTTTCATGGTCCCCCTCCCACTCTCCCACCTGTCCCAGGAAATGTTTCTTGAATTACAGTTCTAAAGCATTCTGTTGCCTTGGGGTGCTTGGTTGGCTCAATTGGTTGAGCGGCCAGCTCTTGATTTCAGTCGGGTCATGATCTCAGGGTCATGGGTTTGAGCCCCATGTTGGGCTCCTAGCTCCGCAGGGAGTTTGCTTGAAGATTCTCTCTCTCCCCCTGTGCCGCTCCCCCAACTCAAGCTTGCACTCTCCCTCACTCAAACAAACCTTTTAAAAAAAGAATTCTGTTGCTTTTATTTGCTGCTTCTTCAGGGATTCCAGTTCTACATGTGTTAGGGCACTTCTTCCCCTATCTTTGATATTTTCTCTCAAATCCTCTTTCTTTATTTAAGGGATTTTTGTGCAGAGGAGAAATCTATTCTACCGTCATGCTTTTGCCTGCCAGATGACCTGATTGAGGTGGGACTTCTAAACCCCATGTCTCAGCTGGCTCCGGAGACTTGGTGACAGTCCAGATAACTGTCAGAAAGACCACTAGGCACATTTTTGAAACAAAATCCTAAAGCCAAAGACATTATCCTGCTCTTGTCCTGTTTAAGCCTTCACTTTTCTACCTCGTTCCTACATCTGCATTCGTTCAGTAGTACAGCTGTTAACAAAACAAAAGCCTCTCACATAAGAAACAAAATAAGTTCTTCGTCGCATTGGCATGTAGACCCACCCCGGCTGCGCAGGGAGGTGGCGGGGAACCCCAGTTTGCAGATGTAGACTATTAGTGGTTGCCCGCACGGAAATGGGTCTGGGCCAGAATTCAGGCTCAAACTCCACCCTCAACGATGATGTTCAAGGGAAGAGGAGTAGAGTCAGGTTGGAAACAGATTTTAAGGTAGGTATTTTTAAACCGTTTCAAGAAATCAAAGCGGCACTTGTGACATTTGGGGCACGAGACCTACCTTGATAGGCCTTTCCAGGTCTTTCTTTGTGAACCTCATCACAACCAGTCCCAGAATCGTCAGGCCATAAAAGAGCCACGCAGCAAAACTGAAGTAATTGACCAACGAGTTTATGTCACCGGGGATGATGTAAATAGTCGCTATGATGCCCTAGAGGAAGGAAGAGTGGATTCTTAGGTCACTGGTGCATAAAAACAGGATCCCTGTCACCTCCCAGGAGGCCGAAGAAGCAGCGTTTCCTGTGGATGAACCTGTTGGCATGAACGAACCCATGAATCCCCTTCTAGCTGGAGTGAACCCAGCCTTTGGCCGTGATGAGTGTTCTCCGTGACGGAGAGGACCTGGGAACGTGGGACTCTTTGACGTTGCAGTTTTAAGCGGCGACAGAACAAAATATGCATGTACATCCCACCAGCTCCCTGATGATAAGCTTTTCTGCCAGAGAGTCTTTGTCGGGGCAAAGGAGCCCGAGCTGTGACACTCAGCCTGGTCTTGACCAGCCTGAGCTGCACGGCCTGGGCCGTGTGGTGTGAGGCCTCCCCTCATCTTCAAAGGGAGTGGGCTGATGGACAGCAGTGGTTCTCCTGTGGGGTGGAAGGAGCCTGGCCCCGAGGCTGGGCTTGCATGGTCCGTAGGGGGTGCCACACAACCAAGGACCGTCCCTCCACTGAGAAACTCCGATTAGAGGATGTCAGAGGGCCTCCACTGCACAGGGATGCGGTGACGTCTAAACTGTTGGGCCATAATGAGAAGCAGTGATCGGAGCCATCTCATAAAGTGGCATATTCTCCTTCCCTGGAAGCTGGTGGGGTTTTGTACAGTTATTACCAGGGACCCAGACATACAAATGTGCATGTAAGGACTGTAGAGGGTAGAAAGTTGGGAGAGTCCGTGTCTTTCGTAGACAAATTCAGAACAAGGAACAGACGTTGGGCAACCTGTTGGAGCGGTCATGGGCTTCTTAGTGTACCTACTTCATGTGGAGGAGTAAAGGGAGCTGGGGCCATTTGGAAACCACTGGGCTTAGTGATACTGGTTTACTCCAGAGCCTCTCGGCCTTGAAGGGGGTGTTTTGACAGCAGGATTCATACTTACATAAAAGATGATGGCGGGGGCTGGAGTCAGGCGCTTGACACTAATGTAGGAGAGCACTTTGAGCATGTGGCCTTCCCGGCCTGCCACGTACACAAGCCTGAAAGAGCAGGAGGAGAGGGATGGATGGGCAGGCAGCCTGTGGTGCCACCACTGCGCTTCCCCACCAAAGCCACGGAGGAAGGGACTCAATGGGCACCTGGTGTGGTCAGTGGGAGTCGCTCTCGGGGAGCTGAGTGAATTTGGGGGAAGTAGGTGGTTAAATGCACCTGAGAGCCATGCTTCCTGGTGCTGAGGGTCAGCTACACAGGGGAGAGCATAGGGCTGGCTTGGGGTTTGGAAAGGACCTTTCAGGAGGAGACCTACTCTGTGTCCTCAGAGTTATGCTTTTACATAATAGAAAAACCAGTCCAGGGCCAGTGAACCCCAGGGCTTGGAACACCTGACGGAAGCAAGCACAGAGGTGCCTGGCACTTCCTAAACCCAAGCTGTGCAGGATTTCCATATTTAAAAAAAAAAAAAAGATGCCTGGGTGGCTCAGTGGTTGAGCATCTGCCTGTGGCTCAGGTCATGATCCTGGGGTAGTGGGATTGAGTCCAGCATCAGGCTCCTGGGAGGGAGCCTGCTTCTCCTTCTGCCTATGTCTCTGCCTCTCTCTGTGTGTCTTTCATGAATAAATAAATAAAATTAAAAAAAAAAACTAGATCTGAGAGGGGCACCTGGATGGCTCAATCGGTTGGGCATCTGACTCTTGATTTCAGCTCAGCTCTCAGGACCCTGGGATCTAGTCCCACCTCGAGCTCCATGCTCAGTCCAGAGTCGGCTTGGGATTCTCTCTCCTTTCTGTCTGCCCCACTCTCCATTTGCACGGACACTCTCTAAATAAATAAAATCTTTTTTTTAAAGAAATAGACCTGAGTTATGAAGTGGAGACAAATGGAAAATGTAGACAGGAAATTGAGAGAAGAAACAGGGAGCCCCCCAAGTTCGTTGAATGGGGTAAGAGAAACTTGAAGAAAAGCAGAGAGCTTCCATGGAACTGAAAAACAGCTTTTAAATTAAACCCAGTTCTAGATAAAAAACATACCCAGATACAAACATCACAGTGAAAGGAAAAAAAAAATTTTTTTAAAGCTTCCAAATTTAAAAGATGAACTACAAAATGAGGACAACCAGAACAGCAGAGATGGCACGAGAATATTTTCAAAGCAACCTGGGAAATCGGTTTTCAGATTCCGGGGCTGTAGAGCTAAGCTATCGTTCAGGACTCCTGGCAAGATAAATATATTTGCAGGTGAACAGGGACTACGACACATTTTCTCTTCTTCGATCCTCATTGGAAACTATTAAATCTACTCCAACAAACAGAAAAGAACTGAACTCAGGAGTCGTTTGAAGATGCGATGTGAAGGAAACAGCAGTAAGACACGTTGATATGGATGTAAGTACACACGTTTTCAATTCTTATCACGATGAACTTTTCTTGGAGGGGAGGGTTTATAGACAAAGTGCAGCTGATCTACCGGACGTAGCAAAAGGGAGAGAGAGCCCTTGCCGGAGAGGGAGGAGAAGGGAGATGTTTATAGCCTCTGTTAGGTATTCGAGTTAAATTTGAAGGGTAATTGCTAAAAGAACAGAAAGAAAACTTCCACATCAGGAGAGAAAAGAAAGGGCATTTGATGGATAATAAATCAGGATAAGATTTTTTTTTTTTAAGCTATGAAAACACAATACGTTGGAGATAATCCCACTGTAACAGGAATCCCATCAGATGGGATCAGATGATGATCGCGTAGACTGTAGATCCGGGCCAGAGACGCCCTGGGGGGTTGTTGAAAGAGACACAAGCCAAAGCCCCCTGAGGCCGAGGGGGGAAGAGACAGGGGATGGATGAACATGCTACCCGAAGCAGCAGCCCTGAGCCTGTAGGGTCCTCAATATCAATATTGGACAAAACAGAATTTAAGGCAAAATGAGTTCCCGTGGAAAATGGAAGCCATCTGCCAAGAAGATACGAAAACTGGGAGCCCTTGAAACGTAGTAGGCCAAACTTGACAAATCCACTGAGAGCAGAAGATCTGAAGAGTCAAGGCACGGGCTTGACGATGACAGAGAAATCGAGGTGACTAGAACACAATGCACCTTATTTTCAAGACCCTAAGAAGCATTTTTAAAACCTGCAGTCAGCCACAAGGGAAGGCGTAAAGCTTCCAAAGAAATGAGATCATAAAGATCCCTCACTCTGACTACAACACCATAAAATCAGAAGTCAGGAATACAAAGTCCAAAAGGGCTCATCTACTTAAAACTACGTATCTGAACTTTGAAAAAGACGTAAACATGGTATCAAGTTAGTTTCCCGAACAAGCCAGTTAACACTGGTAGGAAAGGAGTTGCCAGAGGGAGACAGGCTGCAGGGGTGCTGGGACCTCACACTTTAAACCCCTCAGCACTCACAAACTTCTCCGTAAATTCCATGGGCTCATAAAGCAAGCGGGACGTTTGGAACTGGACACAATCATTGCAAGTGCGGCTGGAGGGCTGAGTAGGCAAGGGGGAGCCAACCACTGACAGGGAGGCACCGTTTCTTCCAGATGGTACATGGCGGGGGCGGGGGGGCTATGAGGCGTCCCTGTGCACAGGGATAGGACAGGGCCCAGATGGGCATGCTAATAGTGGTATTCAAACCAGGAGGGGAAACGACGGACTATTAATAAAAAATATTGGGACAACAGGTAGATGCTTGAGGGACAAAAGCAAGATTTATGCCTCATGTCAAAATGCATTCCAAATTGATCAAAGAGCCAACGTAAAATGCTAGGAGAAAACATGAGTGGATATTCTTGAAAGGAGGGAGGTTTGTCTACACGACATGGAAAACTCAGACCCCAGGAAGCAAAAATCTTGGATGTGGCCCCACAAAAATTCTACCCAACACATAATTCATAATTCTGGCCAACCCCCAAGCTGCACAGGTATCCAATTATACAAGGTTAATGCAGAATGGGTCGTAAACCTAAATGTGAGGGCTACACCTATAAAACTTCTAAAGTAAAACAGAAAAGAAACTCTTCATGATCTTGGGTCATGCAAAGGCTATTAGAGATGACAACAAAAGCATGACACGTGGGAAAAAAAAAGTCAAAGTTAAAAACACACACATTTCCAAAACACCAGTAAGAAATGAGAAGACAGGTCACAGACTGGGAGAAAGTGTGTGTGCAAGTCAGATACCTGAGAGAGGGCTTGTATCCATAATGTATAAATAATTTTTTTTTGTATAAAGAATTCTTACAACTCACTAAGATGACAAACAGCCCAATTGAAAAAGTGGACAAGAGATTTGAGTAGATATTTCATCAGAAGACATATGCATGGCTACCCGGCACATGAAAAGATGCTCGGGAGCATCAGGAGTCCTTAGGGAAATGCTATTAAAACCACAGAGACGTGACTTATCCCCACGAGAAAGACTAATCAAGGAGACCATGCCCAACGTTAGGATGTGGAGAAACTGGGATGCTCATGCATTGCTTCCAGAAATCAAAATGGAACAATCACTTAGGCAACAGTTAAGCAGTTTCTTCTGTAACAGTTAATCACAAATTTACCGTAGGAGCCAGAAATTCTACTCCTAGGAATCTACCTAAGAGAAATGAACACACACGTGTGTGAACGTGCGCAGTGGGCATTCAAATGGCCCAGACTGGAAGCAGCGCAAACTTCTAGCGACTGGGGAATGGATAGACAAAAGGCGGTGTCTCCGCGCAACAGAAATCCAGCTGTTGCAAGGAATGAGCAGATACGTGCTGTGACATGGGGGGACCTCAAAAATAACATGCCAAGTGAAAGAAAGCCAGATGCAAAGGACACCCTGCATCGCGCCAGTTAAATGAAATGTCTAGAAAAGGCAAGTTTAACAGACACTGGAGCAGGTCGGAGATAATCCCAGGCCCGGCGCGGCAGGGAGCAGGGGCTAGCTGCAGTCAGGCAGGAGCGAACTTTTGGGGATGATGGGAAGGTTCTAGAATCGGAGTGTGAGCCTATTTGCACAGCTTTATAAACATAATAAAATCATCGAATTGTATAATTACCAAGTGAGACTTAACAGTGTTTACACCTCAGGAGAGCTATTGAAATCCTGTTCCTGTGTATTAGCAACAAACTTACCAGGGACTGACATTTAAAAAAAAATTTACAGTAGCACAAAATATGAAGTTTGTTTTTAGAGAGAGAGAACGCGCATGAGTGAGAAAGAGCAAGCAGGTGGGGAGGAGCAGAGGGAGCCGGAGAAGCGGGCTCCCTACTGAGCAGGCCCGGGCTCGACCCCGACACCAGGACTGTGTGACCCAAGCCGAAGGCAGACGGATGCCCAACCAACCGAGCCACCCAAGATATGAAATGTTTTGGGGTGACCGTGACAAAACGTATGCAAGAGCGACATACTGAAACTACTGCAGAAAGAAAAGAAAAAACACTCTGGAAAAAACTGAAGACCTAAATAAAGGGAGCGGGTCCTTGCCCTCGGGTTAGAACGATCAACACTGTTAGTGAAGACGGCAGCCCTCTCCAAATTGAGCTACAGATTCACGGCGGCCCTGAGCAAAATTTGACAAGCAGGTTCTCAAATTCATACAGAAATGCCAAGGATCCAGAAATAGCCGAACGCTCTGGAAGAAGGGAAGTTGCTGGACTGGCACCATCTGTGCTTCGACACAGCGCCGCGAGGGATGGTTTTGCGTTCCTCAAACACGTCCACTGTATCCTCCTTGGCAGTTCCGCCCTCGCAAATGAATCCATGCAGGACACCGGACAAGTGGGCAAAGATGTGTTCCAGAATGTTCCCTGTGGCAGTGTTTAAGAGAACAACCCCCCACTGGGGCCGTGAGCTGAGGTTGTGTGACGTTGGGTCAACTGGAATACGACGCAGCTGCTGACGGTCTCCAGGCCGGGAGGGTCCACAGGGCTGGTGGGGCCGGCAGACGATGCGGGTTTGTGTGGGATAATAATCCCACATTATCAGAATGTGGGACAGGAACAGAACCGTGTCAGTTGCTCTCATGCTGCCACCGAGACCGTCGGGGTAAGCGGCAGACTCCTGTGGCCCGAGAGCCCAGAAGGTTACTCTCGGGTCTCCATTACGTATATAGTCACGGGGGAAGACGTTCAAGAGACTTCAGTAGGTGATAAACGGGACCAGTGTGTCACCCCGTGTCCCCGCATCCTGCCTTGTACGACATTGACAGCACTGCCCCCGCCGCTGAGGAGCACAGGGTGTGGGCCACCATGCCCAGCACCGGTGCGCAAGCTCAGCCGTACGTTTTGCTCTCTTTCCTGGACTTTGGGTTTTCTTATGTTTTTATTCAAATTCCAGTTTTCTGTTATGCTGTGAAGTGTAAGCCTGGCAGGCCCCTGAGGGCTTCTGCCCTGAGGCTTGTCCCTCCTCGAATGCAGATGGGCCTCTGGTGCCCTCTGGCCTCCCCCCCACCCCCACCCCAAATGAGTGCTGGGGTTCCCTACCTGCCCGCTGTGAAGCAGGTCCCGTTGGCTGCGCCAATGGTGGAAAAGGCCACGAACAGGGGAACCACCCAGGAGGCCGGGTAGAGAACACGGTCACCGAACGTCTGCAGAGAGCAGCACAGGAATCCTGAGGGGCCTTCACGCTCCTCCAGAGGAAGCTGCTGGGCCTCCCCGGGGCCTGGCCTCTGACTCCCCTCGGGGAAGGAGGACCTACACGACCACTTGACCACTTGGGAGGAGAAGGACATAGCCTCTTCCCCTCCCAGAGGAAAGCGACCAATACTAACTCCACTCCTGACCATCTTGCTCACGGTTGCAGGGTGACCTCTCCTGGGGCTAAGTGTTCCCAGCGACTTGGAGATTAATATGCAAATCTTAGAAATGCCACCCATGGTCTGGATGCAGGGAGGCTCGCTCGGTTTGGCTCCCAGGACTCTGTTTAGAGCATAGCCTTTCCCCTTCCTGACACACGGGTGCAGCCACAAGCTCTAGAGAAAGGTTGGCCATCCGTGGGGTGCACGCTCCCCCTCTGATGCCACCACGGTGCCCTTCTGCACACCACCTCACTCCATAAAATCTGGGGACTAAGGTCCAGTTCTTCGCAGAGAAGAACTGAGCAGGCCCTGAGCCTGGATCAACCTCCACCTGATTCCCCTGCCAGGAAGTTACTCTGAACAGAACCGTGTACAGACCGTAGGGAGTCAGTGCTTCGTCTTTGGTCCAAGTGCCTCCTTGGTTTGAGGGACACTTTACTGACGACCTCCCGATACAGAGAGGCAGACATGTCCTCTCCACCCCCCACCGTCCTAGCTTGTCATTTCACTGTCCTCCCGACACCCCTGGCTTCCCGCTTCCCCCTCACTCAGCATGACCCTGTTCTCCCCGCGCCCCAGCCACCTGTCCTCGTGGCCCATGACCTCATCGTACCCGAGATGGCCTCTCCCCCCGCTCCCCATCCACCCCCATCGCCCATTTGCAGTTCCCTTCCTGGCCCGCGCCCGCCCCACGAGGCCTCCAGCGCCTGGACCCACCCACACATATCCCCTTGCCGTCGAGACCCCCCCCACAGTATAATCCTGCCCTTCGATCCCTCCCCTGCACTTCCTTGCCTGTATCCATGAAAACCCCGACCCTGGGGCAAACCCGGCCCTGTGCCACCTGCGCCCCGTGCCAGCACCCAGGCCCTGGACAGAACCTTCCACCCGCTGGCACAGCCTTTATCCTCGGGTGTGTCCTTGCTGCTGCCCCCAATGGCTGCCTCTGCCCCGAGTCCTAGACTACGACTGCCCTCCCCCCACCCCCAGAGGGCACCTCGGCTGGGCATTTAGGACTTGCCCCGGAGCCCAGCAGCCTCTGGCCCCGGGCCCTGGGCACTCACCACGGCCACTGCCTGGGACTGCAGGAGCTCGGTGGGGGTCATGACCGTGAAGTAGGCCACGTTCATGAGAAGGTAGCAGCCTGTCACCAGCGGGATCCCGATGATGATGGCCAAGGGCAGGTTTCTGGGAGCGGCAGGGACCCAGGGTCAGAGCCGAGCACCCGTGGGAGCCCCGCGAGCCTGCGGTTCCTGTCCTGTCCTGTCCTTTCTCGCCAGCCCCATCCCTCCGCCCCGCCAGCCAGTCTCCGTGGGGGGCCGGGGTCCCAGCCGCTGCCGGAGGCCCACCCCCTCCCTCACCGGGGGCCTGCAGGACATGACGTTGTCAACTGAGAAAAAAACAAAAGACAAAACCTGTCCCGCTCTCAGGCTCCGGGATGGAGAAGTGGGATGTCACCTGATTCATCTAATTCAAACTCAGCCTGACATAAAGTGGGGGTTCCCGCACCGCCCGGAGCAAAGCCGCGCTCCCACCGGTGGGAATGGGCTTGGGGGGAGCCAGCGCAGCAGGAGGGGGCCCCGCTTCCTCGGGGAGACAAGCGGGCTTGCGGACCCCCGCTCCCCCCCCCCCCCGACTCTGCTTTCTCACCTGAAAGGGTTCCTGAGTTCTTCCGTGATGTAATTGAGCTGATTCCTAGGAGGGAAAAGTCACACGAGTGACCTCCTTCGGCCTTCCTTGCTTACGCACGTGCAACACAACCCAAGCGTCTCGTTGGAGACTCTCCGGAGAAGGTTCTCCCGCGGGGCCTCGGGGTGATCTCTTTCAGAGAAAGCCCGTGACGGTGCCCCCCCCCCAACTGCGAGGTCTGCACGTCTGTCAAGTGATAGGCCTTTGCTCTCTGGGAATCAGAATTTTCCAGAACCCTCGGGAGCAACGAGTCCCCAGGCTGCTTGGGAAACCCTCCAGGTTTTGCGGGAGGGAAAGGCCAGGGTGATGGGCGGGGGGCCAGGCTTCTTCCTCACACGACACGGGCAGGGCCTTGCATCTCCGCCATGGGGTGGACGCGCTGCGGAGGCTTCTGGCCTAGTCAGGCGCCCGCCCGTCTCCGTGTCCCCCTGGGGGCCCAGCCTCGGCCACCATGTGGCCCGCTGAAGGGGCAGGGGTCTTGGGGCCTGCGGGCTCGGAGGGCGAGCGAACCGAGGGGCGTGTGGACGTGAGCCCCCCGAACCCCGGGGGCTTCTGCAGGAGCCGGACCCGGGTGGACGTGCGGCCCGTCCCAGCGAGCCTACCATCCGTCGTAGGCCCAGAGGCCGTTATAGAAGGCCAGGCTGATGGCGCCCACAGACAGCTTTGCGCCCTCGAAAGAATTCTCAAAATTCCTTGTATTTCCTGTAATGAAGCCAGACAGCGAACTGTGGGTGTCAGAGGACCGCACCGGGACCCCACGGCATCTCCACGACCGAAGGGCGCCGCCCGTGACCTCAGGGTATCACGCGAGCTCCAAAAGGCCGGGAATCCAGAGCGGCCCCTTGGCACCCCTGCCGGGCTCCCCAAGGGACAGGCCGTGGGGGACGAGGCCGAGCTGTGTGGCACCCGCCCTGCCCGCCCCGGGGCGCACTCACCTTGGGCCAGGAGGACCAGGCCCCCAATGATGATGACGGCCACAATCACCAGCTTGGCCCCCGTGAACACGTTCTGGACGTAGCTCCCCAGCCGCACGCTCAGCGAGTTCACGGTGGTGATGAGCACTGGGAAGAGCCAGAACGGGGGTGACGGTGGCCCTGGGCCCAGCACACCCCCTTCCTTTTCCAGGGGCCCGGACCTGCCCTCGTGGCTGCCCCATCGGCAGGTGTGCCTGGCGGGGACCTCGGAGCATGGCCCTGGGGGACCGCCCTGGGGACTCTGGGCTTTGGGGGGCCCCCCGCAGACCCCGGCCCACTTCTTGCTGCACCCTCAGGCCCACCGGCCTCTCTGGGCATGCGGGAGCCAGGCCCCCCGCACCCCCTGCCCGGGTGTCACCCGTGGGTACTCACAGATGGCAGCAGCCGCGAGGCACTTCACCACAGCTTCGGGGGGCTTGCAGCCTGAGTAGAAGGGCGCACAGACGTACTCGGAGAAACTGAGACAGATGATGGCGAAGGAGGTGGGCTTTATGACGAACAGGCTGGTCCAGGAGAAGAGGTAGGCGGGGATGGGCCCGAAGGCCTCCAGCAGGTAAGGGTACTCGCCCCCCGACTTGGTGATCATCGTACCGAGCTCTGCAAAGCACAGGGCGCCTGGAACGCAGAGAGGGGGCCCGCCCCGGTGAGACCTTGCCCTGCTCCCGGGGAGCCCCCCCACTTCTGGGGCCGCCCCACCGGGCCCCCTCGGCTCTCTGGCCGGTCTGCACTCATGCCCCACAGATGCTGCCCGGGACCCCAGCAAGCGCGGGCCGGGGCGCAGAGGGTGCCCGCCTGCCTCGGGGGAGCTCCCCAGGGAGGCCCGTGTTCGTTACCCAGTGTTGCCAGGACCCCACAGGCCACCCAGATGATGAGACAGGGCCCCACGGCCTCCGTGTTGCTGAGCACAGACTTGGGGGAGATGAAGATCCCAGAGCCGATGATGGTGCCCACGATCATGCAGATGCCGCTGAGCAGGCCCACCTGGGATGCGGCACGGAGGGCGGTTAGGGCGCCCCCGCCCCCACGCCCCCCCCAGCGCGGCCCCCTCCTGCCACGGCCAGCCCAGCTCCCGCCAAGCCCGAGCACCGTCACCACGGCCCGTGAGTCAGGCAGGCCCCCGTCACGCCCATTTTACAGAGGAGAGCGCAGAGGACAGATGGGTGACGGGGCTTCCCCAGGGAGTCCCCGCGCAGCACCCCTGGCTTGGGCGGCGCCCCGACCTCTACCCCTGACTGCCCTTGACAAAGCGGCGCAGACGCCCAGATGGGTTTAAAGGCTGACTGAGCAGAGAAGTCAGGGCCGTGGTCTGCGCCAGGGGCCTCCCGGGGAGCAGGGGGGAAGAGGGGTGCAGGGGGAGATCCAGGGGCCTCCCGGGGAGTGGGGGTGGGGGGGTGCCGGGGGAGACCCAGGGGCCTCCCAGGACAGAAGCACCCGGAGGCTGCCGAGCTCTGATGCCGTTTGGCAGGGAGTGACCGGGGCACTGGCAGGACGGCCTGGGCTCTTCTCCCCTCGGGGCCTGTTAGGCTGATTGACCTCGGCGGCGGAACCCTCCAGAACCCTTCCTCCCGCTGAGGTCTGCACTCACCGGAGCTGCCCCCAGTTTAGGAACGAGTGGAGGACACACCCGGGGGTCAACTCGGTGCTTTTCAGGGGGAGCGACACCCATTAGCCAGCCCCTAGGGACCCCAGACCCCAGGCCAGCTCGCAGGCAGCCGAGCCAGCCCCCGTCCCTCCTCCTGCCCCTGCTGCCCGCACAGCCCAGCCTGACAGTGGGGCCCTCGCGGCCGCCCTGACCCCCCGAAGCCGACCATCCACGCCCCCCCACCCGCGTGGAGCCCCCCTGCCTTCCAGCCCCTGAGGGACACTGCCCCCCCGCCCCTGGGGCGCAGGCCCCCCCCAGTCCAGCCACTACTGTGGTCCATCTCACAGGATCACCCACGCCCCACCCATGTCGCACGCGCACCCCTGCTAGAGTCCCTACAAAGGAACGCGTTTCCCATCATTGAAGGAACATATTGAGGGACAGGCCGGGGGCAGCTACGCGGTGGAGACCTATAGAGGGGGCGGCCCATGGCAGAAGGGCCCCCCTGAGCATCCCCCCGGGCCCGAGTGGACCCCAGCCGTCCAGGCCCTCGCCCGGCGCTCCGAAGCACCCACGCGTTAGCTTCGCAAAGAAAATGCTGGATTCACGGGCCGGAAGGCAAGAGCTCAGCCCCACGAAGTGTTGGCTCCGAGGTGTGCTTTCCAATCAGGGATCGGGGGGCTTCGCGGGGGCAGCCGCTCGCCGCTGGGGCCCTGCGGGGGGGACGGACTTGCCTCCTTCTGGAGACTCGTGGTCTTGGGTTCCTTGGCCTGGATGCTCCCCGTGGACCTCTCGTCATCTCTCCTGTTTCTCAGGCTGTTCTCCTCCATTTCTCCTCCCGCCGGTCCTAGGGGGGCTGCGAGGAGAGCACTCGGCCCAGCCCGGCGGCGGCGGCCAGGCCGGGGCACCCCTCGGCACCCCCCGCGCCCAGCTCCACTCCACCAGCAGCGCCCAGCTAGGGCAGGGACGAGCACCTGCCGACCCCTCGGGGATGGTGTGCGGGGTCCGGGCCGACCCGGGGGAGGGGCTCCCGTGCATTTGTCCCGGCGCCGCAGCAGCCCCCGGGGCCCCCCGAGCTGTCCGCCCCTGCTCGCCAGCAACGGCGTACCCCAAAGTCGTTCTACGTCCAATTTCTCTCTGTCTCTCTCTCTTTTTACTTTTTTCCAAAAGTAAAAAGAAGTATTTTACAGCATCCTGGAAGACCCTTGGGGGAACCGAGTGCAAGGACGGCAGGCTTTGCCCATGGTCACGTCCAAGGCGAAGGCACCGGGCACAGACAGGGCAGCCCCGCGGCGGCGATGCTCCCGCGCTGAGCGACAGCAGCCGCGACATGCTGGGGGGATCAGCCCAAGGCCGAGCCAGCCGGGGTGCTCCCTTCCTGCGCCCTTTCCCTAAATAAAGTCCCTCCCAGGCCCTGGGGGGAGGGGGCTGCCCACCGCCCTGCGGCCTTACCTTTCCTCGCCCTCGCAGCACCCGGGGAGCTGCCCAGCTCGGCCGCCGGCTGTGTCTGCGCGTCTGCACGGACGCGCCCTGGGAATGGCCATGTCTTGTGCCCAGGAGTGGAGGACGCCAGAAGGTACAGAGGTCAATAAAGGTAATTATTAAACACCTCTTTTTTTTCTTTTCTTTTTCTTTTTTCTTTTTCTTTTTCTTTTTTTTTTTTTCTTGCAGCAATGAAGCCTGGATCCCGCGCCCGCAAGGGGAGGAGGGCCAGGCACAGGCCACCTCCTGCGCACAGAAGCTCCCGTGCTGTCGCTCACTGTTCTTTCCTTAACCAGAGCCCCCCCACATCGGGTGCATCTTGTCAGGAGATCCCTCTAAAAACTGGCAGCGGAGGGGATAAACTTTGGAACCAGCTTCTTTTATTGCCTTAATAAGCTAGATTTACAGCCGGGGGCAGGCGGCACCCGGGGGGACCGCCGGCGGGAACTCGCTGCTGGTCAGGGCGGGTGCCAAGCCCGCAGGACCGTGGGAGGGTCTTTCCCGCTCCCCTTTGGGGGTGACTGGGCTCTGGCCCCGCGGACCCGCCCTGCTCCGTCTGCACCTGCAGCCGCCCAGCTCCGTTTGGCCCCAGTCTGTGTTCATGGGATCGTGGGGCGGAGAAGGGGCTGCGCAAGCTCCCCAACCTGCTGGGGAAACTGAGGCCCCAGAGACAATGAAATATGTGAAGGCCCCGGAGCTCCGCCCCTGCCCCCCCATCCCAGAGGTCCGAGTGTGCTCAGAGGAGCTGGGGACAGACCCACCCTCCCGTCCCTCCCCTCCAGGGCTGACTCGGTGGCGGTGGCGGCTCTAATCCCTTGTTCTCAGCCGGGGAGCTTTGTACTGTTATCACCACCGCCTCCTCCGTGGTTTCTGTTGTTTCCGTTGTTTCGCGCTGGGCTAAATCTGACAGCATCTCACATAGAGACCAAAGGTCACAGGAAGGAGCAGGACAAGGCACAGGGGTCCCCAGGGAGCACTGTGGGGAGGGCAGGGCCTCAGGGCTGTCCCCAAAGCCATCTGGAGGACATGGGGACGCTCCCCTGCCCACCGTGCTCCCCGGGGGACGGGGGGGGGGCGGGGGGGCTCCGCCGCCACTGCCATCTGCCGCCCCAGACGCCCCGCCCGCAGGCCGGTTCCACCGGGCCCTGGCGCGCCTGTATCTGCACAAAACACTGCAGAACACTCCTGGGGTCAAAGTTGCCTCCAAAGGGCTGCTGTTCTCAACAGAAATCACGTGAGGAGGGCAGGGTGGGTGGCGGGTGGGAGGGCGACGCCCAGACCAGGCCGGTGGCCACGGGTGACTCAGCCTCTCCGCAGGCGCCCAGATCCGAATCTCGAATCTCGAGGGGGGCCGGTCCCGCACAGCCCCCCACGGCCGCGACAAGCGTGGGGCGCGCAGGGTTGGCCTGGTCTGGCCTCTGGGGCCTCTGCCGGGCGAGTGTGCACTTGCTAAGGGTCAGAAGTCGCTTCCGTGCCCCTGGGGTCGCCGGTGAGCACTGCCTTCCCCAGGCTGCCCTGTGTTGTCAGCTTTCCCCTGGCAGAGGGAGCGTTCAACTCCACTCAGGGGAGACAATCTGGATGTGCCCCCGCCCCGGGCTCCTGGAGACCTTGGCCCCCCCCTCGCGCGCCCGGCCCTCCCCCCCAGGGCCCAGGTGGCCCCCGCTGCCTGTTCCCCTCCGGGCGCTTCCCGACCCCTTGCACCCGTCCTTCTCGCACCCCCCCCTATTTCTCAAGGTTCTGGGAAGCTCTTGACCTTCACTCAAACGTGCTTGTGGTCTGCGCAGACGGACCCACGTCGCGTCTGCATTTTTCTTACCGTTTGGGATGTGGTGCGGCGGCCTCTTCGCGTCCCTTCTGCGGGAGCCCAGGCCCCAGCCCGTGCTGCGCAGCCTCCTGGCCTCTCTGGTCCTCCGAGCCCCCGAGCCCCCGGAGCAAGGCTCAGGCCCCCACGTCGTCGCTCCAACCCCGCCCAGGCCTGCCGTCGAGTTTCTCACACTGTCTTCTGTCGGGGCCGCGGGCCGTGTGCCTTCCCGCGGCGGCCGCTCGGGCTCCGGGCCTCCGGGCTGCGAGAGCAGAGAGCCCGGGCCTCCCGCTGCGGGCCTCCAGGCGGGAGAACCTGCGGGGAACCGGGGCGCGGGCTCCACGGTGGAGGTGGAGCGGCTGCCTTGGGCTCAGCGGGACCCCGGGGCCCCGGGATCGAGTCCTGCCCTGGGCTCCCTGCAGGCAGCCTGCCCCTCGCTCTGCCTGGTCTCTGCCTCTCTGTGTCTCTCACAAATAAAAAATATATATAAAAGAATCAGTGGAATGTGCCAAGTCCTTAAATGCCAAGGATTTACAGTCTCACCATAAAATAATTAGCACAGGAATTCCCTCCCTGCTTGTCACACGAGCTCCCTGTTTGCTCCTTCGCCCCAGATCCTCTCTGTCCCTGGGACTCTGGCTCACACGTCACCTACGTGGAGCCCCACGGTATCTGTCCTCGGTGCCCGAGACGCGTCACACGGCTCAGCACACGCGTGCTCCCGCGGTGCAGCGAGGCCGGCCCTCGGGCTTCACCCGGAAAGAATGGACACATCCCCACAAAAATGTCCTGCGGATGTTCCGAGCAGCGCCGGGCTCAGGCTCTCCGCGGGCGTGGGGAGGATGCGGGGAGGACGCGGGGAGGACGCGGGGAGGACTCGGGGTCCAGTTTCTCGTTTGGATGCGGGACACCGAGGTCTGTACTGCTGGTGCGGAGCCCGCGGAGAACCCACGGGGAGGGGCGCTCGGGGGGCTCGGTGGCCGAGTGTCGCCTTGGGCTCAGCCTGAGACCCCAGAGTCCCGGGATCGAGTCCCACATTGGTGTCCCCGCAGGGAGCCTGCTTCTCCCTCCACCTGGGTCTCTGCCTCTCTCTGTGTCTCATGAATAAATAAACTTTTTAGAAAAAAGAAAAAGGACAGGTTGCCCAGAGTGACCCCGACTTTGGATCTGGGAACACCTAGGCGTGTGTGTCCCCCTGGAGGGAGGGAACCCCACCCACCGAGCCCAGCCACTTGAGGAATCCGGGAGGTGACGGTCGGGGTCACCCCAGTGCTGAGGGTGCCAGACACTTGGCAAGGCCTGGCTGCTGCGAGGGGCTCCCTCCGTCTGCGCCCCGCTCATGGCCCTCAGCCTGGGGCATCCACGCCTCGCCCGACCCCCGGTTTCTGCAGGCTACACCAGGGCCTCTGTCCCGGCGCCGCGGGCCCCTCCACGGGACAAGTCCTCGCTGGACTCCGAAGGCCCTTCTGCACGGAGGCATTTCCTGTGGTTCCCCAGGCCTCCCTGCACCGGGCCCCGCACCCCGAGGGTGACCTCAGGAGGCCCTGCTCGGTGGGTGTCAAGACCAGGGCCGGGGCGCGGCCGCCACACACCAGGGTCCCCGGGCTCCACGGAAGCCCCCGAGGCCACACGGGCTCTGGTGCCACCCAGGCCTTGATGGGGACAAGCTTTTTGTGAAGGACGACAGAGCCAGTTCCAGAAGGAGCTGGGGGGGGGGGGCGGCTGCATCTGGACGGGGGGATCCCGGGCTCTGTCCTCCCCCTGCCCTGGGCCCTGGGGCCCTTGTGCCGCGCCCGTGGCCACTCCCCTCCTGTCCATCGGGGGGTGCTCACCTCTGGGCACCTCGGGGTGCAGGACGCAGCAGGCCGAGTGGGCGCGGCCCCGCGTGTCTGTGTCCCCAAGCCTCTGGAAGCCTCCCTCCTCCCCAGGCCTCCCCCACGCCTCCTGGGATCACAGCAGAGGGGAGGGGCTGGCCCCGAGTCCACCGGGCCCCTTCGGGTCCCCAGAGACACAGGCGACCCCAAGGCCCCGTGCCCCGAAGCCTCTGGCCTGAGCGCCACCCGCCGCTCCCAGGCTGACCAGGGCGCATCCCAAGTTTGCCTTCATCTCAGTCTTAGATCCTGTTTACTTTCCCGAAACTTTACTAGAATTCTTTTTTTTTTGTTTTGTTATAAGATTTTATTTATTTATTCATGAGAGACACAGAGAGAGAGAGAGAGAGAGAGAGGAGAGAGGCAGAGACACAGGCAGAGGGAGAAGCAGGCTCCATGCAGAGTCCGATGCGGAACTCGAACCCAGGACCCCGGGGTCACGACCTGGGCCTCCTCAGCACCCCTGTTTCAAAAACAGTAAACGTGTGGCACCTGGGTGGCCTGGTTGGCCGAGTGTCTGCCTTCAGCTCAGGCCGTGACCCCGGGGTCCTGGGATCGAGTCTCTCGTCGGGCTCCCCGCAAGGAGCCTGCTTCTCCCTCTGCCTGTGTCTCTGCCTCTCTTTGTGTCTCATGAATAAATTTTTTAAAAATTATAAAAAAAAACAAGAAAAGCCCACGCACGGGCTAGTGGGGGGAGCAACAGCAGTTCCCGTGCCTCTGAGTCAGCGGGAGCAGTTTCCAACTGCGAATGTCTCTGGGGCCCCAGCGCCCGCGTACATTCGCCCCCAGGGGACGCGGTGCCCGGCGCCAACGCCACCCAACCGGATCCAAACCGTATTGTGCTGCGACTCGCTGTGCTGGCTCAGCCGCACGGGAAGGGCCCCTGTCCATGTGGGGGCCTCATCGGCCAGGTGCCCTCCCTCCCTCCGTCCTTGCCTCCCTGCATCCCTTGGTCCTTCCATCCCTGCATCTCTCTATCCCTGCATCCCTCCCGTCTCTCCATCCCCACTCCCTCCATCCCTCCATCCTGCCATCCCTCCATCCCACTGTCCCTCCATCCCTCTAACCCGCTGTCCCTCTGTGCCCAGTGTCACAGCAGGTGTCTCCTCGTGGAGGCCGCTGACGGACACCCACGGCGCCCTTGTCCGCCGCTGCCTCGGTTCTGGTGGCTGAAGTGCGTCCCCCGCGCTCCGGCCTCCTGGCACGTGTTCACCCCCCCCCCCCGCTGCCCCGCGGCCTCCGTGGGCCGAGAGCCGCTCCCCACCCTCAGGCGAAGAGCTCACTAGTCGGCGTCCAGCGTGTTCTTCCTGTGGCTCGTGCTCCTGGGCGCACCTCGAGACCCCCTTCCCGGGGCGCCTGGGGGGCTCAGTCGAGGCCTGACTCTTGCTGTTGGCTCAGGTCACGATCTCAGGGTGGGGAGATCGAGCCCCATGTCGGGCTCCACGCTCAGCGGGGAGCCTGCTGGAGACTCTCCCTCTCCCTCTGCCCCCTTCCTGCTCGCTCTCTCTCAAACAGATAAATAAAATCTAAAAAAAAGAAAGAAAAAAGAAATCCTCCCTGACCCAGGGTCATCAACTACCTAGAAGCTTAGTTGTGACTTTCACACTTAGGTCCGAACACAACTGTCCAAGAGAAGTATCCTGTGAGTCACATACGTGGTTTAAAGGTTTCCAGGGGTCACAGTTTTTTTTTTTTAAGTAGAAACGAAAACCAAAGCAGGTGAAATAATCAATTTTCTGAATAGATTTTATTTTACCTAATACACACAAAACATTCTCTCAACATATAACCAGGTATAAAAATCACTGGTGAGGGGGTCCCTGGGTGGCGCAGTGGTTTGGCGCCTGCCTTTGGCCCAGGGCGTGATCCTGGAGACCCGGGATCTAATCCATCGGGCTCCCGGTGCATGGAGCCTGCTTCTCCCTCTGCCTGTGTCTCTGCCTCTCTCTCTCTCCCTCTCTCTCTCTCTCTCTCTGTGACTATCATAAATAAATAAAAATTAAAAAAAAATCACTGGTGAGGTGTTTTCCATTCTTTTCATCATGAGCCTTCGGAGTCTGGTGCATGTTTTGTTTATAGCGCATCTCAATTTGGGGGCTAGATTTTCATCAGAAATCCTTGATCTATACCTAGGTTAACCTTTTAAAATTCATTCAGTGGAGGGGCCACCACTTGCTTAAGCGTCTGCCTTCGGCTCAGGTCTTGATCTCAGGGTCCTGGGTTGGGGCCCACACTGGGCTCCCTGCTCGGCGGGGAGCCTGCGTCTCCCCCTCCCTCTGCCTGCCGCTCCCCCTGCTTGTGCTGTCAGATAGATAACATCTTTAAAAAAATTTTTACAAATGTATTCCGTTGAAAAGCTACATGCTGACGCCCACGTGTCCCAGCGCACACCGAAGCTTTCCTGAGACTGACCCTGCTGGCTCTGGAAACCCAGGCCCTGGGGTCCTCTCCTGCTCTTCTCTTGGCTCTAAAACAGATTTCTTGTCTCAGACCCGGAGGCTAGAAGTCCCAAATCCAGAGGTGGGCAAGGGCCTCGCTCCCTCTGAACCCCGAGGAGGGGGCTCCTGCAGGGCCTCTTCCTAGCTTCTGGGGTCGCCAGCACCCCCTGTTGTCTTTGGCCCGCAGCAACACCTGCCCGACCTGACTGCTGTCGCCTGGCGTCCTCCCTGCGTGTCTGGTTTCAGGGGCACCAGCCACCTGCATGGGGGAGGCCGGGGGACTGACCCCGCTCCAGTCGGACCTAAGTGCATCTGCAACAAGCCTCTTTTCCAAATCGTCCCCTTCTGAGGTCCCAGGGGTCGCCTGTGAGGTGGCTGTGACCGCACAGCCCAGCACGGGCCACCCCTGGGGACCGGAGCCGGAGGGGCGCACAGCAGCCGGCGTGGGGACATGGGAGGGGCAGAGACTGATCCGGGCTGTGCCGGGAAAGTACTATTATTATCTTTTGTTTTGGGGAGGCTAAGATCACGGCCCTGTTTCTGAGCAGTGGGGTTTTTGAGGGTCCACGCGGGCTTCCCCGTAGCTCCCACGGCAGCCACGAGGTGGGGGGGCCGTCGTTTCCCTCCGAGCACCTAGCACGGCCTGCGACCACATCTGCCCTCGCCCCTGCTGTTCCCCACGCGGCGCACGGACGTAAGCACTGCATGGATGCCTGCTGAATACACAGGCTGCGTTGAAAGAAATACACATCGAGACGGAGAATGCTCCTGTCCCCCCACCCGGGGGACGCACCGGTCTCAGAGTGGCCGCTGGGGAGGGGACAGCCTTTCCCATTCTCGGCGCTTGAGGGGCAGGCACCCCTTCCCACCCTCGGGCCCTCTGGCGGCAGATCAACTGCAAACCGAGGGCCGCCCCTTGCCCGCTGTCCCCCCAAAGTCACAGCCGCATCCACCGCGGCCTGGACTCCCCAGGCTACTGGCTAAGAGCACAGGCCGCAGGCTCACCTGTGCTCCTGGGACCCGCTTTATAACTGCTCGCCTGGTTCTGGAGCCATTGACTCAGCGGGACCAAGAAGGAAGGGCACCGCCTCCTGCTCCGGTTGGAACCTGCAGGGTGAAGCCCAAGGGGAGGGGAGCCCCCCGGCAATCCAGGCCCCAGGCCCACCCCGGCCTCTACCCCGGCCTCCACCCCACTGCCCCTCTCCTAGGAGGCGGGAAAGCGACAGGAGTGACCAGAGCGGCCCTCTACGAATATGGCAACAGCAGGGTTCCCGTGACAAGCCACGGGGGCGCGGGGCATCCCGCCTGCGTGGAGGCCAGAGAGCGACTGGGCCCCCGCGGCCCACTGGTCACACAGTGTGACATCCCCGCGAGTCTCCCCACCTCTGGTAAAATGAAAATAAATTACAATAAAATGTAAAACAGCTGAGATCTTCCATCTCAGCTCCCAACCAGCGCTCAGAGGCCACACGGGAACTTTCTGCCCAGCCAGGGGCCTGTGCCAGCCTGTGCGCCCCGAGCCCAGGCAGGGGTGAGCTGGGAGGGCTTGGTCATGGGGTGCGGCAGCCGGGATCCTGCTCCCTGCTGGGCAGCCAGCAGGTCGGGGCCAAGCCGTGCCAGGGGTGGGCACCACCAGCAGGAGGCGCCAGGGGTTGGCCCCGCGGGGGGCCCAGCCGGCCCAAGGAGGGGCCCGGGAGCAGCAGGACCCTGGCCCCTGGCGGCCAGGCAGCGACCCCACCTTGGCACTGGGTGGCCCCAGAAAAATCGCCTTTCCTGGAGGCTGAGGAGGGCAGGGACGGGGCAGGGGCACCTTGCAGAGCTTACTAGGCCGTGAGGGCTGGCACCCGTCTTTCCCCAAATGCTAAAACGGCGCCCAGAGCACCTGCCAGCACCGCCACTGCCTGCAGCGTGAGCACCCGGTGCCCCAAGCTGTTCCCTTGGGCCCTTGCCCGGTGGCAGACCTGGGAGCCCGGGGTCAGGCCCGCCCAGGAGGTCACCATCACCCAGAGCCACGGCAGCCAGAGGCCACGTACTGGCACAGCAGCTCGGCACCGTGCTCCCCAAATAAAGCAAAATGTGCAAACACAGATCACATTTCTGAGAGCTTTACTTCTCTGGCGCGCCCCAGAGGGGAGACGCTGCAGCAGGAGGCGGGGGTTCGCCCTCCCCGTGCACCTCTGGGTCCTGGGTAAAAGCAGGGCTCTGGGCGGGGGGTCCCGGTCACCGGTCCTCGCACGGGCTGTGGCTTCACGTCACCGTGGTTGGGGCCATGGCCCAGGGTGCCCCCCCGGTGCCGTCCCACACACCCGGCCTCTCCAGCGCGACCTGCAGCAGCTCGCGGATTCTCTGGTTTTCCTTGGAGGTAGACTGCCAAACCACCTCGAGCTCGCCTTCCATTTCTCTGAGGGAGATACACAAAAAAAAGGGAAAAGTTTAAAATAGCACAAGGAGAAAAATATTTCTAGAGCCCTTAGGAATCCTAAAGTGGCAAGAACTCCAAGGGAAGAATGCTTGATGTCAGAGAACAGATCCCATGGTGCCTGCGTTCTGAGGCAAAGGCTGCTGGTGTTGAATAAAACGCTGAGGTCCTCTGGGAAGAGAATAAATACTGAGTTGTGCCTTTTCCTTTATTTTGGACCTTTGCTCTCTATAGAATTAACACGTAGAAGAATAAAATACAGTGACTGCGTGGACTGACCCATAGCACAAGGGCCCGGCTGTGGGTGCCCGCATTGCACGAATCCTGCAAGTCTCCCTGTGTCCCCACTACCTGTCCCCACTGGGACCTGGCCGACCCTCAGGCACCTCTCACAACACCCAGCCACAGAGCCAATGAGGGTCCTGGCCATTAGGAGTTAGTCTGGGGGTGAGGAGGGGACTGTGTGGTGTGGGGCTCGTCGCTGAGGACACAGAGAAGACTGGCCTAGTCAGACTTCATGCCGGGGTGAGCACCCAGAGGGACCAAGGTGCACACGTAAAGGAAGAGGCTCTGTGACAGGTACCATGGGGAGCGCTGGGGAAACAAGGCCGACAAGATATTCATGTCCTCGTGGGGCCATGGGCTCCTGGGGGAACAGACCAGGGCCCCAGCTACCACCTCACAGGACAGAGGACCCAATGGGAGAGTGAGGGGGACCAGTCCCAGCCCGGCGGGAACAGTGGGCCACATGTAGGAGGGCAGGTGGCGAGGCCAGCTCCTTTGCTGACATGGCCCAGTGGTTATGGAAGGTGCTACCAAGTGCACTGAGTGCTGCTGTTTGAGGAGGACAATGGCATTCAGGGAGGCCAGCAACGTGCCCACTTGTCCAGCATCATTCCTCTTGTGAACTGTTGCTTTCTCTGAGACCCTCTAAAGTCCACTGAATGTTGGGCGCTATTTAATTAAACTGTGTTTAAAAAAGAACCCCACATTTCTCTTTTCTGGACTACATGTTTGATAAATCACAGCAATCATGATCAATGTTTGGCCAAACTCAAAACAAGAATAGGAAATCTCTAAAGGCAGAAGAGAATAAAGACTAAGCTGCAAGCACACATGCAGGCAATGTGTGTTGGTATTGCTTACTGTTTCGAGGACAAAAGCCTGTGCCAGAAAGCCCCCAGGGCTCACACGTATCCACCTTTCTCCCCTTCTTCCTAGAAACACTCTGAACTACGTGTTCCTCAACTGGGCAGGTAAGTAGAGGTACACAAAGGGCCCTCAATGTTCCAGTGATGTTAGAACAGCCTATTTTCAAAATTAATAATGAAATTAAAAGTGGCTCCAGGTTGGGAATATGCTCTAGCACCAAAGAGAAGCAAATGCAAACTTTCTATAGAGGAAAAACCACCTTAATTGACAACCTTAGGATTCCACAGATTAAATGCAACTGTATACATGTTCATAGTTAAAAAGCTACTGTACATAGAAAGAAACAAGCCACATAGAGCAAGAGCCAAAACAAAAACAAATTTAAGCTCCCCTAAATTTCAGATATTGAAAAAATAACTGCAAATGAAATGTTAAAAGAAATAAAAGATGTTTTTAAAATAAGCAAAGACCAAGAATTTATTTTAAAAACAAATAGGCAGCTTTTTAAGAGAACCGAGTAGAATTGAAAATGAAGTACACTGTTCTTGAAATAACACCCCCCTCCAAAAAAAAAAAAAAAACCCCAAAAACCAAACAAAACAAAAAAACCTGATGGCTGGGTTAAACACTACACTGAACACAGCTGAAGAGAGAACTAGTAAACAGGAATATTGAGCGAAAGAATTACCCAGAATGCGGACCTTAAAAACAAGGGGGAGAAAATTTAAGACAAGGCATGTAGAGGATTCAGTAAGAAGGTCCAACATACATTTAATCTGAGCTCCAGAAGGACATTTAGAAAGAATAAGGAGAAATGATTTAAGAAATAATGACTTATTTTAAGAAAAGAGAGTTTTCTAGACTAATGAAAGACACAAAACCACAGATAGAATAATTTACACCAACCAGACAAGCAAAAAGAAGCCTCCAGATAAACACATACCTAAGAAATTACAGAATACAAGTGACAGAAGAGATCTTTTAAAAAAAATTATTTATATATGGGAGAGAGAGAGCAGACAAGCAGGGGAAGGGGCAGAAAGAGAGGGAAAGAATCCCAAGCAGACTCCCAGCTGAGTGCAGAGCCTTACAGGGGCTCAATCTCACAACCCTGTGATCACGACCTGAGCTGAAACCAAGAGTTGGATGCTTAACCAATTGAGCCCCCCAGCCGCCTCAGGTCAATTATTTTTAAAAATGACAAAAGGCTCATCAGGGACTTGTCAAAACAGACTTCTTAAACAGAGAACACAGAATATGCTGAGAAAAAAAGACTGTCAAGGTAAAATTCTGTAGTTAGCAAAAATGATCTTACAAGGATGAAGGAGAAATGTGGACATTTTCAGATAAACAGAAACTAAGAAAGCTTACTCCCAATAGACTCTTACTAAAGAAACTTCTAAATGATGGGTTTTAGGAGGAAGGAAACTAACCTGAGAAATAAAGTCTGAGATGTAAGAGAGAATACGTTAAGAGATAAACTAAGGAAATGAGAAAAGTTTAAGAGTTTATTTGAGCAAAACTCAACTAATATTGGGCAGCACCCTGCCTCGCAGAGAGAAAGAGCTCCGAGGAGCTGTACAAAATAAAAGACTTTTATAGGCAAAAGGGAGCAGGAACAAGGAAGTTGTACTAGGCAAAAATGGGGGTGGTTATTGCGAAGTTACTCTCCTTTAGGGGATGGCAGGGTCAACCAGGCACAGGACCTAACTAGTGCCAACTGGGAAATATTTATTTATTTTATTTATTTATTTATTTATTTTTATTTATTTATGATAGTCACAGAGAGAGAGAGAGAGGCAGAGACATAGGCAGAGGGAGAAGCAGGCTCCATACACCGGGAGCCCGACGTGGGATTCGATCCTGGGTCTCCAGGATTGCGCCCTAGGCCAAAGGCAGGTGCTTAACCGCTGCGTCACCCAGGGATCCCCCAACTGGCAATTATTGATTGACTAGTTAAAGATTCCCTCCTGGTAGAGCCAAAATTGTAATTAAACCCAGTCTTGCTTTGGTGATGTGAGGCCCATTTTGGGTCTGTTGTCTTGTTTTAATAATAATCAGTAAGTAAAGAAATCGGTACCTATGGGTACGTCTAAATAAAGAACTGTATAGAAACCAGTAACATATAATTTGGGGGGGGGCTAATGATAATGATATAAAATAGATCTTTGTTTTTCACTTTTATCTACCTAATGACAACTAGGCACCAACATCATATACCTTGAGGGGGGTAAGAATTAGATAAGAGCATTAGATCTTGTGTTGGGGGAAAGAAATGTAGAGATGTTAAATCTATTTATTTTTGTTTTGTTTTGAGCCCACCATAGGGCTTGAACTTACAAGCCTGAGACCAAGACCTGAGTTGAAAGATCAAGAGTTGGTAACCAAAACCAAGTGAGCCAACCAGGACCCCCTAAATTTAGATTTTTTAAAAAAGATTTTATTTATTCATGAGAGAGAGAGAGAGAGAGAGAGAGAGAGAGAGACGGATGCAGGCTCCATGGAGGGAGCCTGATGTGGGACTTGATCCCAGGACTCCAGGATCATGCCCTGGGCCAAAGGCAAGCGCTAAACCACTGAGCCACCCAGAGATCCCCCTAAATTTAGATTTTTAATGCTAAATATCCATGGTAAAATTTCAATGGTAACCACTGAAAGTACAGAAATGGAATGCACAGGGGCACCTGGGTGGCTCAGTAGGTTAAGTGTCTGTCTTCAGCTCAGGTCATGATCTCAGGGGATTTAGCCCTACATGTGCTCTGTCAAATAAACGAAATCTTAAAAAAAGGGAGGGGGGGGATCCCTGGGTGGCTCAGCGGTTCAGCTCCTGCCTTTGCCCAAGGTGTGGTCCTGGGGTCCCAGGATCGAGTCCCGCATCAGGCTCCCGGCATGGAGCCTGCTTCTCCCTCTGCCTGTCTCTGCCTCTCCTTCTCTCTCTCTTTCTATCATGAATAAATAAATAAAAAATCTAAAAAAAAAAAAAAAAAGGAAAGAAAGAGAATGCATAATTCTCAAACCATTTAAGGACAGATGTGGAATGAGGGAGAAAGTGAAAAACAAAGTGCCATTTTATTAATGGGACTCCAAACCTCCTGTCTGGCAAGAAATTTGGTATTGGCCCAACTTTTTACAAAGCAGCCATTTATGGTGGTGAGAACTTCTGTGACTACAAAAAACACGATAGTAAGACTTCATTCAGCCTTACACTTAGAAGCATCTGGGTGATGGAAAACAAACAGGTATCTGCATTCTGGCTGACGTCCAATACCCGGATCCTCCTAGAACTTGGAGAAAATCCCAAGACTGTATTATGATTCTTCTGCATGTATCAGTTTATATCCCAATCTCTCAAAGACAGCACGGCCATTGTGAAAGGGCGGACTCAAGTATGAAACCAAAACAACATGAGGGACCAACCAAGTTCACCTGCAACCTTCTCCGGACCAGGCGACATTCTCTGGTGAAGTTTATAACACGCTGGAAACGCTTCCTCTAGCATGTGTTTAAAGGATGCAGTGTAACTAACTGATTCAGTACCTTACAGATACAGAAAACATAATGCACCCACATTCTTAGGATTATGATCTTACAAAAAAGGAATCATCAGATTTTTAAATCCCCAGAAATGAAAAAAAAAAAAAGAAGAAGAAAAGAAAAAGAAAGAACAGAAATGAGACATTTAATCAAAAACCCCCCCAAGAAAATTGAATAAAACAAAAGTATCAGAGAATAGAAAAGAGGGAAAGACAATGAGAGGCCTGGACTGATTTAAGAAGTCCAATATTCAAACAATGAGTTCTTTTTTTTTTTTTAATTTTGTTTACTTCAGAGTAAGCAAGAGAGAGAGAGCACAGGAGCAGGGGCAGAGGGAGAGGTAGAGGCAGACTCCCTGCCGAGCAGGGAGCCCGACATGGGGCTCAATCCTGGGACCCCAGGACCATGACCTGAGTCACTGGCAGATGCTTAACCGACTGAGCCACCCAGGTGCCCCCACAATGAGGAGTTCCAAAAGGGGGATTAAAGAAAATGAGCACAGTGTGGTGACTGCAGGTAACCATGCTGTGCTGTACACTGGAAAGTTGCTAAGAGGGTGGATTTTCAATGTCCCCACCATAACCACCGCCACTGCCACCAGCACAACGAGATGGCAGTTAGGGGAGGTGAGGGAGGTGCTAACTAACCTGACGGCAGTGGTCATTTCACAAGATGTACCTGTATCAAATCACCACCTTATACACCTCAACCTTACACAATCCTGTACGTCAACGGCTGGGGGGAAGAATTTAAAAAGAAAATGAGCAAATAAAAATCAAGACCAATATTACATTCAGATTAAATTTGAATGTAAAAAATAAACAAAACAGGGAAGCCTGGGTGGCTCAGCGGTTGAGCGTCTGTCTGGCTCAGGGCATGATCCCGGGGTCCTAGGATCGAGTCCCGCATCGGGCTCCCCTCGGGGAGCCTGCTTTTCCCTCTGCCTGTGTTTCTCCCTCTCTCTGTCTCTCATGAATAAATAAATAAATAAATAAAATCTTAAAAAAAATTTTTAAAATAGAACAGGTCCAGAGGGTTTCACTAGAAAGTTCTAGCAAATATTCAAAACTAAGCCTGCTCTATGGGGCTGGGGTGGCCATACCTCTTCTGCTGCAGGGCCTGGTCTAGGATATCCTGCTTGTCTTGCAGCATCCGATGGAGGTGCCTCATCTCTTGCTGGTACTGGGCTGTCTTGCTGGCAAAGTCTTCCTGCTGCGCTGTCAGGCGGTGACTGATGTCACCCACTTTCAGTGCCGCCTGCTTCTTGTACCCCTGGGGGGAGGAGGAGGCACCGAGTGAGCGAGGGCATGCTGCCTGTGGCCCCAGGGATGGCTTCCCAGACGCATACCCTCCCCATCTGGGCTATCAGAGCCCCCAGAGAGGATGAAAACACCCCTGAATAAATCTGATCTGGGAGGGCAAGTCTGCATCATAAAAGTCAGAGAAAAATAAAACAAGGAATGTCAAGTATCGTATAAAACCAAATTTCTAGTGTGCATCATGCCATTTTTTACACGCTACAAATAAAAACAGACCAAGCTGGCAAGGTTTGTTACACTTATTGGTAAAGAGATGACAGAGATAAAAGCCGGGTTCATAGATTTTCCTTTTACATTTTTATTGTATAGTATTTAAGGTTATGACTTCCCTCTGAGCATTTCTAAAACTGCTGTCACATAGATGCTAATTTTTAGTTCACGCAGATTCAATTCCGTGTAGAAGCTGACAGTTTATACATCCTCTCTGACCCAGGTGTTGGTCTACCTCATGGTTTTCACATTTTCAGGTAAAAGAATATTTTTTTGCTTTCTGATTTTGTGTTTCTGGTTCTCATCTTTTTGATCAACAAATGTGCCTTTTAAAAAAAAAACAACAACAAATGTGCCTTATTTCTACTCTCGGGGGTTGATTTTTTTTTTCGTAGTCAATCAACAATCAATTGTTCTGTGTAAATATACATACATTCCCCTAAATAAACCTTATAGATTACGTTGTTAGATCTTCTGTATCCTTAGTTCCTTTTGTTTAATCTCTTGATCTGTCTTGGACCAAGAGATTAAAGCTATTAACCATGTTTCCATTTCTCTTTGCATGTCCTATAGTCTGTACTTTATATATCCGCTATGTTTATTTAGTGCAGAGATATTTCTAGCTACTCTATACTATTAATTGCAGTCTTTTATATTAGAAGAGCTCCTTTTTTTCTTTTTTTTTTGTCTCATTTAGTGCTTTTCTCCCAAACTCCATCTCGGCACGTATAAAGGTTGCAACCTCCTTTCTTTTAGTTTGCACAAATCCAGATGATCTTTACTCATCCTTTTACTCTTCAGCTTTCTGATGTACTTTGTTTCAGACTGGCTCTTGGCTCTATCATGGAATACTGTTTGCTTCACTATCCAATCCAAAAAAAACTGTTTTCTTTTAATGGGTGAATTAAGCCCATTCCCATTGATTTATCAATTTTGTTATTTCATTAACCTACATACATTTTTAAAGACTTTAATGTAGTCCATCTTCTCTGTTCTTTTCACTGTTGTAATTCTACTGTTTAGGAATGGATCTCTGGATTCTTGTGGTGACTTTTATTCTCATGCCTCTAGATTACATCTCCTTAGTCCACTCATTTATCAAAGGTAACGTAATGTTGGCTCACAACGATCTTTTCTTCCCCTACTTAAATGTGCTTAAGCTTCTCCTTGCTTTTTCAGCTTGAAATGATATCCTCTGAACTCTCCGTTATGACAATATGAAGCAATCAGCTAGTTTGCTCTACTTTCTACTTTCCTACCGCCCTCACCTACCAGTTTTTCCTTGGTTGCATTAATTCCACGTTGTCAAAAAACATGTATGTTTTATTCCATCGGCCTTATCCCAGCTTCGCTGAAGTCTTAGTTCCGAGTTAAATATATCCTTTGCTCGATACCAGTACTTTTCTGAAATTTGCCCAATTGTTTCTTGACAGGCTGAACTCAAGCTGATTAATCTTTAGGTGAGATTTATGGGAAAAATGTGCCCGGAGCTCTTACTCGGTCAAAACTGTCTGAAGAGTAGCTTGGTTGGATGGAAACATCCTTGGCTCATACTCTGTTTCCTTGAATATTTATAGAAGGCATTGCTCTTGGCATTCAGCATTACTGTTGAGAACTATGATGCCGACATGGGTTTTTTTTTCTTATGACTTGGCCTTTTGCCTGGGTGTCCAAGGTTTTCTTTATATATATATATATTTATTTATTTATTTATATTTATATATAAAATATATATATATTAATATATATTTTAAGATTTTATTTATTTATCTGAGAGAGGGAGAGAGAGGGGGTGGGGAGCAGAGGGAGAGGGACAAGCAGACTCTGTGCTGAGCACGGAGCCTGATGTGGGGCTCGATCCTATGACCCCGATATCACAACCTGAGCTGAAACCAAGGGTTGGACGCTCAACTGACTGAGCCACCCAGGCACTCCTGTCTCTGTCTTTAAAAGATTTTATTTTTAAGTAATCTCCACACCCAAGGCAGGGCAAGAAACCCAACCCCGAGATCAAGAGTCACATGCTCCACCGTCTAAGCCAGCCAGGCCCCCCTTCTTTCTTTGTCTTAAAGTCCTTTCAGTATGTAGATTCAAGTCTTCATTTATTTCAGAAAGGTTTTTATGAATTATTGTTCAGAACTGTTTTGATTTCTTCTTTGGGGACTCTTAACAATAAGCACATTGAATGTCTTATCCCTCTCTACTGCATTCTTTTTACATCTTTACTTCCACCTTTCTGTCTTTAAATTGCTCATTTCTCTCTTTATGTCCTTGTCGCACATTTAAGGTATCTTTCTCCTTGTGTTCCCTGTAATTTCATCTGCATCTCTGAAGCAGTTGTTCCTTTCCTTCTATTTCTTCCCTGAGTTGTGTCAATTCCAGGTCACATCTGCCTTTGACCACCTATCTCTGCTTTGTAGGATTTCCTCCTCGATTTGATGGCTTTATTAAGTTTTATTTTATTTTTCAAGATTTTATTTAAATTCAAGTTAGTTTGCATATAGCATAGTATTAGTTTCAGGGGTAGAATTTGGTGATTCATCAGTTGCATATACCACCAGTTATCATTCCATCATGTGTCCTCCTTAATGCCCATCCCCCAGGTACCCCATTCCCTCACCCACAGTCCCTCCAGTGACCCTCAGTTTTCCCTACATTTAAGAGTCTCTTGAGGTTCGCCTTCCTCTCTGTCTTATTTTATTTTTAAGTTTTAGCTTTCCAGCTACCTATCTATCTCCTTACTTATCTACCTATCAGTTCACTTTTGGGTATAGTTTATAATTTTGATCTTTGTGGCAACATTATTTCTGATGCCTTTTCTTCATGTGCAGGAAAATTGTACTTCTATTTTTCTTATTTTTCTCTGGAGGCCCATGAATCCCTCTGGGATGAGATGAGGTTCCCGGGAGGGTGCAGCATGATGGGCTGGGCTAACTTCCAGGCTTTCCAAACCACCCCTCTAGTAGCCCCTTCTCAGGCCTCTGAATCCAGCTTGATTTGGAAGAGCTCCTGCCTGCAGCTCTATTTTTCTCAGATCACAACACAGCCCTGATTTCAAAGGTGACATCTTCGCTTTGGGGAGTCCTATTTTGCTGGGGTTTTCTAAGATGTTATCCTCGAATTTTCTCAGCCTTTTCTAGGTCTGTAACCTTTTCTTCCTCAGAGATCCACCCTGTCTAACCTGGATCCAGCTCTCAGGTGTCCTGGGGTGGGGGGGCGGCGCTGGGTGGATCCATTGTAGGATCTTATCCAGATGAATGATAATGAGATACATTCCTAAGATAAGGCCAAACACCCTGAAGATCAGATCTCCTCTTTCCGAAACAATAGCAAACAGGAAACCCAGAGCAGGGAAGAAAAAAAATGAAAAACAAAAACCTCCAAGCCCATGATTCCTCATTATCACTCAAAATACTTCTCTTTAGAGTCCCATCATTAATAGTATGGTGTATTCCTTCTAGCCTTTCTGAGAATTGAGATACTGTTTTGTATACAGCTTTTGATTTTGTTGAATTTTTTAAACTGTAAAATATATTATTTAATTAATTCCCCAAATGACTATTGGTTATTGCATTTATTGAATATTATGTGCCAGGTGCTATTTTAGGTGCTTGGGATATACCAGTGAACAAAAACAGAAAAGAATCCCTGTCCCTGTGGAGCTTCTAGTCTGGCCAGGGGGTACAGACAAAAGCCAATGAAGTATATAGTCTGTTAGAAGGTGACACATAACATACAAAATACATATCAATTGACTGTTAATGCTATTTGTAAGGTTTGTGGTCAAGAGTAGAGGAGTCAAAAGTTATACATGGATCTTCAACTGCGTGGGGGGTTGGTTCAAGGACTGACTGTAATCATTAATCTCATTTTTGCTAAAATCTTTTCCTTATTTTTCATTTTGTTTTACAACCTAAGAGTGTCCCAAACAATTTAATTTTACCTGTTTTAAACTTTATACAAACACAATCATATTACAGGCACTCATACGTGTTATGTTCCTTTCATTCAATATTATGCTTGTGAGATTCACCCACAATACTGTAAATATAATTATTCATTTTCATTGCTATTAGGTATTCCTTTCTGGATGCATCACAATTCATCTGTTCCACTGCTGATGGATACGGGGTCGTTTTGTTTGGGACAATAATGCTGATTCGATCTTTCTTTCTTTCTTTTCTTTCTTTCTTTCTTTCTTTCTTTCTTTCTTTCTTTCTTTCTTTCTTTCTTTCTCTTTTCTTTTTTCCTTCCTTCCTTCCTTCCTTCCTTCCTTCCTTCCTTCCTTCCTTCCTTCCTTCCTTCCTTTCAGATTTTATTTACTCATAAAAGACACAGAGAGAGAAAGGCAGAGGGAGAAGCAGGCTCCAGGCAGGGAGCCGGATGTGGGACTTGATCCCGAGACCAAGGATCACACCCTGAGCCAGGAGCAGGTGCTCAACTGCTGAGCCACCCAGGCGTCCCCGATTCAACCATTTCTTTACATGATTTCTGGTGCACATCTGTGAGTTTTCTTGTCTGGAAAGGATAAGGGAGGGATGGCTGGGTTGTGAGCTGTGTGAATGTTCTACTCTACTAATGGTTTAAACTCCTTTCCAGCCGCAGCAGCTAAACAGAAAAGTTCCCACTGCTTCATGTCACTGCCAAATGCTCTGTATTGTGAAACTTCTTAATTTTTCACCTTGAAGGTACAAAATGGGTAAAAAACACATTTGCACCATTTGGCCACTTTAAAGATTTTATCTTTGCCTTTGGTGTTGTGCAGTCTCAGTAAGGCGTGTCTAGATAGGGATTTCTTTTTCTTTATCCCGCCTAGTAGTTAGATTTTAACAACTAAGCCTACTTTGAAGATAAAACTTAGCATATCCTCACTTACTTTAAAACAGTGTCAGAAATAAAATTCCCAGAAAAGTATGATGTCTATTAGGAATCCCTGATGACATTTTAGAAGTCAACACAAATCCAAAAGCTATCGGGTTAAATCAAACCATTCCTACCATCTAAAGCCACAGGGTAAGTCGCCCTGAGTTCTGGGTGGAGGACTCATGTAGCACTTTCAATTCTCCTTTAGCAAAGCAACGCTTTCTTCAAATGGCATCATGCCTAACAGCCCACATTTGGGAACAGGAGTGGAGCTGCTCTAACCCACAGAAGGAATGACTTCCCTGGACCTGTGGTGGGATCACCCCTCACCACAAAGGCCACTGACCACAATAAACGAAAACAGTGATGTGCTGGCGGTGAGCTAGTCTTCTCTGAATTTGGGTAGATGCAGGTGATCTTCCCTGGGGAAGGCCCAGAATCCAGATCACAACAGCTCAGGGATGTTGCATGGGGCAGACCCTACTGGGATCCAGAAAGCCCCTCAGGTAGCATCTCTGTCTGTACCACTTGAAAATTAAGATGTACAGGCAATGTGGCTTCCAAAAACTTGATATTTGTGTTATTTAAGCAATATTCATGAAACATGGGGGGGAGGGGAGTCTATTCTTTGCCTTAGGGCATAGGCTTGGATCTGAGCAACTACATGTTAAATTTTGTTTAACTTTTAAAAATTAGGGATCCCTGGGTGGCGCAGCGGTTTAGCGCCTGCCTTTGGCTCAGGGCACGATCCTGGAGACCCGGGATCGAATCCCATGTCGGGCTCCCGGTGCATGGAGCCTGCTTCTCCCTCTGCCTATGTCTCTGCCTCTCTCTCTCTCTCTCTGACTATTGTAAATTAAAAAAATAATAATAAAATTAAAAATTAAATAATTGAGGACGCATATTCCCTAAAACAAAACAAAGTTGTGACATATATTTACATACATATGTACGTATATACATACACACGCTGTTCACTCAGTAACCACACTTGTTTACACAGAGCTAGCCAATGCTTTATTTGTTGGTAATTTTCCAACATAGTAAATGTCATCAATCTATTTCTCCACATGTTAGGCCCTTTTTTATTTTTATTCATTCATTTATTTATTATTTAATTTTTTATTTTTTTGTTAGGCCCTTTTTCAATCATCTCCGACAGAGGTCCCAAGTCTTATTCCCCACGCTACAGCTACATGAACTCATAGACCTTCCCCTTCAAAACCCATAGGTTCCCTGCCTTCCCCGCAGGCCCTAGCCTGCCTGCACCCCTGCTCCTGCTCCCGAGGAGTCCGTTTGGCTGGTAAGGCTGTGGACGCAGATGCAGAGGCTGGCAGTCGGAACACACATTTCAGAGGGATGGGAGGTGGTCAGGTAAGGGAGATGGCCTAAGGGAAGAGAGCTGATACCATGACAATGGTTTTCTTGGGCAGAGAAACTGGGGGGAATGGGGGGGGCAATTAGGATAAAGCTAGAGAGGTGAGGGTCAACTCCATTCTCTAACAAACCAACAGATGCTGGGCTTGAGCATAAAGCCTGAACATTAAACTCAGGGTAGAGCCCGGAGATTTTTCCGTAGCCTCTTTTCTTTCTTTTAAACAGCTGTATGGTATCTTATTGTGCAGATAAACTGGTTTATTTAATGAGGGGGTTGGTGCCATAAGCAAAACTGCTTAACCCTGCGAATGATTAGTGATGCATACATGCAAAATGAATCATTTTCTTAAACATGGAAATCTGACCCCAGTAAGCCATTGTTTCCATTTGCAAATGGAACCACTGAGGCTAATGGCCACTTACCTTGACTTTTTCCTCTAACCTTCCCAAACGAATATTGCCTTCTAGGATTTTGTTGAGAACTCCATGCTTCTCACTTTCTAGACATTTAGCCTAAGAAGAAAAATGAAAAGAAAAATAATGGGCACTCCGCCTGCCCCCCACTCCCTGCGTGAGGGCTGTGGGCAGAGCCTGTGCCAACGACTGAGGAGGGGCAAGAACCCAGAACAGCAGGCTGGGTGCTCTTCCTGGGCACCAACAGAAGATCGAGCCCCCCAAACAAGGGGGATGTGTTATAAGGGCTTCCAGCACACCTCTCTATTCTTGTGGAATAGATCTTTCCTTCAATCGTATTCAAGGAATAAGTGCCCAGATGCAAATCAATTTTCAGCTTGACTATTTGAATAATTACAAAGTTAAAGATAATGTGAATGCACCATGCCATTCACCAAACCAAATGTGACGGCATCACATCCAAGAGGAATGTCATTTGAAGCTCAATGATTTAACAGTAACATCCACCTGGGAATTGCTGTACACTGCAAATTATTTCAAATGCTAAAATAAAAAAAAGCGAGGGTGAGCATTCCTTCTAAGGCATCTGATCTCATTTGATTTCCTTCAGAAAGGAAAAATATGACACAGGAAGTTAAATAACTTGCCATAAGTCACACAGAAAACCCATCCTAAAGATGGGATTAGAAATTAGATGCCACTTTCGATAAATTAAGGCCTAGGAGACCAAGACAGGGTAAGGCTGGGATGCTGGGGCCACCGTCCCAGGACAGGGCAGAGGCAGCTAGTACCACCCCCGGACCTCAGCTAGAGGGGCTGACCCTGGGGCTCACAGGTGCAAGGAGCTTGCAGGGTCAAGGGGACAGCAGTGTCTGTATGTACACAGAGGTTTCTTGTGGTGGAAAGAGGTAAAGGGGAATGAACGCAGCTCCCCAATGTCTAAGGGGGTCTAAGGATTCTGAATCCGAGCCTGGCTTTCAGGCCATAATAACATAGATCAAGGCAGGAGGAAAGAACACACTTCATTTATGTATTATTGACTTACTTAGTAACTTTTGTTTGTTTGTTTTTTTTTTTTTTTTTTTTTTACTTACTTAGTAACTTCTAAGCATTTGGACAAATACTATATGGCTTGCACTTATATTTCCATCCTGGGCCCACACACATAGGAAGGGTGGGCTAAAATTTGGAGAATCTGAAAATGTGCAGTTAAAATTTAAAAAGATGAAGCTTTTTATGAGTAGTTTTGTAAAGAAAACACTCTTAAAAAAAAAAAGAAAGATTTATTTTAGGGTAGGTGGGAAGGGCAGATGGAGAGAAACAATCTCCAGCAGACTCCGCACTGAACTTGGGGCCTGAGGCGGGGCCTGATCTCACAACCCTGAGATCATAACCTGAGCTGAAATCAAGAGTTGGATGCTCAACTGACTGAGCCACCAGGCACCCCAAGAAAATGCTCTTAAAATTACGTTTGCATATTGACGTTCAGCGTACCTGAAGAAACTGAGGGAGCTTACCAAACACATGAGATTGTTGCGTTCCTGGGTTATATTCTCTGCCAGGCCAACAAGATTTGCCAGGTACTGGTGAGCAGACATTTCACTCTCCATGGCTTTTTCCACCTGCTTTTTGAGGACATCAATTTTCTTTTGAGATCTCCTGGAGAGTTCCCCAAAATGGTGGAATAAAAAACTCATTAGCCTGAATGGCAAGGACATAGTGAATATCTGCATCATAAAAATAGCAAGTACGTTAGCATTTAAACATATTCTTTGGCAACCTAAATCTTCTACTAAGTATCAGGGTGAGAAGAGGTAAATGAGTTTAATTTTAAGTGAAGCATAATTATTGACTCCAAGTCAACAGGAAATCACAAAATGCTTAACACAATTAATAGGCTACTTATATATTACTCCATTAATTTTTCTGGCTCATGTTCTAAAAAATGCTTCTGAAAAAGGAATCAAGTTAACCCAAAGCTGACTTTTGGGAAATGCATAGGAAAGAACTTCCAGTACTTTCAGCGTCATAGGGTCATCATTAGGACTATCAACTATAGTTGAACTATAGAATTGAAAAATGTCAGCTAAAGCTGGCCAACAGAAAAGCCTTTATTGTACTTTTCTTTTGATACCCAGTAATCTCAACGATCCTTTTCCATTTTATATCCAATATTAGAAAAAGAAAAGAAAAATAAAACAGAATATTTGTCTCTTTTTAATATTAAAAAAAAAATCTAAAAAACGAACCAGCTTAAGAAAAAAATAGATAAAAACCTATTTATTTTCTGTGCCCTGTTGAGTTCAGCTTCCAGTGCTTGATTTTTAGCTGCCAGATTGTTCTTCTCTAAGAGCAGACTCTGTTTCTGCACTTGCAGGAGTGCCAACTTTCCCATCAACTCTTCCATCTCGGCACCTCCTTTCTCCTCTTCCTTCTGCAACCGGCTGGTGGACAAAAACATCACAGGCTTGTATCTGGCACCCTGAAGCGAACATGAGGTGGCCCCTGCCAGGCAAGTGAGGGGCAGCCCAGCCCACCAGCCCACGGGAAGGTCCACAGGAGTCCACGGGGGTGTGGAAACGCTGCCCATCCCCTCCCGAAGGGCCTGATGGGGTAATGATTTAACCCCCTTTTTTTTCTTTTAAGATTGTATTTATTTATTCATGAGAGACACAGAGAGAGAGGCAAAGACACAGGCAGAGGAAGAAGCAGTCTCCTTGCAGGGAGTCTGATGCAGGATTCGATCTCAGGACCCCTGGGATAATGCCCTGAGCCAAAGGCAGATGCTCAACCATTGAGCCACCCAGGTGCCCCCAATGTAACCCCTTTTCTTGCCCATAATTGTGCCTTTGGATAGATATACTTATTTGTATCCTATATTCCTTAAAGTAATAATTTAAGATCGCTTAATTTTTCACACAGTTATAACTGCTTCCCCCAATCCTGATGCTACAACAAATTTTATGTCATACTAAGGTAATTTTATACTTTTATGATAAAAGCAACCAAAGAAGGGCATACACTTTTAATATATAGTTCTGGCAAAATGATACTCGAGAAAAGAGTTATTTCTTCACTGGTTCTCTTGGTCAGTTCTCATGTAATAGCCAGGAGGACTGAGCCGTGCTCACAGAGGCTGCCCAGTTCTGAGGTAGGGGGGTCTCTCTGGGTGCCATGGGGGCTTGCCTGCAGGCAAATGGGCAGTAAGTTGCATGTGTTTGGGTCTACCTCACTCCTCAGGCAATTCCAGGGACTTCAGCCTGGGTTGGCTCCCTGAACACCCAGGCAGGAGTTTTCCCAGTTTCCATTACTTTCTAGCTTACTAGAGTTAATTCGTCAAAGAGTGGAGGACATACCTAGATAAAAAACTGTGAAACCGAGGTTATTTTAATTCATCTTCTTTCCTCACTGTCTTTTGTTTTGATTCTAGAACTTTCTTTAAAAGTCCTTTTGCCGGGATCCCTGGGTGGCGCAGCGGTTTGGTGCCTGCCTTTGGCCCAGGGCGCGATCCTGGAGACCCAGGATCGAGTCCCACGTCGGGCTCCCGGTGCATGAAGCCTGCTTCTCCCTCTGCCTGTGTCTCTGCGCCTCTCTCTCTCTCTCTCTCTCTCTCTCTCTGTGACTATCATAAATAAATAAAAATTAAAAAAAATTTTTTTTTAAAAAGTCCTTTTGCCAAAGTAATATACTCACCCAGTACCAAATCAATCAGTAAAGAAAAGTTCACAGCACAAAGCAACTAGGGGCTATAGAGAATGTTAGGAAAGTACTGGTGGGTCAGCATGGCCACCTTAGAGAGCAACACGCCAAGATCTAGAAAACGCACTTACCCTGTGGCCCAACAACGCCATCTCTATAAATATGTACATAGAGAAACTCTGACGATACATACACGAAATCTTACTGTGGCACTACTTAAGGGAGCAAACTTAGTCACAATATAAACTTCCATTAAGAGGTTAAGGAAAATGTAGCATTTCATATGATGGAACACTACCAGGTAGAAGCTAGAAGAATAAACTCTAAAAAATAAAAAAAAAAAATTAAAAAAAGAATAAACTCTAATAGCTATTTCAACATGGAGAGATGTTTGAAAAATTGAGTGTAAAAAGTCAAGATACTAAAAGCATGAATTCATTCATATAAACTTAAGACACATCAAAATAAATTACCATGTGTCATTTATGGAAACGTGTATAGAAATAAAAAAACAGATTGGAAATGTAATTCCAAGTTTATGGTAATGCTCCTTTCAGAAAGCCAGGGATAGATATTGGACTAAGGAGAGTGCTTAAAAAGGACTTCAGTTTTCTTTCTCCCCAACATTTTATTTATTTGAACAAGCCAGAGAGAGAGCACAGGTCGGGGAGAGGGAGAAGCAGGGAGCCTGATGAGGGCTGGATCCCAGGACCCAGGACCCAGGATCCTGGGATTATGACCTGAGCCGAGGGCAGATGCTTAACTAACTGAGCCACCCAGGTGCCCCTTCAGTTGTATTTCTAACTATATATATATATATATATATATATATATATATATATATATATATATATTTTAAGATTTTATTTATTCATGAGAGATAGAGATAGAGAGAGAGGCAGAGACACAGGTAGAGGGAGAAGCAGGCTCCACGCAGGGAGCCCGATGTGGGACTCGATCCCAGGTCTCCAGGATCACGCCTTGGGCCAAAGGCAGGCGCTAAGCTGCTGAGCCACCAAGGGATCCCTCTAACAATATATTTCTTTCTTTTTTTTTTTTTAACAATATATTTCTTAAACAAAACAAACAAAAAGGTAAAAACAATTTGTTAAAAAGAAAGTTAATAGGTGGTAGGAGAAATAGTTGCTTTATTTATTTATGCATTTGTTTTTTATTAAAGATTTCTATTATTAAGTAATTTCTACACCCAGCGTGGGGCTCAAACTCACAACCCAGAGATTAAGAGTCACATGCTCCACTGACTGGGCCAGGCTGGTGCCTCAAAAAAAGCTGCTTTAAAAAAAAAAAATTTCTTTTGAGGTATCTGGGTAGCTCAGTGGTTGAGCATCTGCCTTTGGCTCAGGGCGTGATTCTGAAGTCCCAGGATCAAGAATTGCATCAGGCTACCTGCATGGAGCCTCTTTTTCCCTCTTCCTGTGTCTCTGCTTCTCTCTCTGTCATGAATAAATAAATAAAATCTTAAAAATAATTTTTTTTAAAGAAAATGTTTCCTATTCCACCTTTTGGGTTCCCCAGAGAAAATATATACTGATCACTTCTGATTTTAGTTCTCCTGGTAAAAAAAAACCATGATTTAAAAATTTTTTAAATTGTGAAATATAAGTATAGAAAAGTATATAAAAGATAAATGCATATTTTATCAATTAATTATGAGGAACCCTCATATAATTACCATATAGGTGAAGAAATAGAACATTTTTTTAAAAATCTCATTTACAATTGTACCAAAAGAATAAAATACTTAGGAATAAATTTAATCAAGGAGTGAGACACCTATATTCTGAAAACTATGAGACATTGATGAAAGAAACTGAAAACAACACACACAAAAAAAATGGAAATACATATCATGCTCACGAATTGGAAGAGTTAATATTGCGAAAATGTCCATATTACCCACAGCAATCTAGACTTAATGCAATGCTTATCAAAATACCAATAGCATTTTTCACAGAACTAGAACAAATAATCCTAATATTTGTATGGAAACATAAAAGACCCTGCATAGCCAAAGCAATCATGAGAAAGCTGGAGGAATCACAAGCCCAGATTTCAAGATAGTACTACAAAGCTGTAGTCACCAATAGAGTATGGTGCTGGCACAGAAACAGGCACACAGATCAATGGAACAGGATAGAAAAATTAACCTATGCTTAATTAATCTATGACAAAGGATGCAAGAATATCCAATGGGGGAAAAGACAGTCTTCAATAAATGGTCTGGGAAAACTGGACATGCTACATGCAAAAGAATGAAACCTGACCACTTTCTTATACTGCACACAAAAAACTAACTCAGAATAGATTAAAGACCTAAATGCGAGACCTGAAACAGCACTCCTAGAAGAGCGCATGGACAGTAATACCTTTGACATCAGCCTTCGCAACTTATTTATGGATCTGCCTCCTTAGGTGAGGGAAACAAAAGCAAAAATAAACTACTGCACAGCAAAGGAAACTGAATGGGGGGAAGATATTTGTAGGTGGTATACCCGATCAGGGAAGAATACCCAAAATAGACAAAGAACTTCCACAATTCAACACTAAAAACATGAGCTGATTAAAAAATGGGCAGAGGGCCTGAACAGACATTTCTCCAAAGAAGACATCCCAACGGCCAACAGACACAAGGAAAGATGTTCAACATCACTCATCATCAGGGAAAGGCAAATCAAAGCCACCATGAGACCTGACGCCTGTTAGAATGGCTATTCTCAAAAAGAGAAGTGGTAACTGTACTATGATTCAATAGTAGTGTAAAAAACACAGAACATTTCCAGGACCCCAGATATTCCCATGGGTCCTGCCCCAATCATAAAGCTGTCCTTAATTATTTTTATAGTGGGGACGCCTGTGTGGCTCATAGGTTGAGTGTCTGCCTTCGGCTCAGGGGTGATCCCGGGGTCCTGGGATCAAGTCCCACATCGGGTTCTCCACAGGGAGCCTGCTTCTCCCTCTGCCTATGTGTCTGTCTCTCTCTGTGTGTCTCTTATGAATAAATAAAATCTTTTAAAAAATTATCTTTATAGTGTTATCACCTATCCATGCATTGCTACAATTCAGTTTAGTTTGCAAAAATGGGACCCACACATACAGAGAACCAAGATGCGTAAGAGGTGCACTAAAGGGCTGTATGTATTTCAGCGCCGTATGCCTCCAAGACTCACCTATCTTTCTGTGTGGCTGTAGAATATTTAGTTGTATCACTCAGCCGAGTTCTACGTGCCCATTTTCTTGCCAACAGCCATTTGGACTGTATTCCGTATACATCCCTGCAGTATTCTCTGCGGGGCTGCTATTCAAAATGTGATCCTCAGACGGGTGTCAGTCTCCAGCTATTTGTTACTTGTCCACAAGATTAGTAAAGAAATTAAAGAGAATGGTTTCAAAACTTTTATAGAATCTCATGTTCCTGTGACACCTGTGCAGTGTGAAATGAGTGAATCTGTTTTCTTTTCTTTCTTTTTTTAAAGATTTTATTTATTCATGAGAGACACAGAGAGAGGCAGAGACACAGGCAGAGGGAGAAGCAGGCTCCATGCAGGAAGCCCGATGTGGGACTTGATCCCAGGACCCTGGGATCATGACCTGAGCCAAAGGCAGATGCTCAATCGCTAAGCCACCCAGGCGTCCCCTATTTTCTTGAATAGCAGTTTGGATGTCATCAAATGTGCAGAGAGGGTGTCATGGTAGCTGTGCACTTGTTATGTGCAGCAGGAATACA